TCTAAATTGACACTTAAAAGTCTAATCTGATCCAAATCGATTAAATCTGACATAGTTTAGTTCGAATAATAGGTTAACACTACACCAACTTGTACATCTAATATCATATTCGATTAATTTGTTCACTTTAAAAAATAAAAATATACCCTCACATGCTATAAAATGCATTTTGAATTGAAACTTATTTTGAATTTGTATAATTATGTTGAAATTACGTGTAAAGAAATATTTGAATGAAAAAAATAACAGTTTTTTTTTTGTTTTCTTATACGTTTTTTGTTTTAGATTATTTAATTAGACAATTTGATGATACAAATCAAACCAACCTATTTGTGTTTGGTTTGAATTTTAATTTTTTTTTATATAAATCTGAACCAAATTAAACCAATCCATTTTGATCATTCAGATTATTTGTTTTTCCAAATCTAAACCAAACTAGTCTGTGAACACCTCTAATTAAAATAAATCAAAAACTCTCACCAATAAAAATAACTTCTCACAAAAAAAAGCAATTAGTTTGAAATCTTGCATCAATAGAACACATATTTTAACAACGAAAATATTACATTCAATTTCAAAATTTTTATCAAAATTAGACGAGCAAAGCATACACTTGTCTATTTGTCTTTCTAAAAAATTAAAAGTTTTTTTATGCATATCTTTGCACCTTGAACATGACATTTCTATTAACAAGACCATTCAAGAGTTTCAATAAGAGAACTAAAATTTCTCACAAACTTTATATAAAAACTTGCTAAATAATAAAAATTTGTTATTTTATTTATATTTTTAGATGGAGAATGTTCTCTAAATGTCTATAACTTTTATTCATCAACAAAAATTTTGTTAAAAGTTACAACAAATCCAAAAGATACAAAAATTTCCTTACAAACAATTTTTTTAAAAATTAGCATACTACTTAAATTTTTTTTATCAAAACAACAAAATAACGTGCAAATGTTTAACATTGATCATTAAAAATTTGCTCTAACTAAAATATTATCAAAGTAGATTGCAACAAATTGTTTTTATGAACAATGCAAAACATCATTCATTAATCTAATAGCAATGGGTGTATTAATTAAACCACATGACATCATTAATTATTCATATAAACTATATATTTTTTTAAATAATTTTCAATTCATTGTATTAATCTAAGTATCAATTCTTTAAATCAATTTTAAAAAACACACTAGATTCAATTTATCAAGCAAATCATCCATCAAAAAAATAAGATATTTATACTATACGATAGTTTTATTAATGAGTGAAATACTTGTTATATTTTTATATCTATATTGTGATAACTACTTTTTTAATAAAAAATATTAAATATTTAAATTTAACTATAAAGGTTAAAGTTAAAAAAAATTATATTTTAAGTTGTAGAATGTTAAAAACTAAAATTATTAGTTTTCTTATTTTGGTTTAAATTTGTTATAGTTTTAATTTTTAATATCAAATTTTAAATTTCAAGCTATAAAAATCACTTATTATATATTTGAATTAATTTATTAGAGAATAAGAATGATTAGTAATAATAACAATGACAATTATGATTAAGTTTTGATGACTTTTGACAGTGTTATTGTAGTTAGTTAGGAGTAAAGTTATACTCAAGAGTTACACTCAACTAAGAGCGGCCATAATTTTTTATATGCAAGGTAAACAAAATTAATAATTTATTCAAATTTACTATGTCATTTATACATTTTTTACTTTGTTTAAGTTATCTTTTAACAAAATCTTACTATACAATAATAATGAAAAAATTTATTAATAAGATAATTTAATTACATTTATTTTAATATATGTTTACAATCTTACATGAGATTATATATATATATATATTTTATTTTTTTTCATATGCATCTTATAATATGAATTTGTATATAGGGATGAAAATAAAGTAAGTTATGATTTACATAAGTATGAACTATTTAATAATTTTTAAACTTCAGTTTAATCTATTATTTATTAAAGATTTTTTATTAAGTTTAGTTTTATTTTTTTAAAAACTTGATTTGGTCTATTAAACTTTTTCATAACTTACTTTATATTGAAATCTTTAATACTTTATTAAGCCTCTTATAAATAAGTTATTAAATAATTTAATAGATATGTCTCTGTAAAGGCTATAAAAACATATGTCTAAATAAGTTAAAAAATATTAACAATAAAATTATATCTTTTTATTTATCACTTTTAAATCATATATTTGATTTAAATAAATAAATTACGAATCATATAACAAACACAACTATAAATTAACATCTCTAACTCTTAAAAAGATGATCAGATTTTCTAAGTTAAGATTTTAATCATTTTAAAATTTAATTTATTTAATATAATATTACATGATAATATTTACATATAATTATTTAGTATATTATTATAAATTTTATGAGTTTTAAATAGGTTATTTTATTTGGTCTAATAAGTTTTTTTTAACATTTAAATTTAATATATTTAATTATTTAAAAAGTTTAAATTAAGTTTATTACTTAAATAAAATAAGTCAAGTTAAGTTGTAGGTCCTATCAGATACTTTAACATATTTTTTATTTTTATTTGTAAACTTTTTTTTTATTGTAGTAATATTAATTAAATCAAAATTATTTTCCCAACTTATTGTGCAAACATATTGCAATATATTATATACAAACTTATAATTTGTAAGCATCTAAAAAACTTTTAAACTTGATTTATTCTTTTCTTTTTCTAAACTAATACCTTATATGTAAAATAATTATTTATTATTTATATATTAAATTATATAATTGTAATAAATAAATTATTTTTCTGTTGATAGTGATACTTATTCGATTCAAATAAGATTGTATTTAATAAATGATACATATAATTAAAAAAATACTTTTTTATTTAATAATATACTTCTCTTACTTCAATGATCTAACTTTATTATTGATAACAATAATTATAGTAATAATCGTGATACTAATAATAATAGTAATAATTATAGACAATCATTTATAACTGATAATCATGATAGATAGTTGTAATAACAACAATGGTAAAAGCATTAACAATAACAATCAAAATAACTAAAAGATAACAATGATACTAGTTGTGTTAGCAACAATGATGAGAAAGAGAGTAATTGTGATAATAATAATTATAGTAGTAATGACATTAAAAATGATAGTAGCAATAATAATGATATGAAATGATGATAATGATAAAAAAAAGTAACATAAATATTTTGAAAAAAAAAAGATTGAATATGTTATTTTTATTGATAAAAATTAAAAATAAACAATTATTTTATTATGTTAAAAATTGAGTTAAGTTAATCTTAAAATTGAGTTAAAATTAATTTTACTAAAACACATTTTGTTTTGAAATTTTTGGAAAAAATATTACAAACTTTTAGTCGCTACAAATAAATATTAATTAATCCGATCTTATCTTTGAAATTGAGCTTTAATCCAATTCAGTTTGAGTTGTTGATGATGGTACATATTTATTTATTTATTTTAAAAAAAGTTATATTCATTGTAAAAATGTTCCTAACTAGGCCCATGAAGACGATTGTTGCTTTTGAACTCATATCTTCAAGTAAATCACTTATGAGCTACGAGTATATTCGTCTATTTTATGACTACTAATTAATGTGATCTTAATTGTTTAATATGAGCTTTAATCAAATTCATTTTTTTTTATTGTTATTAGTTTATACAATAAGGTTTGAACATAGAAGTTCCTGGTAAATAAACTAACCTTACACATATAAGTAAATAAAGTCTTATATTGTTGCATCTCTGAGCTTCAAATTCAGTATATATTGCTGAGACTTTATTACATATTTTTTCTTTTTTTAAAATGTTAAATTCATTATAAAAACGGCTCCGAACAATTTTTGTTCTTAGTCCCCACAAAGACAACTATTGTTTTTCAACTCATACCTTAGCACCCACTTACAATCTACGAGTTTGAACACGCCGCTGTACTTCTTCATTCTCTGTTCTTAAACGCTCTCATTCATGATTTTATTTTTTTAAGGGAATATCACTAGCTAAATTCAAATGTTCTCTAGAATAACGGTTTATTTTCAAAAATTTAAATTTAATACGATTTATATGAATGAAACTAAGAAAGAGTCATAAAAATGGGTGTAATTTTTTTTAATCTAATTTAATCTCAATTTGACCTAATCATGCACTTGAATATAATAAATGAGTTTATTATTAAAAATTTTCAAAATTTTACTTAAATAATATTTAATCACTTACCATTCAAATTAACGTTAGTTTTTAGATGCCAAGTAAATAGTTGTGTTAATTATATGAGTACACAATAATGCCATTTACCTAAGATAATAAAAATGTGAATAATAATAATACACGGAAATGGTCACCAAATAGTACAAATCACGAGAGATGTGTCACACTATTCATATTCCCAAACTTTGAGACATTTTAAAAGTTTGAAATATAATTTGGAATAATGAAAGAGGAAAGAAATTGTGATGTATGATATACGCATCTTGTTACAAAATTAGATGAAAGTAGTTAGCCCATTAAATTATGCGTAGCAACAAGGTCATGCATTAATGCCACCGCGTCGCGTGGAAGATTAATTTAGCGGTAGGGACACGGTGTTATTTCCCTCACCAAAAGTTACAAATGGCAAATTACGGGGACAAAGAAGTTGTTTTCTCGTACTTTAACATTCGACCATTTACCATAAATATCATACACGTGGCACCCACCGGAGCTGCCGAGGAAACCTGCAAGCGCTAGAAGAACGGTTCCGGTCTTTCGTCGTTTTCTGCAACCCAACGAGCCGTTAGATCAGAATCTAAACCATTCACACAAAGCCACACTCATTCTCTACGTCACTCTGAACCAACCTAACCTAACCTAACCATGGTTAGGTTTAACGCAATTATTAAAACACCCTTAACTTTCCCTTAATTACCACCATACCCTCTGTTAAGCCCCTATAAGACCAGCCTCCGAGACTCGCTAGGTTTGCCGAACTAGCTCCCCAAAGGGTACTTTGACGAAGAAAAGTACAAAAAGTCTCTTTTACCCTTTTTTTTCTCTTTCTCCTTTCCTCCTTCGTGTTCTTCTCTATCAATGGCCACTTCTTCAAGAACAAAATCAAGTGCACCTTCTAGTAGGTTCTGCTCGTATTCAACGTCTAACGCACCGTTTCATTCTTCTTCTTCATCCTTCTTCAACAAACCTCACTCTCACGCCCCTCACCGATCCACTTCCCCGACACGTGTCAACCTGTTCAACGCCTCGCCCCCTCCTTCTTCCGCGGTTCGGTTCTCAATCGACCGGTCCATATCTCCTAGCCGTACCGTTTCGAGCCACGTCATCGCCAGGAAGAATCACCACATCTCGGTCCAGAAGAAAACATGTATGTGTTCTCCTACGACGCATCCAGGTTCGTTCCGGTGCAGCCTCCACAAGAGTATCGGCGGGAACCACCACAGTTCCGGTTCGTTCCCGTCGAACCGGCTCAACATGCGTAGGTCCGCGATGAAGAACTCGCTGGTGAGAATCGGAGGAGTCGAAGGCGAGTGGGTGAAACGCGCCCTCACCGCGTTGATTCGTCCTTCTTCGCATCAGCAGAGGAGAAGAGCGGCGTTTGAACCGAGACCGAGTCGTCTTTGTACTGTGTCCAAGGCTGAGGAAGATCTGTGATTTTTTTTTTTTGTTCTTACAGGTTCGTTTTTTATCTGCCGGAAGTTTCTATTCTCCCCCGCCGGCCACAGAATCTGGCGAAATGGTTTTATCGTGATCGAGGTGTCTCCAGCTACGTTGCCGGAAAATTGGAATATTCCGGCGTAGATCTGAGAGACTGGACTCGGAGAATTGGTTTTTGTACATAACATTTGCTATGGAAGGAGAGTTTTGGACAATTTTACTTTTTAATTAAAAATCAAGTCAGAAAAAAAAACCTAAAAGGTTAATTAAAATGGAGATATAATATAATCTCAGGTTTAATTTAATTTAATTCGCATAATTTCGATCATCAGTATTCAAATTAATGAGTGGTGACTCCGTTGAGCTTGCCGTTAATGTCCATTTCAGTGTGCGTTGGGGGTTCCGTCGTTCGTTTGTTCGTCACGTCGTACGGTGCGTTTCCTTGCCGCCGTTGACTCTCCGTTATCTTTGGCCCAGTTGCTTTGCGTTTGGTGCAAGGTATTTTCTTTATTTTTGTTTCCTTTTATTTTTATGTATTTTTTATGTTTTATTTAATTTGTTTAATTGCGGTTTGGTTGTGCAGCTGTTAGGTACAAGGGCTATCTGAGACGAATGGATTCCAACTTTAAAATAAGGAAGGAGGAATTGACATATGACCCCTTGTTACGGCAGATAACCCTGGTTTTTAAAATAAAAGGAATTAAAAAAAATTGAACTTGAAAAATTGAATGAAACTGAGAAAACATAAAAAGATGAAAAGAAACACTTAATTATAAAGTGCCCCCTATTGCAAAATAAATTCCAAGTTGGAAACACCTAATTGGCTGAAAAATCTGAAAAGGACTGATATGATATATTGAATGTTATAATAGTAACTTGCCCTTTTCATGGGACAAAGACACCCAACTGCCCTATATGCTATTTGTGTGATTCCATGTAATTATAATTACATTTGGCAACTATTGAGAACACAAAAGAAGAAAAGGTGACGGGGAGATGGTCATGTACAGATTTCATTGCTTAACTAAAAAAATTCACGATGAAAAGGTAATTTTTATTTAAATTAAAAAATTATTTAAGCTAAAATCGTAACAAAAATTTAAAATTTTATATTTTATTTCTATAGACTAAAAAATTTGATAAATTTTTGGGAAATATTCTGGGGTTAAATTTTGTGATTGCTCATGTACACATGAATTTTTTTATGAACTTTTTAAAAGAAAAAATATAAGCAACATAAGACATAACAGTTAATAAAAATGAGAAGTTTCTTAATCCTTTCTAATTTCATTATATTTTTTTAAAAATAGACTCTTTAAGTAATGATTGTTATTTTATAAAGACCTAAAAATTTTAGATTATATAATACTGTAGCTGTTTTTTAATTTATTTTTTATGTAGTATTTATTATCATTTTCAATATTCTAATTCAATTTTAAATACTTAGCTCGAGTGATTTATTAAACAATATTTTTAAAATATTTAATAAAATGATATGTATAACAGTCTTTAATAATTAAATAGTTATTAATAAAAAAGAAAATTTTAAAATTTTTACGATTTTAGTTGACTTAAGTAAAAAATTATTTTTTTTATAAAATTTTCTTAAATAAAAATTACCTTTTTACTAACATTGCTTAAAGATAACTTTTTTATTTAAGTAAATTTTTTTTTGTCAATTTTATTTAGACAAATTTTTTTGCTTCAATAAATTTTTATAATTTACACAAAAAATGCATAGAATTTAGATCTTATAACATGACAATTTCTCTAATTAAAAATAAGTTAATTAAATTAAATTAATTAATATTATACTAAAAATGTTGCGTTAAGAAACTCATGATTTTCACAAATATGATGCTTATTGCTTTATGGCAGAGGGTTTTACTCCATATAAAAAGTACTATTGGGTGATTATTTTTTCAATATGGAAAGAAATGTAATTTTAGACTTGATAAAAAAAATTAAAATAATTCGAAATAATGAAAAAGAGGGACGAGGGAAGATGACATTGTTATTTGGAGATCGGAAGAAACAAATAGAATGTGAAGTTATCAAGTTTGAGTATGGTTTTTCCTTAGATTAAAATTTTTAATTTTATTTATTTATTTGATATGAATGTTGTTTTAAAGTTTAATTTTCTATTTGTAAAAGTTCGTTTAATATTTAGACTCCTAAATCGAATTAAATAAGGTTACAAATACATGTTTACATAAGTTAATTGGTTTATATTTATATATAAATTAATAAATTGAACACTTTAAGTAGATTATCAAATATATCATTTTAAAATATAATAAAAATTTGGTATAATAATATATTTATATTATTTATAGTTATTTAAATAGAATAAGATTTTAAATTTAATTTTTTAAATAACTAGAAATCTAACTTTTTTTTAACTAAATATATTTTTAAAAGAATTTTAACTTGCACATATTTAATAAATATGTTTGGTTTAAGTTTGGTGTGAACTAATGGGGAGACTTTTTTTAGCAAAATGATCAAACTTATTTTCATTCCTAGTTATCTTAAACATAACCATTTTGTTTTTAACGAAAGGAATTAATTTATAGCATTTAACTTACTGGAACCGATTTTTACTTCAAATTAGGTGTTAGAAAAAAATAATAAAAAAAAAAAACATGTAAAGACATCCATTATTTTTTTATTTTCGTAAAAAAAATCTTTCAACGTTAAACAAACAGGCCACTAGTGTACATATAACTTAACAATTAATATGCATACACTTTTACAATATTTTATGTATGAATTTAATGCTTGAATTGAACTCGAGGAAATTATATTATTAATAAATGTCTATTTTTCATAAAATTAATATTTTTTTTAATTTTTTATTGAATTTTATTCACACTTAGCTTGGTGATAAATTGGCGTCACAACTATTTGCACCAGTTAACAAAATCGTATTTAAAACCAGAGAGAGAAACGGGAAGAACAAAATTTTTGACTTACACGCCACGGTTTGAATCAAACGTTAGTTTGAGGAATTTTCCTAATTAGATTTTTGACTTTTATGTAAGCTGGAAGTTGACCAACCCAAGTTGGCAGGTTCGTACCCATTATTGAAAGAATAAATTTAGAATAAAATAATAGAATTTTTTACTGTAAAATAACAAAAAAATAAAAAATAAAAATCCTGATATAGATCCTTTGTCAATTCTTTTTTACACGAATAGACCTGTTTTTTTTTACTATTCAGAATTCAGTTTCTAGAAACTAAATTCTGAAATAGCTTATAGTTTTTTTAATAAATAAATATTATTATTTAAATTATATTTATATATTATTATTCTAATAAATATTTTATTAGTTATATATATTAAAATAAATTTTATTATTTAAATTTTATTTTTATTTTTATATTATTTAAAAATAAATAAAAATAGTAATAATATTAATTTTAAATGTTTATTAAAATTTATTTGATATTTTTAAGATAATAAATAATATTTTTAGAAAACTAAAATAATTAAATTTTTAAAAAATAATTAAATAATAAGTAAATTATTTTAGTTAATTTTTAAAAAATATTTAAATAATAAGTATATTATTTTACATAATAATGTTAATGTTTAAAATATAGACGTCGTTGTATAGCTGATTGTATAACTCATTTAAATAATAATTTTAAAAAACTATTTAAATAATAAGTATATTATTTTAGTAGATTTCGTCGTTGTGGTTGTTGCTCTGGGATTTCATAATGAACTTGTAGAGGATTTGGATCATCATGAAGGTTTAGTTGTTGAAATGCATTTAATGAATTACCAGGTTCATTAGCAAAATTCAGTTAGTAAAGAGACTGCATGTAAGTTTGTGCTGAAGATGGAGTTATAAAATCAACTCCAAATAAATTTGTAAACAAATCCTCTGATGTTGGTGCAAACGAATGTCTTGTGTTAATTATGTTTGTTTTTGACGTAATGATCATAAGAATTGATGCAGTCTCGTGGTACGACAGTGTGGAAGTTATACCCATTTCAAATGTGTTGGTAGTCCTTTGTTGTTGGTCGCTCGTCCTTAAATCTTATAGTAGTTGTGACACAAATAGAAAATAGATAGAATTAGCAATGTACCATTTCTTGTATTATTGTGTGTGACACAATGGGCCTTGAATTGGATGACCTGTTATTATCAGCTCACGTCTGTTGTTCCATATTTCGATCCATTGAGCATGTCTTGTAACCCAATTTTCATCCTGTCTTCCTCTTATATCAATTTTGTGGAGGTCATTCAAATTATTCGGTGGAGAAGGGACTTCTTGGATTAGATGAAACTGTAATTTGACTCTATTTTTTTGGTGTCATTCAACAATTGCAAAATAAAGGATGGCGGTACATGAAGTCCACAATTGGACATCTCTATATGCTTCCATGGGTATTGATGTCTGCAAGTCCATAAAAACTACAAATATATTTAACTCTATCTCTTGACATGTGTGACTAAGATGTCATGTAGCATTGGCATGCGTGACTAAGAAGTCACTATTTCTTGGTCTGCGTGACTGAGAAGTCACTATCTCTTAGCATGCATGACTGAGATGTCATGTAACATTGACATGCGTGACTGAGAAGTCACTATCTCTTGGCATGCATGATTGAGATGTCACTATCTTTTGGCATGCGTGATTGATATGTCATGTAGCCTTGGTCTGTGTGACTGACAAGTCAATATCTTTTGACATGCGTGACTGAGATGTCATGTAGCCTTGGTCTGCATGATTGAGAATCCAACGTTACCATTATAAATAGCCATATTCGTGTTTATTTTATTCATTTAACCTTATAACCTTGTTCCTTATTCTTGTGAACCTTCTCCTTTTAAAAATGTCTTCAATCTATGTCATTGTTCACTCTGATGGTGCCATTAACTAATGTCCTAATGAAGGAGTCACGTTCACCTCACCATCAACGAAATTAGTACATCTAAAGAGAGGAGTGACTTTACAAAGGCTCAAGAAAGTCATCCATACAAAACTTAACCGAGACTCAAATGAAAGGGTGACAACCATATATTTTTGCTACCCAATTAGACTTGGTCCGGGAGTTAGCAACTATACATGTGTTGAGTTGAACAATGATGAAGATGTCGAGGTGCCACAAATGTGCTTCCCCAATCATTTCACAAGATCACAACAAGTTGGGATAACAAATGATTTCTCAAACCATTCATGAAATTATTGAGATTGATCCATCTACACCTATCGCAACCATCTTAATTCACATAAAGTCCATAATGAGTTATACAATCAGCTATAGAAAGGGATGATTGGGGAAACAACATGCCATTAAAAATATCTTCGAAAATTGGGAGGAGTCTTACCATAAGTTACCTAGACAGTTGCTTGCAATGCAATTGTATGTTCCGGGCTTCATATAGAAATTGAGTACACAACCGGCATACAAAGGTGGCTTGCTTGACGAGGGAAATGTGTTTTTCAAGAGATTGTTTTGGACCTTCAAGGAATGCATTGATGGTTTTTCTTTCTGCAAACCAATTGTTCAAGTGGATGGAACATTTTTGATTGGCAAATACAAAAGGACTTTATTCGTGACAGTTGCACAAGAAGGCCGCAACAACATAATTTCCATTGCCTTTGCCGTGGTTGAAGGTGAAACTAGCAATGTATGATTCTTTTTTTTGAAAAACTTAAGGAGGCACGTTACCCCGCAAGAGGGGTTGTGCCTCATTTCGGATCATCACGAGGCCATAAGAAGTGCATACTTCAGAAATGGAAGTGGTTGGATAGAAAACAATTATGTTCATATCTATTGCATTAGACACATTGCACAAAACTTCATGCGACGATTCAAAAATGCTGCACTGAAGAAAGATGTCGTCAATATGGGTAATTTTAATTTTTTACATAGTCTATATTATGATTAATATTTTATACAATTGCTTAACTAGTTATATTAATTTAATTTGTAATCTTATTTCCAGCATATAGGATGACTGAACCGAGATTCTTTTATTATTACAACATAGTAAAAGATAATAATCTTGAAGCTGCACAATGGTTGGACAACATTCAAAGGGAAAAATGAACACTGGCATGGGATAACAGACGACGCTGGGGACACATGACAACAAACCTAGCGGAGTCAATCAATTCGGTCTTGAAGAAAACGAGAAACTTACCAATTTGTTTCATGGTCATGGCAACATACACCTGTTGCAATAAGTTCTTCATTGACAGAAGCAAGGAAGTAGATGTAATGATTAATGCTGAACATATGTACTCGGAGGTTGCAACTAAAGCAATTCAAGATGCACAGTCAAAGGCAAACACTCATAGAGTCATCACCTTTGACAGAACAAGCACTAGATTTTTAGTCAAAGAAACGCAACATCCGACAGAAATTCGACCCGTAGGAAGATTTACAGTACGGTTAGATGGAATGTGGTATGATTGTGACAAGTTTCAAAAAGTTCACATCCCATGCTCGCATGTAATTGCTTAATGCTTACACACACATCACAACTTTGACATCTACATATCTCCTGTGTATACCTTACAACAAATTTCTAGGGTATACGAAGGTCAATTTGAAAAACTTAGACACGAAGACTATTAGCCAACTTACACGGGCCCAACTTTGTGTCCAAATCCAGAACTAAAAAGAACTTCAAATGGTCGACCCAAGTTCAGGAGGATAAGAACAGAGATGGACATTAAAGAACAATAAAGTTAGGCAAATTTTTTTTCTTATTGTCATACCCCTGGTCATACAAGGAAGACATGTCCAAACATCGGTCAAGCTTCTAGTTCACGCAATTGATTTATGTTGTTGTTATTATTTTAAAATTTTCTTAATGTCATTTTTAATTTTATGAATGTCATTGCTTCTTTTAAATTTTTAGTATTTATAATTTATATTCAATATATAATTATATATATAATATATCTACGTAATATTATTTAATTATATTTATTAATATTAATAACATATTTTTTTAAATAAATATTTATGTATAAATTTTAATAAATATTAATATATCATAATAAATAAATAAACTGGTTATTATTTAATACTTTATTTATTTTATAAATATATAATATTAAATAACCAAAAATATAATTTTAGAATATAATATTAATATCATTTTCAAAAAATAAATTTATATTAAATAATATAATAAAAATAATAATATTATTTATTATCTTAAATATATCAAATAAATTTTAATAAACATTTAAAAGTAATATTATTACTATTTTTATTTATTTTTAAATAATATAAAAATAAAAACAAAATTTAAATAATAAAACTTATTTTATTATATATAACTAATAAAATATTTATTAAAATAATAATATATAAATATAATTTAAATAATAATATTTATTTATTAAAAAAACAACTAAAAACTATCTCAGAATTTGGTTCCTGAATAGTAAAAAGAAACAAGTTTATTTGTGTAAAAAAAAATGACAGAGGGTCTATATCAAGATATTTATTTATTTTTGTTATTTTACAGTAAAAAGTTCTAAAATAATGTCCAGAGTTAAGAGGAAATTAATAAATTACTAATGAGAAGAGATGAAAGCAAATAATGTGAATATAGAAGAAAAATGTCTAGAGATATTTGTCGAAAAAATTAAGAGTTAAAGTATCTTTTTTCCTTTGAGGCATACATAATAGTAAATAATAAAAATTTAAAATAATTTTTTATAAAAAAATTATAATATTTATTGACAATGTAGGAAGTTATGTAATATTTTATAATTTTTAATAAATTTATTACATATCCTCAAGTATTTTTTAAGGTTAGAAATCATTAGGCATTTTCAAGTTTAAATGCCTTGAAACTAGTTCTCACTTGTGATTTGTAATTGTTGCTAACTTAATTTTTTCTTCTTTTTGGCACACCATAGAGTTCAAACACATTAAAAATTATATAAAATGTATATTAAAATAAATTATAATAATAAATCTATTTATTTTTTGATTAATTATAACATTTTCATAAATTTATAAATAACAAGCCAAATAGTGAGCCATTTTGATAAAGGTTTAATTGTTCTATAGATCCTTTTATTATGTTTATATTTTTATTTGGTTATGATTATTTATATAAATAAGAGATGGTGAGTGAATCATGTTTAAACACTCCAACTCGTAATCTCTTGTAGGATGAAAACACAAGCATGGGTTGGAGCATGACCCTTTAGGATAAAGTTGGTAGCTGTGAACCAGTCACTTTTTATACATAGTTTGGTTATACCCCTAAACAGGCCCGGTTCTGAGGGTAGGCTGAGAGTGCGATCGCCAAGGGCCCAGACCTAAAAGGGGCCCAAAATAAAAATTATAATACTTACTTGTAATTTGCAGTGGAAAAAGTAAGGGAGCTAAAAGAGCTGTTCTGAAATTCAAACCCAGTTAGGTGTTTCGCGTTTGGAAGGTGATTAATTCGCTATTTATATAAATGCTTTAGTAGGAATATTTATATTATGAATAAGGAGTACCATTTTTATTTTATTTTTTGTAATTTTATTAGAAAAAAATTCTATTTACTTAAAAAATATATTATTTTAATAAAATTATGCTTTTATTTTGTTGTATTATGTCATATAAGTTTTTTTGAAAGGGCCCCAATTTAATATTTTGCCTAGGGCTAAAAAAAGTCAAGAACGGGCCTGCCCCTAAAAAAATCAATTAATACTTTTTGTGAGCTATATTTTTTTTTTTAGATTTTCAACTTGTTTTTAAATTATTAATTATATTTTAGACACATTTTATGCTTTTATTGAGTTAAAAAAACCTTATAGAAAAATAACAACACATTATCTGTTAAAAGGTCATGAAACATTAAATAACAAATAAATCTAATTATTTTAAATTACATTCATTATTATTTTTTTAACTTGCTTGATAAAATATAATAGTTACATGTTTAAAATTTAATAATAGTAATATTACTTTAATTTGAATAAATGGAGCATTACATAAATATATAATAATCAATTATATATAAATATATGGATAAATAATAAATTTATATAATTATATATAAAATAATTAGTATTATAAAACATGTGAAAGGTTGTGACATTTTAACTTATACTCTCGAATTGGATTTTAAAGAATGAGTGTAACTGTGTTTTAAATAGTTAATTTTTTTAAATTTTTTATTAGAAAACAAAATCAATAATATTTATAATAGTAAATTTAAAATTTATCTTTTTTGAATTTTTCTTTAATTGTTTTTTCAAACATTTTAACCCATAAGATTGATGTTAAACATCTAAAAATAATATTTTTTATATAAAAAGTATATTTATCACTTTATAGATTATCATATTTTTTAAATAAAAAATTACTAAAAATTAGTGTTTGAAAGAATAAACTAATTACATAAAGTATGTAGATATTTTCTAACCCTTATCAGGCAATGGCCAAAATGGGGGCCCAATAACCAATAATTACAAAATCCTTCGTTACCTACAATTCCTTATCTATGTTTTGAGTTCATCCAATTCCAAACTAACACACCAACAACAGCCATGTCTTCCTTTTCCACTCTCAGGAGATCACCACCCTTCCTCACCCAACACTTCTCCATCCAACGCTTCCAAATCCACCACTCTTCAACCTCTTCTTCCACATCGTCGCTGCTGAAAACCGCCAACCCGGTTCACCGAACCGGGTTCGGGCGAAAGTGGTTTCCAAGCGTCCTAGCTGGCACCAGTCTAGGGCTTCTTCTGTACTGCTTCTTTTTCTCTGCACTTAATTCAGAGTTCGATTCAGCTTTGCTTAAAACCTCACTCTCTTCTTTCGTTGACCGGTCAGCACCCACTTCTGATGACCAAAACCGACGTCGTTCCTTGTTTGATAATTTTTCCCTCCCTGAAAGCACCGGCACCTTGCTATTCGGAGGCAAGTTTCTCTCACTTCATTTTATTAATTTTTTTCTTTAATTTTTTTAGTGATACATTTTCTTTTGTCGCTGCAGATGCGTTCAGGAGAAAGATTTTCTTCAACTACGAGAAGCGCATACGCTTGCGTAGTCCTCCTGAAAAGGTGCTTTTAATGTCATACATTATTATTGGTTTTGTTAGTCTCCGAAATCTTAGTTTAAGTTTTAGAAAATTTTAATTGAAAAATAATACACTCTATCCGGTAAAAAAAATTTAAGAAAAAAATAATTAAATTACGCAAATTAAAAAATTAGTAAATGTTCTTCATTTTGTCAAAAAAGATGGACTAAATTCACTACTATGTTCAATATCATTTAAGGACGATTTAACATTTTTGTTTGCTGATGGTTTAAGTTCTTATTCTAAATGTCAAAATCAATCTGTGAAAAATAAAAAGCCATTTAGCATATGAATAAAAGAGAATTAAAATTTGGTAACTAGTTTTAAGGAGATTTTTCTTTCCATTTTGAAAGTTGTATGAAATTATTAAGGTTTAGTCTGGATAAACTTTTCCACAACTACTTATTACTTACAAGAGTAAAAAAGTAAGTATTAATACTGAATCAAACTCCTTTCATAAGTTAAAATCATCTTATACTTCTCTACTTTTTATAAGCTACTCTCATTTATTTTCTCTAAAACTTGAAGAGAACACATATATTGAAAATAAGAAAGTCACTAAAAATAAAAATTTAATTCAATAAGGATATTTTAGAGTTAATTTCATTAAATAGTATGAAATCAGTTACGATTTGCTTTTATATATATATATATATCAAAACTATATTATTTTATATATGATATGTCACCTTGCTGTTTGTATTTAGCGACTGAATTAATCAATTTTTTTAACGTGTGCATAAGGACCTATTTGTATAAAGTAAATTTTGTTAAAAATTACAAGATTCAGTGCATTGATAAGAACATGATAACATTAAATGCTATAATTTTTAATAAAATATTATTATTTCTTGATAGTTTATAACTTTTTATTGGGTGTCCTTTTCAATACATTAAAAAAATCCAAGAATCAGTTTACCATGTTTAATTGCTGTTATTAATGTTCTAATCCTAAACTTTGGGTTATGTTGGGTTGATTAATGTTACCTAAAGTAGTGTCTGTTCATACTTAGTGATTTAATTTATTTATATGTTCAATTGATGTAATTAATTGTTCTAATCCTAAACTTTGGGGTTACATTGGCTTGATTAATGTTACATAAAAGTAATGTGCTTTTGACTGATCATTACATTAACTATGGCTACTCTTTTGTTTAAGGTTTTTGAGTACTTTGCATCTGATCGCAGCTCAGAAGGAGAGCTAATGATGAAACCAGTGGATCTAATGAGGGCAGTGGTTCCTGTTTTTCCTCCATCTGAGTCCCACCTTGTTAGAGATGGATACTTGAAAGGAGAAAGAAATCCCGGCCATTTGTGCTGTGATCCTTCTGAATTTTTCATGCTTTTTGATGTAAACAATGATGGACTTATATCTTTTAAAGAGTAAGTTGTTTCCTCTGTGTTGTGTGTCAAGATTTCTTGTGATTGGGGAGTTGGTCTGTTACTATTTATTATATGCAGTTTGGGCATGTTTGGTTTCAGGAAAAGTGCTGTTTTTGCGATTTTCTGTGCATTTCTTTTTGGAATTATGACATGAAACTTTTTTGGTGGAGATAGGAAATGAAAACAGAATGCTTTCTCAAACTAAATATGCCGTTTGTTTTCTTCTCTTTCCTTTTTAGTTGCAAAGGATTGACTAAGACCTGTTATGGGAAGGGGAATAGGGTAAAGTGGAGGCAAAGCAGCCTAAGTAGGATTCAATTTGAGGATCAAGCAGTCCTCTAAGGGGCTTGCTGCCACTTTAAGGTTATTTAGCTATTTTTCTTCTTGTTTTCACTTTCTTTAAAATCTGTGTCCTTATAATCTGTTTGTTTTGTGTCAAAATGCCCTTATGATTCTTTGGAGCAGGTATATCTTTTTTGTAACACTACTCAGCATCCCGGAATCAAGCTTTTCAGTGGCATTTAAAATGTTTGATGTGGACAACAGTGGGTGAGTGCTCAATGTATTTATAGCTTGACTTAATCTATTGTAACCTGTGATTCTTTCTTTCTTTTGCGGGATATTCTTCTCTTTACTCATTTTAACCATTATATTAATCAGTCATTTTTTGAGCATGAGCATGTTCCTGGCATTCAAGGACGTTGCAATTTCTAGCTAGTAGGTACATTACGAAGTGGATTTGCAGTCCTGTGGGTGCTTGCTTTTCCCTCATTATACCTTTCTCTTGATGACTTTTTCGTTTTCATCATTTAAAGGGAGATAAGTAAGGAAGAATTCAAGAAAGTGATGGCATTGATGCGATCTCGTCATCGACAGGGTGTTCACCACAGGGATGGACTGCGAATTGGCCTAAAGGTGAATGATTCTGTGGAAAATGGAGGCTTGGTGGAATACTTTTTTGGTAAAGATGGGAATGAATGCCTGCAGCATGATAAATTCGTAAAATTTTTGAGAGACTTGCATGATGAAGTAAGTTTCTAGTTGCTACAATGTCACCATGTCATTTGGGGTTTGATTTAATTTTTATTTTGTAGGGATGATATGTTGAGGGATTAGGCAGCTATATTCCACTGAAGTTTTCTTCTTATTCTCTCCCTCTTTTTATTTGGTGTTTTGCTCTTATGTTTGGGAGGATTTCCTTATCCTCCAAATGCGCTGTAAGCTCTCCTCTTTGTCTTTCATGAATTCCTTTAATAATAATAACAGAAAAGATGCAGGGAATGATAAAATCATACATTTGATTTTTGGTTTCTGTTGTTTTGGCTTGAACAATAGTGATAAATGGTTGCCTGTCACCTCAACATATATTTTTATGCTAAACTTAATCATGCAACGAGATCTTAAGTTTGTAATGTTTATTCACATAAAAGATTGAAAGTTGTTTGAATATTTATCAAATGAGACAAGATCTTCTCACACTAGTATAAGTCTAAAAACTTTTACAATTAAAGCCTTTTATTTAACTTAAATCTAATAGTTTATAATTTATTACTTTACTGATCGATAGATGTAAATTAAATAAAAGATTCATATCAAATGTAAGAATTTTTAGATTTATATTAGTGTAAGAAGATCTTTTTTCTTATCAAATATTGCATAATTATGCTTGACGAAAATGATTTTTATACTTTTGCTTCTTTTCTGTTTGAAATATCATTAACGTGGAGGTAGTTGTGACAAAAGTAGCATTAGTACTGAGAAAACCTGTATTTCCTTTTATATACCTGGGGTAGTGTTAAAGTTGTGTTTGTATATAGAATTTTAAAATTTAAGAAAATATGAAATGAAGGAAATACTTAAAGTGAGAGTCAAGTATGAGAAGAGTTATAAATGATAAATATAAAAAGTTAAGTATGATAGAAATATTTTTTAAATTCTTTCTAAAGATATTTTATTTAACATAAAATTATTTAATTAAAATTCTATAGTATTTTAAAAATGCCTTTTCTTACTATCTAAATATTTGTAGTGTAGTAAATTTAAATTACTTTATCCAAACACAAGCTTAATGTTTGCAGATTTATGTTCCTTGGTCATGTTAAGTGCTAAAGGAGGCATCTAGTGTCATTTTGTGGAATTATTAATTCTTTGGAGCTTCTAGTTCTTTTGAACTATGCAGAGTAGTCTGATTCCGGATAGCAGTGTGAAGCGGTCGATCCAAAAAATGCTATAACAGAATAGTGGAATAATTGCTATTTTTTGAAAATTTAAAATACACCAAATATAAATTGTTACACATGTATCTGTTGAAGATTTCAAATTTCAATTGTTTGGAGGGGTTCTCAGAAGTTAGAACAAAACAAAGAAGAAAAATAGAACAAAATAGAGTGGTCTCACTGGAAAAAGCTCCCAATGCAGATGGTGCCTGAAAATGTGTGGGTCTTGTTGGAAATGTAGATCACTGTAACTTGATTGGATTTAGTGAACATAGTTAAATTTTGGTTACAAAGTAGTAGCCTCTAACGCAAATGGGTCACATAAAAAATAAGGTATTGTCAGAGATGATGAAGATAACCGAAACTTAGCTGGAAAAGGATGTTGACTATTGTGAAGTTTGTTGGACAAAGTAGAAATTGTCGAAGAAGGTAAATGGGAGCACTTAGGGTTTAGGGTTCAAGAGTACTAAGTTTGAATGATACAACGACATGCAAAAATTGACAATGTAAAGGGAGAGCAAAATTCCAAAATTGCCCCTCATTAAAAAGCCTTCTAATGTTAAGAATAAAAGGGTAAATTTGACATTTTTGTTGTGTATCAAATAGCCACTGCGACAACTGCAATTTTCCGTGATTTGTGCCACTTCTGTTGCTGCACTGAACCGTGATGCTATGCAGTTGGAATAGAAGTTGCCGCTCCACTTTGCTGCTACAGTGGCCGCTATTAACTACTATGGAACTATGTCAGATATGGTACTTGTGTCTGGCATGCTATTTTTAAGGTCTATTTTGATCTTAGAAAGGGAAAAGCAAGGACATGTTCAAGGGAAAAATGATTAGAAGTCTGCTTGATACTTGACATTTGTGGTCCTGATTTAACAGGATAACTTGAGACTCAATGCTTCAATATATACTATTGTGTGGATTTGAATTCAACAATGAATTTTATATACATAAGATTGTTCTTTTCCATTTGCTGGCAAAGTTTCATTTTCTATATTGACCTTAGAAATTATGTATGACTGTTAGCCGCAATATTTTTTGTAGATTTTGAGGCTGGAGTTTGCACATTATGACTACAAATCTCTAAAATCCATATCAGCCAAGGACTTTGCTCTCTCCATGGTTGCTTCTGCCGACATGAGTCATCTAGGCAGGTTGCTTGAACGGGTTGATCAATTGAATGATGATCCACATTTTAAGGATGTACGCATCACATTTGAGGATTTCAAAAGCTTTGCAGAGCTACGGAAAAAGTTATTACCATTCTCTTTGGCCCTTTTCAGTTTTGGTGAAGTAAATGGCCTGTTAACGAGGGATGATTTTCAGCGAGCAGCATCACATGTATTGCACTTATCCTTTTCGATTTTTTGATTAATTTCAAAGTAATGGTTGGTGGTTATTATTTTGTCCCTCATTCCAACAACTTCTCAGTGATGAAAAATAAAACTCTGAATGTTACATGCATCATGACTACACATTTCATTTCTTTTAGAGGGCTGGGTTTTTATGTCGTTTAATCAATGTTATAAACATTTATTTGTTGCCAACTTTTTATATTATAGGATATGATGTAGAGCAGAAAATTCTTATTGCATTTGATTATTTTAATTTCAGGTGTGCAGCATCTCTCTCTCAGACAATGTAGTTGACATTGTTTTCCATTTGTTTGACACAAATCGGGATGGAAACCTAAGTTCAGATGAGTTCATCAGAGTGCTACACAGGCGTGAAAGGAACACTACACAACCAGTGGAGACAGGAATACTAGGTTTATTGTCTTGCTGCTGGAATTGTACGGATAACTTTTCTTCTTAACGTTTGTTTTCCTGGTATACAGAAGAGTTACTTTGACAAACATTTGAAAATCAGACATGACATAACAGAGTGGGTTGGAGAGAGACATAAATGGTAAAGAAGAAATGAAAGTACGATAAAGGAAAAGATGGGTAGAACTGTTGGTCTGTGACTCGGAGTTTCGGGTAAGAACTAATTTTTTGTCAAACACAGGTCTTCCTGGTTTCACCTCACTTTGCAGTACCCTTGAAAGAAGATGGGCACCGAAATAATCCACTTTTTGATAGATTTGAAATGTCAAGTATGTTTTAAAATGATCAATGTGTGTCACTGTCAGTGAGGTGGTGGCGGCCTTGGTTCTATTGGTTACCGACACACTATGTGAGTATTTGACTGTACCTTAAATTTGTAATTAGTATTTAATCACTCATTCTGTTGTAATCTTTGAAGCATTTCAATGGTAGTATATTTACACTAGTTTGTTCATTCATTAATGCCTACAATCGTTTGATTATGCAATGTATGATTATGTGTTATTCCTGTAGTTCTGGCCACTCTTGCATTTAATACAACATTATGGCGAGTACCGTGAGATAATTAAGTAAAGGAGTAAAATATAACATGCACCATAATGTTTGAATATCACAAAATCTTAAACTTATTTATTTCTTACGTGGTTCACATTGTTCCGCTCCCTTTTCTTTAATGTCGTTGAATTCATAGTTCAATAATCGAATGGATCTCGTTTCTTCTCGCCACAAAACCATAACTTCTATTTAATCACTGTAATCACTTATTTTATTTAATGCACTCTTTTATTTTAGGCTGTGATATTCTTCAGATATCACCAATTTTGGAGTGTTCAAAATAAGAATCCTAAATCATAATTAAATTTCGATCTACAGGCTTAGGAATAAGTCTTCTCTCTCGCATAAAGCAGTTAACACGTGAGGCAAAGACTACTAATCTTGGAGAGCAACTTAAGAGTCTTAACTGATAATATTTTTACATCGTTATGTATCCTTTTTGTAAGCCTTTGCACAAGGGTCAGGGCACGACTGAGCAATGTAAATAAGGTGGACAATGGAATTGGATTCTCTCTTGTTTGTACGGAAAATTAGACGTTTAATTTTAAATTTATTTAAATAAAAATAGATTCTTTTAAATAATTTTTTCTTTTTTCAGTCTCTACTATTCCTTTCCCTTTTCTAAGTCTTACTCTTCTCTTTTTAATTTTTAAGCTCCCCTAAGCCTTTCTCCTACCCTTACCTAAATTCACTCTCTTTTTGTGCTTCCCTCAACCCGTCACTTTTCTCCACATTCTCTTAGTCAATTTGTTTTTCTTTTTAAAAAAATGGTAAGATTTGTTTAAATAAAAATGAAACTGAATGACTAATTTTTTCGTAAGCATGAAAAATTCAGATTCGATGTATAATTTAGTAGAGGATATGTGGTGTAAGAAAAAGTGTATAATCATAAAATAAACTATAGTTAAATAAAAAGCAAAAAATAATAAATTTAATATTTTAAAATGACATAAGCGTACTATTCCATATTTAAATATTGAAAAAATAAATAATATGCTATGATATTTTTTTGAAAGCTTATGCATGTTAAAAATATGGAATATGAATGACATAATATTGAAAATAAAGAAATGATATATTTTTTTTATGGATGAAATGATAAATTTTAAAACTTATAATCTTCTATACATATAATACATTAAATTAACGAAGTTTTACCACTTATGTGGTTTTTTTTAAAATGATTTAAAGATTGATGGGGAACTCCATTATAAAAAAAAAAAAACAGGAAGACCGCGAAATACGAAAGCGAATAGCAAGACACTGATTATCCTTCCTATGATATGCTGCAAAATGAATTTTATATAAAATAAAATGAAGCTTTATAAATAATCCTTACAAAAAATATTATTAATATTAATGACACAAATTTTAATTACATTAAAACACACACATATATATCAACGTTTTATAAATATTTTAAAAATACAATTGTTTATCTAATATCCTATGCAAAAATTGTACAAGTAACAAAATATAACAGTGTCAAAAATTCAATTTTTTATATGAAAAAAAGAAAAAAAATTAAAATTATAGTATTTTTTTAAAATTATAAAATATAAAATCTTTTCAAAAAGGGTCAAGTCTTTTATTATATGAGGAAAAATGAAAAAATTATTAAAATATGACGTCTTGAACAAAATTACGAAACAATAGAAACTTTCCAAAAATTGTCAGTAACATTTTAAAATACTTTTAAAAAAATTTTATTTTTTTAAAAATTGCTGTTATATATTAAACTATATATAAAAAATTAAACCTCAAAAGCCTACCTTTTTTTTTTTTTTTTTTTTTTTTTTCTAATTGTGAACAGAATTGAGCAATAAATAGTAGATAACTAGAAGCAGTGTAACCGGGAAGAAAAGGACAACAATAAAAACGGTCGAAGATTTACCTGCGTTGTCCTATGTCGTTCTCATTAAGAAGGAGTCAAAGCCTGAAATGTTAAGAAAACAGTGAATACATACCAAAATATAAATACTTATTATGATTAAATAAAACGAACCAACCTTTGAATTCAACAATGGCAGAAACAATCCTTCTTCCCTGGGCGAAGATCCCACCGCCAAGATGACGTGGGACCAATCTACGTCGTATTTGCCTTATTTTAGGTACCATTTTTAAATCATGTCAACCCCACCCTTTCCACACTCCACATGCTTTTGCGCTGTGTTTTCCCCTAATAAAGCACTCTCATCCCTTTCATTCTACACCGCACCCCCTTCACCCTCTTCCTCTTCCTCCCAACGTTGACTTCAAACCCTAAGCAAAACACACCAAATAACCATTATCATAATAAATCGCGTAACCCTCTTCACCCTCTTCGTCTTTTTCATCGTGAGATTCAATTATTTCCTGTCAATTCCATTTTCTGGGTTATTAATATTTTCCTTTTAATAATTGATTCAGTGATCCATGGGGAAGCCCACCGGGAAAAAAAAGGATCATGAAAGCCCGAAGGCAAACGGCAACAACAAACCAATGGAACGCGCGTCGTCCAAGGCCTTCGACGACGACACCGCGATGTTCATAAACATGTCGCACGAGCTGAAAGAAGAAGGAAATAAACTGTTTCAAAAGAAGGATCACGAAGCTGCCATGTTGAAGTACGAAAAAGCCCTCAAGCTTCTTCCAAAGAATCACATCGACGTCGCGCATCTTCACACCAACATGGCCGTGTGCTACATGCAGCTTGGCCTCGGCGAGTACCCACGCGCCATCAACGAGTGTAATTTGGCGTTGCAGGTCTCGCCTAGATATAGCAAGGCTTTGTTGAAGAGGGCTAAGTGTTATGAAGCGTTGAATCGGTTGGATTTGGCCATGAGGGACGTGCGCGTGGTGTTGAATGCGGAGCCCAATAATTTAACGGCTTTGGAGGTTTTGGATAGTTTGAGGAACACAATGGATGAGAAAGGGATAGTTGTTGATGAGACTCAGATTGCATTGGCCGCCCTGCAGCAGCAGCAGCAGCAGCAGCACGAGCCGCCGGCCGCCCGGTTGCGGAAGGTGGTGAGGGAGAAGATTAAGAAGAATAAGGGACATAAGGGAGAAGAGGAAGAAGGGAAAAGAGTGGTTGTTGAGGACAAGGTGAAGGTTGAGAGTGTTAAGAAGATGGATAGTTGTAATAATAATCATAAGGTTAAGGACAAGGACAAGGATAAGGATAAAGATAAAGGTAAGGGATTTAAGGGTAAGGATAAGGAGAAGAGGGAGGTCGTTGAGAATGAGAAACTTGGGAAGCAAGAAAAGGCAGTTACGAGGACAGTGAAGTTGATATATGGAGAGGATATTAGGTGGGCGCAATTGCCAGTGAATTGTAGTATGAAGATGGTGACGGATGTGATTAAGGATAAGTTTCCAGGGTTGAAGGGTGTTCTTGTTAAGTATAGGGATAGGGAAGGTGATTTGGTTACTATTACTACTACTGCTGAATTGAGGTTGGCTGAAACTTGTCATGTGCTGGGATCGATTCGGCTTTATGTCACACAGGTTGAGCCGGATCAAGAACCTTGTTATGATGAAAAGGGTAGTGATGGTGGGGTAAGGAAGGATGGAGGGAGGCTGATTGACAATGGAGGTGCTGATGGAGGCAGGGGTGTGGGTAATGGGATGACTACTGTGGAGGACTGGCTTGTTCAGTTTGCTAGGCTGTTCAAGAACCATGTTGGGTTTGATTCTGATGTGTATTTGGATATTCATGAGGTTGGGATGAAGCTGTATTCAGAGGCAATGGAGGATACAGTGACGAGTGAGGGTGCTCAAGAGCTGTTTGAGATTGCTGCAGATAGGTTTCAAGAGATGGCAGCTCTGGCGTTGTTTAATTGGGGAAGTGTTCACATGTCCAAGGCAAGGAAATGGGTGTCCTTTCCAGAGGACGGGTTGAGAGAATCTTCGTTTGAGCATATCAAGGCGGCATATGAGTGGGCTCAGAAGGAGTACATGAATGCAGAGATGAGATTTGAAGAAGCTGTGAGAATTAAGCCCAACTTTTATGAAGGACTTCTTGCTCTTGGGTATCAGCAGTTTGAGCAAGCAAAGCTCACTTGGTGTTATTTAATTGCAAACAATAAGGATTTAGAAGTTGGTCATTTTGATGAGGTTCTACAGCTATATAACAAGGCAGAGGATAGCATGGAGAAAGGCATGTTGATGTGGGAGGAGATTGAGGAGCAGCGTTTGAATGGAATATCCAAATCAGATAAATATAAAGAGCAGTTAGAGAAAATGGGTTTGCATGGTCTTTTCAGGGATGTTTCTGCTGATGAAGCTGAAGAGCAGGCTGCAAGGATGAGGTTGCAAATATATCTTTCATGGGGCACCTTATTGTATGAGCGTTCTGTTGTGGAATATAAGCTAGGCCTGCCAACTTGGGAGGAATGTTTGGAGGTTGCAGTTGAAAAGTTTGAACTAGCTGGAGCTTCTCCAACTGACATTGGTGTCATGATAAAGAACCATTGTTCTAATGAAACAGCCATGGAAGGTACGAAATGGAAATATGATCGTGTGTATTTCTCAAATTCCTTTTGAGTTTCAAATATTTAGGGGAACTAACAAATTGGTTTTCACAATTGCAGGGTTCAAAATTGATGAGATAGTGCAAGCGTGGAATGAGATGTATGATGGGTGGCAGTTTGATGTTCCATCATTTCGACTTGAACCATTGTTTCGTCGGCGTGCTCCAAAATTCCATTACATCCTGGAGCAATTTTGAGTCTTCTTGTTGTGTTTGTTATTCTTTATAGAGGCAAAACTAGTGCTTCTATTTTCTTTATAGATTTTTGAAGGCTTCTTCATTCTATTCCTAGACAGGTAAGTAAGACTATACTTCTACTATAGCTTTGTTTGCATGTTCCTATTGAACATCTTCCAAATTTTCTGGAAAATTTAGGGAGATTTGATAGAATCTTAGTTTTTTATAAGCTTATACCTTAAATTGAAATTTTGGTTTCATGAACAACAGAAGGTTATGCCAGGTGGTTTCTGTTGTTAAAAATAGAGGGTATCTTTCTGGAATCACTCATGAGAGGAATAGAGAGAATGAAAGGGAATCCCAGTGCTTAATCTCGAAGTTCAGTGCTTACTGTCCTGATTTATGTATTTAGACTTCTAATAGAGATCGAAAGGGAATCCCAGTGCACTAGACTCCCAGCCGGTAGAGTCTAAGGAGGGTAGATGTACACTACACAGCCTTATCCTCATAAGCAGAGAGGCTGTTTCCAGTATATGGACCCCTGCCCTTTTTGGGTCACAAGGCAGCAGCAACCTTACTACTGTGCCAAGTCTTGCCCTCAATTCTAATAGATAGATTATTTTTACTCATGGTAGGAAAGATAGTAAGAATTTCCGAAACTTCTATTTATATAACTGTAGGTGTATGTGCCTGACCTATGTCCTAGATTACTGTATAATCAATTGACAAATAATAGCTGCATGTTTCATGGAATCACAATTTGATGCTGATGTCTTCAGTAGATGTTTCTATGGTTAGATAGACAAGAGGTTATTGATTAGCCTTTAGACTAGTTAGGTTGCTAAGGTAATCTCACTTATATTTCTGGTAAAAGGATTACCACGTTAAATTTGTGTTGATTTTTTGGTGAGATTTTGTGAACAATAGGTCTTATTGATTTGGAACATATTACATTGAACCTGCTCTTTGGGGAATGGTATCAGTCTCCTTTGCAAAATATTTTGGGGAACGAATGACATTGTCGATGGGATTTGATATGTTGTCCCCAATCCCCATATGAAATAGAAATAGAGAATATCAATCACATACAACAAGAGGACAGCAGAAAGCAGAAAGGAAAGAAGGGGAGAAAAGAAAACAACAAAAACCTAGTGGATTTTATATGATGAGGCTTTGAATTTATAATGGGATTGATGAAACTGATGATTTGAATTACTGTTACTGGTATTATGATTCTATATGTTCATTGTTGGGTTAATAAATTATCAGGTTGACTAATTAGTAACTTTAGAGAGCAATTTTTTACCTTGTCTTCCTTTAGTATTTGTTCAATGTTTCAGTCTTCAACTTCTACTGTTCAATCTTATTTCAATTTTTTTGCTCTACTTTTTAACCAAGTTGTAAGTTTTTATCAATGATGACATATATGTGATTGGCCTGAAACTCTGAGTGGATTTATTTGCCTTGTGGTTGCAGGGATTTTTTCTCCATACTGTATACTCATTGATGGGTGCAACGATTGTGTTATTCTTTTGGATTGCAGTTTTGTACGTGGTTGGGGTCTTAGGCTAGAAAGCCTAGCTATACTATTTTGTTTTCTATTAGAGGGGGAGTGCCGTGAGGCTGTTATTCTTTACAGATGTAATATCAGTATATGATTCCTTTTGATGTTTTGAGGTAGTGAGTGTTTGATTTGATTTGTTCAGCTTGAAAAACCAATAAAAAAATTCAGCTTTCAGGTTAGCTGGGATTTGATGATTATTTTTGTCAAATTGTCACTTGTAACATTATACGGGTGTTGCATAGCACAGTACAAATTTTTTATAACATATTCTCTCGAGTGTCTTATATCTTTCCCCACTTCATCTTTGAATAACAAGTTACCCCTATGTTGTACATTTTTTTTTATTGTTTTCTTGGTTATTTAAGCTAATTACTTTTGAGCTCCATTTTATTAATTAAGATTTGTTGATTTATTTTTGCATTAGTTTTGTAGGATGAATATTTTTAAAAAGTCACAAATAAGTTGAAATTTATGTAATATCTATTATGCTAATATATTTTTTGGTTAAATAGTTATGTGCTTGTAAATTTATTTTAAATAAATAAAGAATCATTCCTACTTTGCATTTTTCTAAACTAAACAGAATAATTATTCAAAGTAGTCTTTTATAGAGAGATACACGTGACATTAGTTTAGTCCTTCATAGTGTAAAATAAACATCATTTGAGAGGTCAGATTGATGTCTAAAAATACGTTGATTAACTAAACTGATGTCTACTTTAAGGGTGTGCTTGTTGGCACATTAAATTGCTTAATTTAAAATTTCTATATAGTCTTTATACTTAAATTATTTCTTACAGTAAATTTAGATTTTGATTGTTGTACTTTATTCATCTGGATATTAGTGTGTATATATATATATATATATAGTCAAACATTTTTATGTATATTTTCCTGTTTTTAGATTTTAGTCTGCTATAAATTAGTGGCACTTATATTTTTCACTTATTTGGATTTCCGTTATTGCTTTCACTCATTAAGATATTAATTCTTATTTTCATAGACAATTAATTCTTATAATTTCAAACTATTAAGGAATTTATTTTTGAGAGACCAAAATTTTAAGAAGTGCATAAGTTAGAAACTAGCAAAAAATTACATGGATCGAATTTGAATCGGGTGAAACTATAATTTATAATTTTTTATTTTATAAAATATTAAATAATATGAACGTGTTTTCAGAAGATGGCTTAGAAAATATTATAAAAATAAAAACATTAATTTATGTTTTATCTATTACGAATTTAGCTCGTCTAAAGTTATTTACAGTTATTTTTAAAATTTTATCAACGACTTAAACTTTATCAAACTAACTTGCAACTTTCAAAGCTACTCGAATATGACGTATTGGTGGATTATATTGATGCATTTTGAAGAAGTAATAATAATTTCAATTTCGTCATTTTTCTTATAATATTACCTGATGATTTTGTTTAAAATTTACATCAAATTCAACTATATTTTCTTGCCTGATCATTAAAATCTTTAAAATTAGTATTAAAAACTAACGTCGACAAAATTATATATATATATATATATATATATATATATATATATAAAATCTTTAATATCTAACATCTCTAATTTTTATTTTAAATATTTTTAGTACTATATCTTAATTAAAACCATTTTAATAAAATGTAAATACTTAATGCTACCGAGCACATAGATCGGAAGGGTTGTTTCATCTAACATTCTAATTTTAATTAATAAATAATATTTAAAATATTAAAAAATTACATTTTATCCACACAATTTAATGTATCATTGGATTGTATTTAAAAAAAAAAAAAAACATCATCGGATTTCTTATACTTTTCCCGAAGACACCTTGTTTCAGACTCTCGGTAGTAGTTGGAGTGAGAGAGAGAATAATAAAACACAGCTTAGAGCATTGTCATCACTCACTTCGTTGCACAACTTCAACTCTCAGAAGAAAAGAATCAATCGGGTAGCGAGTCACACTGAGTCGGACTCGCTCCTTCTCCCCTTTCTATTCAATTCTAGGGTTTTATCACACACTTAAATCCTCAATCATGGGCACCAAGGTCAGGAGACCCTCCCATGCTGGTTCTTGGTACACCGATGATCGTAAGTCTCTCAATTAACTTTCACGATTCACCAATTTCGACTTCAATTTGCCTGATCAGGTTCAAAAGATCCATTTTTTAATGTCTCAATTACTGTTTCTCTCGATTCTCGCAATTGGGGTGAATCCTGTTGAAACTTCTTCCAAAACAGTGGAAGTTCTCAACTTTCTGGGTTAACTGATCAGTTACTTACCACTCTTCAAAATGTGAAATCTCAGGTTGATAAATATGTTTATTTATTTTTTAAATTTTAATTTTTAGCTAAGCAGCTTTCAGAAGAACTTGAAGGGTGGCTGCAATCGTGTGGGTTGGCTAAGTCTCCTGATGTGAGAGGAGTAATAGCACCGTAAGTGAAAGTGTTCTTTTATTATTATTATTATTATTGATGATTTGGATTTTGAGTAAAGTAAAACTTCTAATGTGTTTGTGGTGCAACTGGAATGCTGTGATGTTAGACATGCAGGTTATTCCTATTCAGGACGAGCTGCTGCTTATGCCTTTGGGAACATAGATCCATCTAACATGTGCGTTCATTTCTTGTTTGCTTCTCTAGTATTGCTTTTGGTACACAACTTAGGCACAATTTGGATAAACTTTTATTAAGTCTTTATAGGAGAAGAAAATTAATATAAAAAATGAATAAAACTTCTTTTATAAGTTAAAAGTAGCATATACTCCTCAAATTTTAGAAAAATTAAATAAGAGAACTTCTAAAAAAGTAGAAAAAAATATAAGTTAACTTATGGAAAGAATTTGATTAATTTGATTACTTAACTTTTTTACTCTTTTAAATACTTATTAAAAAGTAATCCAAAATGGGCCTTAATTAAATGCCTATTCAATAAGTTCTTTTTATATGAGGGATTATGCTAGAAATTTAACTATAAAATTTATTGAAATAACTTGAAAATTAATTATTGTGATAAATTATACCAAAAGTTTATTAAAATAAGCTAGAAAGAACTTACCAGAGTCACGGTCCATTTTCATGAGTGATCGTATGCTCTTCCAAGCATTCCTATTTGTCCTCTTCCCTGTTGAAGTGTTTGTGGAAATAGTATTAGCTTCCCTGCTGTTTTTCTTGTGCTGCCGTCCCTGCTAACTTAAGGATTGTTGTTGTTGTTTTCTTTTCTATTTTAATGTTTCAGTACACGTGTGTTCCTTCTTGGTCCTTCTCACCACTACTATACTCCAAAATGTGCTCTTTCGACTGCAACAATCTACAAGACACCCATAGGGGACCTGCCTATTGATTTGGAAGGTACCGATTAAGTGTATAAAATCTTTATGGGTTTTTAACTTGTGGTTATGTTGCATTGATTGGGGCCTGATGTGAGCCAATTGCTGCTAATGTGCTCTGCAATCATGGCCTAGAAGTTAGCATGATTGCTTGTAGTCTCTGTCAACTGAGATGTTGCTGCTGCATTATGTGATATTGTTTGCAGTATAGAACCTTCTTATCAATATAGTTCATTTGTCATTCTTGTCCATATTCTTCACATGGATTAGAATTTGAGATTTTATTGTGAATGTGGGCTTCTCTTTGCAGAATATTGATGTAAGGGTAATCTATGAATTGTGAAAGTAGAAATATATTAATGATATCTATGTGTAAAGTCAAATTTTTGTGGTGATGGTTTTCTGACTGAGTTGTGAGGATGGTGGATTATTTGAATCAATTTTCTGAGAACTGAATCAATTTTTTCAGTTCTTTGATATTGATCCTTTCTATCTTCTTTGGTCTCATATAATTCTTTGTTATTTTACCAGTGATCGAGGAGCTTAAAGCTACAGGAAAGTTTGAACTGATGGATATTCGGGTCGATGAAGCTGAACATAGCATGGAAATGCACCTGCCATATCTTGCTAAAGTATTTGAAGGGTAAATTTTGTTATATAGAGCTTCCTGTTGTGAAACTGTGCAAAAGGCACTGAATTTGGATTTTTATGCAGGCACCAGGTGAAAATTGTGCCCATTTTAGTTGGTGCTGTTAGTGCTGAAAATGAAGCTATGTATGGGCAGATTCTTGCCAAATATGTGGATAATCCCAGCAACTTCTTCTCTGTTTCATCAGACTTTTGTCACTGGGGATCTCGGTATGTACCGTTGAAAATATTTGAATACCCCCCCTTCCCCCCAAAACACGCACGCACGCACACAATTGTCTGAGATGTGCTAACAAAAACACACATGCAAAAATTTAGAGCCTGGTAACATTTTCCATAGGCTCATTTATTCCATATTGGTTGTTAGATGATTAATGTTTTTAAATAATATACTGCATTGGTAACGAAAGTTTTTGTTCAGATATGCTTCAGTGGCCTGACTGTTTTCTTCTTGACCATTTATATTACCCAATTGTCCACAGTTATGTATTCTGGTGGATTCATGTTTCTCATTAGTTTGAAGCAGGTGTTGATTATTGAATATTTAAGGTTTTTCATTTGTTTTTGTAACCTGTCTTCTGACTGATGTTTTGTGTCAGATTCAATTACATGCACTATGACAAGAAACATGGACCTATATACAAATCTATCGAGGCCTTAGACAAGATGGGCATGGATATCATAGAAACAGGAGATGCAGATTCATTCAAACAATATCTGTTGGAGTATGACAATACAATCTGTGGACGCCATCCAATTAGTGTTTTCCTTCATGTAAGTTCCTTATAAATAAATGGCCACAATATCCTTATGAAAGTAGCACTAGACAAATTTGAGAATCTGACTATGACTTGAAGCAAATACCAATATTATTATTTTATCGTTCTTATTGTTATTATAAAATCATGTTTTCTTATCATACCTTACTATGAATGGAATTGATTAATCAATTTGAGAAGTTCACCACTCCTTCACCTTTCCGAACAACAACAAAAAGAGTTGATATTTGTTCAAAATGTATGGTTTTATTACTGTTGATCTCAGGATGTGATTTCACTGTTGTACTGCCATTTGAGAACTAGTTTGAGGCATCTATTATGAAACTTGCAAGATTTGAGAATGTGATAGCTAGTTGCACTTACAATGGGAAGCACTTGGATTGGTTTTTTTATTAATTTCTTTCTTCATTTGATGCTTACTAGAGCTAAAATGTTTATTATCTTGCTTTGATGAGCTTCACTTGGAATATTTTCGGATGCATTGAAATCGTTTATTATTGGTAAAATAATGTAAGGTTGTCCATATCTGTATGTTCCATAAACGGGTTTTTCTGTTCGATGCTAATCTTATTTTTACTTTAAATTTTTGCAATTTTTTCAGATGCTAAGGAACTGCTCAACAAAGATAAAAATCAAATTTCTTCGCTATGAGCAGTCCAGTCAGTGCAAAAGTACAAGGGATAGTAGTGTTAGTTATGCATCTGCAGCAGCAAAGATTGATGGCTCGAGTTCTAGTTGAAGATCTTCCTTCTTTGATGTGGCACTCAGCAATTTCATTTCCTTTTAAGTGACTATTTATATTTTAGCTTTAACAATTGAATATCATGCTCTATGTTCATAGTCATTCTCAGTTCTCACTAACATATATTGCTTGTCTTTAGCTGGGGATGTTGTCAAATAATCAAATTACTTTACACTTCTTAGTTGGCGTCCCTAGCTAACATACTTGGAAAGTTGTGACTATGAGCATGTAATTTGGTCATGTTTTGGTTGCGACCATCAAATTCTCAACTTGCACTTGCACTCTGTCAGCATCGTATTTGTTTTCAATGTAGTCTTAGCTGTGGTAATCAAGTGTTAGCGTGTTTTGGATTCAATTATTTTTGTTTTATGTGAAAAAAAAATCTTTAAGAGTACTGTTCATTGTTGTTTGGCTAATTCTGAAAAACCAGCTTATACTCTCTGATTTTTTTACAAAGAAAATAAGTTAAGCAAAATTAAAATATATAAACTTATTTATTCCAGTTAAATTTTATTTCCATATTTTGTTCTTAATAATAAATTATTTTAATATATATATATATATATATATATGTAGAGAGAGAGAGAGAGAGAGAGAGGTGTTTGAATATACAATTTATTTAATAAATTATTTTAAAATGATGACTTATGTCATAAGTTAAAAAATGAAACTTGTTGAAATAAGTTAAAAATAGCTTTAAGCTTATTGCAATAAATTGAAAATAATTTATGAAAGTCATAAACTATTTTCTATAAATTGCTTATAAGTTATTTTAAACAAGCTTTACAAAAATTATTTTATATAATTCAAACAAATTAGATTATTTTAAAATTAACTTTTACTTAATATATTTAAACATAAAATTTATTTTATAATCAAATGTTACAGTAATTAATTATATATTTAATTGGTTATTGAAATGGAATTCTGCCTTGACTATTACACAAGTTGTATTATTGTTTGACAATTTAACTTCATTTTTTCGTGATGTTTAAAGTAATTAAGCATGGGATTGTAGGACTACAAAGACCTCTTGATGATTTGGGATAGTGTATTTATGTGGGAAAAGTATAAATGTTACAAAAAAAACTTGAAAAATTTAGGGCATGTTTGTTTGTTTTCTTTAAAAACAATTTTCTGTTTTTAAAATAAAATATTATATAAATTTGTATTATATTTTATTTTTAAAAACAGAGAATTATTTTTAAAAAGAAAAACAAATATCCTCTTAGACTACTAATCATCATATTTATCATAAAACCTAAGGTTGAGGCATCGTTCTCTACTGTGAACCATTACAGCCCCAAACTCAAGCAAGTGCACCATCACATATATTTTCACACCAATATCAAGACAATAAAACTCCGCCTTGTAGACAACTCACATTTTCTGACCATTTAATGACAAAAAAATATTAGAAAAATATTTTTATTTTCCATTAAAAGGACTAAGCCGGGGTGAATTGGTTTTTTGGAATCAAGAACAAAAATTATAAAATTAAAATAAATAGAATAATAATAATAATATAAACATTGCAAAGTAATAAAAAAATAGAAAGAGAAGATATATGCATAGTTGATTTGTCTTAGTTTAGTCACAATATGTGATTTGCCTCTAGTCCCAAAGCATCTCCTTGAATTCTTCAAGTCATTCTCATTTGTATATAAAAACACTGACAAACCTTCCTCTGCTACAAATCAAAGGAATCTGGATCTTCTTCTATAACTTGCAGTCAACATTCGTTTAAGAAAAAAATTAACTTAAATAAATTTGATAAAAAAGTATTTTTCACTTAAATTTAAAACATTTGCTTTAATGAATTGGTGAAAAAGTAATTTTTATATAAATAAAAAGAATTTGCTTAAGCTAAAATTGTGAAAAATTTTAAAATAGAAAATTTGAGAAACTTTGTGGAAGAACTATTTCATAATTTTTATCACCATTCTCAACAATATAATTCAATTCTAAATAGTTCTATCTCACTGATGCTTAGCACAAGTGACACACTAGATAATATATATAAAATATTTGATAAGATGATATATGTAAAGATCTTTGGTAACTAAGTAGCTATTGATAAAAAACAAAAGTTTCTCAAAATTTCTATAGTTTAAAGAGGAAGGAGATAAAATTTTAAATTTTTTCACAATTTTTGTTTAAATGAAAATCATTTTTTATCATATTTGCTTAAACAAAAATTATTTTTTGACAAATTTACTTAAACAAATTTAGACGGTAAACTGCAATTTTCACCAAAATTGCAGAGAATTCATATCCAAATCAAAGCTAGGTGTATAATGGTTTCTTTCTCAGGACAACACAAAAATTTTCCTATATCTTCTATCAAAATAAAGTATATCATTGTTTCTTTCATCAATGATACCTTGGAACCTCTTTCTATCTTCACTGGCTATTGAGTAATTCAAATAATTTAACAATATTAAAAGTTTATATAAGGCAAAAAAGCTGTTAATTTTCTGTGAGAGCTTAATAGTTTACAAAGAGTTTAACTTATTCAAATGAGTTTTTTAAAACTTTTTTTTTTCTATTGCTCTTATATATAGTTTTTCGTAATTTTTTTTTCTAAATTACTTTTATTATTATTATTTTTTGGTTTCTCATTCGATTTAATCGGAATCCAACACGAGTCTCGCATCACTGCAAATTTTTTACATACACAATAACTTGAACTCAAAACCTTACTTAAATGATACTGAGCCGCTTGCTACTCGAACTAACCTTCATTTGTTCTAAACTACTTTTATTAACTTTTAATAATAACAAGTCATTTTAAATCAAAAGAATAATTATTTTCATGGTCTTATTTGCAATTGAATCATTCTCTTTATATTAACATCATAACATACTTTTTATCTATATTTGTTATTTCTTAAAGTTATACTAATTATGTGTTGATCAATAATTATTTATTTAAATTCTTCCATTCATCCTTTTTTTACTATTTAAGTTAGTGATCAATAATTTTTTTTTCGTGTTTGGTTCATAAACTATTTTTTTATTTTAAATTTTTTCAGAATTTAAATAAATGAGATATATAAATTGTTTAAATAACAAAATTGATTTAAAAAAAAAAAGCTTTTTCATGTAATCAAATGAGCAAAGCCTAACCCTATTTCGACAATAGGTGAAAGTGTGAAACTGGGAAAATACTTCAACTAAATCTAAAAAAGGCTACAAATGAAATTGGTTATCCGCCAGTGTCTATATATAGGAAAATAACCAGAATATATATATATATATATATATAAAGTACAATTTTAACACTTCAAATGTGACATAACGACAAGCCTAATGTGGTCTTATGATGAGTTATTGCTCCTTTGAGCTATGCATAAGATTTGAATTCCTCACTGGGTTTTGATCCAATTACCCCCTAATTCCCGAGGCTCAAACACATAAATACTACCATCTGTGAGTCCCACGGCAAACTGCGTTGGTTTCAGTGGATGTGCAGCTATAGAAATTGGCCACATGCTCAAACTGCAACAAACAAAATATATGCAAGTTAAATTGAATGGCAATGTTGCATATGTGATGAATAAATGTCAATGCATAATTAACTCTGATATAATTTCTCTGAACTATGGATTTGATTAATAAAGAAAAAATGACATGTTTTAAGTTAATGTACACTTTTTTTAAAAAAATAATTATATAAATTACTATGGTAAAATGACTTTGTTTGATTAAAATACCTTTATAAAAGGAGTTAAAATGTAGTTTTATATCTGTTAAAGTATTTATGTAAGATATCAATTAGTGTAGATGTTATTGAAAAATAAATGCTCGCTTTCTTAATTTTTTAAAATCAAAAGTATTTTGAGATAAATTCAATAATTTAAGTGACATATAGTATAATATGGAGGGAATAATAGTTTTCTAGCAAGAGCAAAATTGATGTAGGAAATATGAAAGTATAACAGCTATATGATGTAAAGCTATGGCAAACTTAGAAAATGCAACCATGGAGATAAGAAAAATATACCGAGAAGTTGGAGAAAGGTAAGCACAAGGATGGACCCTACAAAGCACTTGAAGATTTGAAGCTTCAAATATTGCCAAAGTCCCATCAACAAAAATGGCATACACAGAGTGCCCATTAGATGAGAAAGTTGCTTGAGAGATAACAACTGGAACTTCTGGAACCCACTGATATGAAGGAAAATGAAATTTCATAAGTTGAAAAGAAAAATATTTAGAAAAGAATATATATGATATGTTAGGGGAAGAAGAGAAAACCTGTTTGACACATCTTAGTTCTGTTGCTTCATAAATTGCAAGATGACTATCATGTACAGCAAGGAAGTTTGTCTGATCTGGGTGAAACTGAATTTGAGTTTCTGATTGTACTTCTGGCACCTTCTGTCCATGTATTTGCAAGTACCTATCTTTCAACTTTCCCCATCCTTCTGTTTTCCATACAATAATCTACCAGAGAAATCAGAACAGTGACAGAGCATATTTACAATTTGATTAGAATGCATTATCAGTATTAAGAGTTAAATATTGATGCTTTATGAATTTAATAGTGTCAATCAATTCAAATACAATCTAGATATGACTTTTAAATTTATTATTATAAAAATCAATGATTCTTATTGATATAATAGATTAACAATTTATAATTAGATTGTAGTATAATAAATCCTTACACTATTAGTGCATTCTAGTTAAATTAGAATTTTAAAAGTCATATCTATAATATTTTAAAATTATTTGATAGTGTAAAATTTTTTATGTTAATAATGTATTAAAATTAAACTCACTTATTTATACAAACAAATAAAATGATTGTAGCTTAGTAATTAATTATATCAAGATATTAATTGCGAGAAAGGTTAGAAAAATACCTCGGTTATTAAATCAAATTTGTTAAAAACTATAAAAGTAAGAGAAACAAACATTAAATAAGAGTGAGATTCATATAATTTTTACAGTTTTTTTAATAAATTTAATCAATAACTTAAACGTATGTTAGATATTATATTACTAATGTTTTTCGTTATTATTAAATTGTAGCTAAAGTAAGGGGGAGCTAATATTAAAATTGTAGCTTTGGTTTATATGATTCATGGAATAAATATTAAATACTAACCTGAGCATTTACATCACCAGATATAAGAATATTCCAAGTTTTTGAGAAGGCAAGAGCAGTAACTCTTTTAGAGTGGCCCTCAAGATTGAAAAGAACCTGGCATAAATGTATGATACAGAAACTGGTTTCAATATCCTTTAAACATGTAACGATGCATGTCTTAGTAGAATGAAGAATGAGATATACCTCATCTTTAAGGACATAGTATATCAGTATAGTGGAGTTATCCAATCCAATAGCAAATATATTATTATCTTCAGGGTAGAAGGCAAGACTTGTTACCATAGGTGGTGGAGGCATAGCAGTTGTCAGAGTCTGCATTAGGCAATGTGTGGCATACATTAAGTTAAATCACAACAATAACATCATTCTAAGTAGCAAAATAAAAACAAATAGCATGACCTCAATCAAAAGATTCAAAAAACAGTAGAGACACAACTGCAACGGGGAAAGAGAAGTATACACTATGCAACATGATAACAAAATAAATTATTTTCATTCAAGAATATGTTAAATCATATGGCCAATTTCTGTAAGGCTAATATTAATTCTAATGAAAATGTCTATAGATGAAAGGAACTCCAACTGTCTGAAATCATGAAATAATAAAAACACCACTATTATACAATTTCCTAACAATGGAATGCTAATTGTTTAATGAAGCAGAACTCTATCTTTTAAGATTACCTTAAATGTAAAGATATTGAACAAGGAGATCTTCCCCCCTGATGTTGAAATGAGATATGCATCCTGTTTTGATAAAGCAAAACAGGAAACTGGATTTCCACATTTGATGCTTGTAAGGTCATTGATCATAGATTTAAAGCCACTTTTTGGTTGCCATAGTTGAGGGTAAACCTTTGCATTAGCCTACAAGCAACAATTAAATTACTGTGCCAAAATCAATTTCTAAAATTGAACTTATTGGTTAATAATAAAAGAAAACCATATCAAAAGAAAGTGACATAACATTACCTTCCCATCCAAGTTAAGGTTAGTGCGTGGCCAGAACCAAACTAGATGAGTACCATTCGATCCCAACGCCAAAATGGCATTTCCAGCATTGGTGTAAGTGAGTCTAACAATCTGCTTCATGTAAAGTTGATGATCATTTCTCTGTTCTATGGAATTTAGTTTCCAGTTTTCAGTTATCTTCTTTTATTTTTTTATTTTTAGTTATCTAGTATATGCATTTTATAGTTGTTTGCAAATACAAAATGTAGATATAATATGCATTTTGTATGTATGTATGTAAAGGAATCTATTGATAAGCACACATTAAGGGATCAGGAGATGTTTTGTGTTGAAATATTGTTAGAAAACATGTAATCTCAATAAACCGTATGATTCATAAATGCCATACCTTGTTTACTTCAGGATGCTTATGGAGCTGCAAGAACTGACACTGAGATGGGTCACATATGTCAAACATATTCTTTGATTTGTTATAGGATTCTTCAATTGATTTAGGTATTACATCCCTCAAAACTTTTTTGCACTCTCTCTGAAAAAAAAGAAATTATGTTTGAGGATGTTGGTTCTGGGTGTCGAGTAATATTATGAGATCCCAAAAACAAGTCAAGAAAGCATAGTTTACTACATAGAATGAAAATTAACAAATATTTGAAGTTTTCTTAAAACTATCCTTGTCAAAAACTGTAAGACTAAAAAGACAAGCACTTTCATGACATTTGACCTATTCCTAAAAGCCATGTTATTACTACAAATTACCACCTAAGAACAATCAGTATATTTCATAGAAAATTTGAGAAATTTTGGCTGAACCATATAAATCACTCTAAAATCTTAAATAGTACCAGTAGGATTTTACCAACATCACAATAGTAACTTTATTATTCAATATAAAAAATGTCTACAACATATGACACCAAAAAGTTATTTATAACTAATCATAATAAAAATCCTAGTCAAATAATGTACAAAAAAGAAGAGAAGTTAGGATTTTGTTATGAAATTAGGTTCTACTATCACTAAGCAGTGAAGGTTTAAGGTTTCATCCAACTAACCTGATCAGAAACCATACTTGGCCTTTCGTTGGTTGAAGGTTTCAACTCCAGAGTTGTTCCTACAAAAGCTATATCATAAGGGTGAAGCTAGGCTGAAATAATTTGGCAACCAATTTAATAGAAAAATAAATAAAAAATCCCATTTTAGGGGGCCAAATTAAAATAATTATATATTTTAAAAATTACATTGAAAATAAAAAATTACAAGAATTGGGGGCTGTAACAGTCTCTGATAAGCAAGCATCAAATTGATTGGCTAACAAAAATATCAAAGCCTATACCTGAATTTGTTAGAGCAGATGCAGATGATCCGGAATTGCTGACATTGTGCATTAAAAGGTCAGGTTCTTGAGCAGGGTTTTGATGATGCTGCCATTTTAAGCTAACAAATAGGACAATAGATAATTTATCAGCATGTGGCTGAAATGCATGGCTAGATATCAAGATAGTAGTCAAATGTGTAAACAATGCAATAAAACAATTAGCTTGAGAAAATGTGGAGGCAAGGCCAACAACATGAATATTGAATGCCTAGTATAGTATAGTAGCTTCAATTTCAAATTAAGAAATAGAGTGGAACCTTTCATTGAGAAGATTGCGTAGCCTGTGACTCCGAATGACAGGAAAATTTAGCTTTCCATCTAAAAGAGGATGTTGCAATATGATTTTCTTAATTTCAACCATCAACTCCTTCCTAGCAGAATTTGCATTTTCGTATGTTGATTTAATTTCCCTATTTAGGCCAAAAATATTGTTTTAAAAAAAAAGTAATGCATGTCCAACAATATATAATTGAATACACTGACAATTGAAACAAATTTTAATCCTCTTACGTTATCAATAATATGATGTGATTATGTCGAAAAAAGAAACAAAGATCGTGTCAAACTCTTTTAAATACACTCTTTATAAGACACGTTTTGGATTAACCCATTTTTAATCTTATGAATTGATTATTTTTTTAAATTGTTTTGACAATTTAAAAAGTTAACCAATCAGAAAATAATATGTTAAAGAATGTGATGTTAGTATTCTTCTCTATAAAAATTGTATCTTCTTTTTTCTAACATGATCATATCATATTAGTCAACAAGGAAAGATCCAAATCCACTGTTCCAAATTCAATTGAAACATACCTTATATCATCAACTGTCAAAAGGAGAGTCAGTTCTTTAAACAACTCTTCGTTCCCCCGTGCAAAGACTTTCAGATCCTTCAAGAGGATATCCAAGGCCTTGTAACGTTCATTACTGATGATAAAAACAACAGTTTTAGACAAGAATACACGTACCATCATGAGAATAACCAAGTTCTTGGAAAGAAGAACACCCTTTAACCTATGAGACTAAAAAAAATCCTTACTTGTCCAATGCCTCAAAGTATTTTTGTTTCCTCATTTCAAAGTATATTTTGATGGAGTGATTATTGTCCTTAACTTTTGTGAACACTGACAGATAGTTCTCAGCATCATCCCACATGCCCTCAAGCACCATGTCCTCAAAATATTTCAAGTCAAAGTATAACCCACTTTCACGCTCAAGCCTGTGAATAAAAAGATTGAAAGAAAAACAAGGCAAATTAAATAACAATCATTCATGACATTGAAAACAACACAACAAAAAAACTTGGTTTGCATTGTGGAAAATAGAGAGACACATACGCATGTGACGCTTCCTTGAGATCTTCCTCATCAAAGTACTGTAATACCAAGAAGACAAGATCTTTGGTGATGTTATCAGACATGTTTATAACAGCTACGTTTGTTTTCCAATGTTTCCTACGCACAATCAATATATGTTTCATTAATCAAAGTATATATATAGCCCAGAAAGGTGTCAAACTTTATAGTTAACTGCAATCACTTAAAAACATAACCAATCTCAGACAAAATCCTAATCAAGTCATGTATCTAACATATAGAATCTTGTCAAATCCTGATAATTATTTTAAATTCGATAACTCATTGGTTTCCTGAAATTAATAGATTATGTATTTGAGGTAAATTTTAAATTATAAAAAACAATTAATACAATTATCTTCAAATTAACATAAATAATTCGCCTAATCGTTTAGAATCTTTCTAAACGAGAGGTCAGATTTCACATAATTAGGGGAGTGGGATAAGTACTTAATATATATGATATCTTGAGTGTGAATACTGTTAAACATTAAATGCTGATTTTATAATACTTATATTTTTAAAATTTTACTATCTCCGATTCAAATTATTCATGTTTGATTTTTTTTATGCATGTTTAAAGAAATTTAATAAGAAATTAATAAATAAATAATAATTTTTATTAAAAAATATAACATTTAATATTCAATGTATTAAAACATGTAATATTTTTTATTTGTCATAAAAACTTACCATTCATAATTTTTGTTTGTGTCCTCATATACACATTAAAAAAATTGATTAAATTATCATTTATTAAAATACTTAAATTATTATTTTGATTATGTTTTTTATTTAGTTTAGTAGATATGTGTGTAGTGAAGACAAGCTTAAAACATAACAATAGTTTCTTGAATTATTCCAATAAATAGATGAATTGAAATCTAAAGCGCCTAATATTTTAAATTAAAATAAAACTGAACATTACAAGCATTTAATCTAATAAATTAGGAAAAAAAATAGCTCAATATTAATCAAGATAGAGAGAGAAAATGAGAAGGGAATAGAAGGAAAGATAATGAGAAGAAGAGAAAAAAAAAAATAAAGATTTGTTTTTTCTTTTATTGTTTTGATAAAGAGGAAAAGAAGAGAAATTCAGAAATATTTATTTTTCTTATTTGATTGAGGAAAAATAAGAAAAAGGAAAATATAAATGTATGTGTTAAATTATTTTTATATGCCTTTTCAATATAATAATAAATGGGTTAGTAAATAGGAAAATATGTCATTTCAATAAATTTTTCTATCAATAATTTTCTCTCCATCTATAAATAAACCCTTTTTTTTGGACAATAAGTGTGATTTTTTTCCTCTCTATTTATTCCTTCGTTTCCTTCTCACTTTTTTATTTTGTCAATTCAACAAATATCAACGAAGTTGAAGAAAAAACACTTTGTCAGATCCTTTGAAAAACAAAGAGCTATTGAAATTGAAAGTGAACATTAACAATTAACTCAGATCACAGATCCTGAGTGTGCATGCATTTTCTCCATTATTATTGTCAAAATTGCTAATATAAAAAGTTTAAAAAGAAAAAAATTGGTTAAGAGTTATTTAAATATAGAGTTTTTAAAGAAAAAGGATTGAGAAAAAACTATTTCTTTTAGATAAAAATATTTTAATTAATAATTTTTTTAAAATAAAAATGTAAAATAATATAAAGTTTATGTATTATATATTTATTATCACAAATAATATATTATTCTATTAATTTGAAATAAAAACTTTTCCTTTTAAAAAGTTATCACCAAAATATTTCTTTAACAAATTAAAAACACAAAAAAGAAGAAGAAAATAATTAGCTATATATTCATGAGAAAGATAAGAACAAAGAAATATGAATAGAACATGATATTTAGTCATCAATCAGTAATACAAAAATCTTATAAACACAGCAAATTTTTTTCAAAATTAATGAAATCAAATAAATATGTAAGCTATCAATTTTATTTTATTTTTCTATTGTGGAACTAATGCATGGTGATAAGAACTAGTAAAAAAGCTCACCTGGAACAAGAAAGATGAAGAGGTGCTTGAATGAAAAATGAGTGTAACAATTCTCACAACCTGCTGAGCTGAGCTATGTATTTAAACTAAAAGCCTCCAAACAAAATATCATTTACCATATACATTCCTTATTTCATAAACCAATTCTTAATCTCCAAAATCAAGGGTGGGAATTTCATGCATATAAAATAGGTACAAACATTGTTTCTCTTACCATTATAAAGTGTGTCCATTAAATAGTATATTTTCCATTCATGACAATTATTAGCATAATTAACAATGTGAAGAGACACGTCGATGAAAAAAAAAAAAGTTGTAGATTAAATTTTTGCTCATAATCCTTTATTGAAAATTTTGGAAAGTTTTTTTTAATGTAATGAATCAATTCTTTATTCTTAAAAGTTTAATTAATTTGTATATATTAAATTTAAACCACTCTTCTTATCAAAAAGGATACAAAAAAAATTCAAGTCGCGCATTTGACAGTGAAAACTCCTCTCAATTTTTTTTTCAATAAAAATTTATGCATTATCTTACATAAAGCATCACACATTTATCAGTATTTTTTTATTTTTCAAATATTATTACTTAAATTTAATTAATCTTAATTTATAATGTTAAAATATTTTGAATCTATAAATTTATAGCTCTAACTTTATATTTTATCACAGATCTATTTTTTTTATTCTGTGATAAATAATAAATATCAATCAAATTAATATATTTAATTAGTTATTATTTTAAAAAGGTTCTCTATTTTTATTAATTTTTTTTAATTAATATTACGAATAATATATTTTCAAATCACTACTGAATGAATCTTTTAAATATTAAACTAATTTTTTATATTTTCCAAAATTAAAAATCTCAGTTGCTTATATTTTAATCTTTTATAATTAAAATAATATTTCATCAATTAAACCAATATATCTTATGCTTTTTAATTTATGTTTAATTTTTTTAATTTATATTTAAAAGGTGCACGTTTAAATTGAGTGACATACTTATTAATTAGGATATAATGAACACTCTCTCATCCTATCTATTCGAACAATTATTATTGTTTAATATTTTATGTTATCTCTGTATATACCACCATCAAGTACTTCTGCACATTTTTGCGAAGTTTCACTGCAAAATAACTCCAACTTTGTGCTTAGGTAACCTTGAAACATTCAAAAATATTAACAACAATATCCTTTTTCATTCTTTATTAAATTTACAAAACAATGTTGATAAGTGTCATTATTTATTTATTTATTTTTCACGTTCATTGACTGTCGTTGCCTATCAACTGCATGTATTTACTGTCATGTAACCATAGGACTGTAAATTAAATAAGCATAGTCTTTTGTTTTTTTATATATCCACTGCAAAATCATATTAATATAATAACTTCAATATGGTACCTATTATACCCATCTTTATTCACCTTGAGAATATTTTTCTTTTCCATTGTATCGAATCACAAAACTCAATTATCATTGAACACATTTCTTTTCCTTTACTTGCAATCTCTCTTGTGTCTTTGATTATATTGAGTTTTTTTTTTTCTCAAACTTCTATTTTGTTGTTACACATCATAACAACTCAAACACAGTTGACCTTATTTTTACTTTGATAACTTAAATGAAATTACATGATTTTCAAGAATTTTTTAAATATAAAATAAACATCAAACTTCAAATATTTACTTTTTTTTTATAAAATATTAAAATATGTTTATTCTAATAAACAAGTCATAGTCATATAAATATAAGACAACGTTCTTAAACTGAGCACAACTTATAGTTGTCACTTCAATAATATCCAATGAATATGATAGATATAAAATGTAAACAAAAATGTGTAAGAGATAATATTTTTTAAGAGAAAAAATGTATTAGGTAATTTAATAAAATTATATTTTAATTTATTTTAATAATTTTTCATAAAAATTTAAATGATTATAAAATTACAGTGTTATGCATTAGAATTTGTTACTTTAAAATATTTTATAATTAAAAAATGAATACAATAATTTTGTTAAATGTTTAAATTTATGATAAATAATTTATCAACAATAATAAATAGACTTATAAATTAAAAATAAACTATTATACACACACAAATTTATCATTTAATATTTATTAAAATAATGTGTATTTGATTTTTTATTATTTTAAAAATTTATAAATTAAATTTATTATAAATAGTTATAAAACTAATATACTTTTGCACTGCATATGTTTAAGTATTAAATTTGTATTAACTGTTCTTTAATAATAAATTTTCTAATAACTTTTACAAATATGAAAAATTATTCATAAAATAAATATATTATAATTAATGAATATATAATTTATTCATATTATTTAAATTTAATGTAAATTTATTTTAATTTTACAAAAATTAAATTATTTTATTAAAATGTTATACTTAATAAATATAGCATTGAATATGAATATGCTTTTAAATTTTATCATCTTAAAACATGTTTATAAGCTAATTTTGTTATAAATAATAATAATAATAATAATAATAATAATAATAATAATAATAATAATAATAATACTAATAATAATAATAATAATAATTTCTTAGTACATGATTATAAAAAAAGTTATATATGTTAAAAAATTTATATATTTTTCCCTAAATATTTGAAATTCAAGCTATTGGTACTTTAGTTTTTATAAAATATTATATAAAAGTTTAATTTTAAATTAAAAAAATTATATATAATACTATTGATTGATTAGAAAGCCAAATTGGGAAAGATTGATAATTTGAAAATCAACATATAAAATTAATTTTGAATCTGTTGTTGCATTGCATCCCAATGACACGGGGACCACACTATAACTTTTCTCAATGGATGATGTTACATTGTTTCCTAAATATAGTAAAATACGATCTACCTCATCTAAGGAGAAAAAACAATACCATACTAAGCATAGGTTGCCTGTAAGATTTCAAAGGTTTGATAGCATAACATGCATTGTAGCACTGTGGAAAAAAATAGAATAAATTTTTAAATGTATATTTAAGAATGTATAAGTCAAATATTTTAAATTTTAAAAAATTACCATATTAGTCAACATTAGTTTAGAGAGTAACTAAAATAGTTAAGTTAAAAAAAGAATTATATTAATTGCTAACACACAGTTACGTTGATTCTTAAAACGACCAACCATTCATTAAACAAACGAAAATGTTATTGTGATACGTTTAAATATCGAATGAACTTATACACATGGCTTGATGTTGGGTAACGTGGAAGAATCCATTTCAAAACCAAAAAATTCTATCATTTTTTTCCACTGACTCACCTTCCTTTGAACCACCTTGAATCACCTCGCCAAAACCCTCCATCAAAACCATCACTTGACCCTCAATTTTTACAACTTTTTCCTACACCTTGTTAATTCACTAATAACACGTAATGTTAACCATGAAGTAAGACCTAATTTGATGAAGAAAATTCAACATAAATTTTATAACCAATTCTATTTGTTTGGTTTTGAAAGAACCAAACATGGTTGGATATGAGGTTTGCAGTGTGGTGAGTGCAACTAATGTCTAGATTTTGATGGGATTTTCAAGGTTGTACTTGGAGAGTGAAGAGCAAATGTTTTTCATGGTAAGTGTGAAAAACTTTATAGTGTTGTTTGGGTCCATGAAGACTATGGCTTCAATAGTATTTGAAGACATTGTCATGCACCCATGCATCGGTAAAGGATACGTCAGTAGCAGCATTTGAGAACCAGGCATGACAACCACCATGGTCTAGATACCTGAGTTAGCAAACACATTTAGCACAATGGTGTTGGTGACTCGTATGAGCGGAAGAAGATTGGTAGAGAGAATGAAAATAATGGGAGATCAAAATAATACATTTTTTTATTTTAAGATTTTGGAGACTAAATTGAGAAATTTTAAAAATAATTTTTTCCTCGTCACCCAATAATATCATATTACACGCATGTAACAATCCGCCAACCATATCACATTCCATGTCAATGCTTTTATTAATCCAACTAATAATTATTTTAAAAACTAATGTAATTTTTTAAAAAAACTTGGAGACTATTTAGTAACTCATTGAAATGATAAATACTAATATGGTAATCTTCTCATTTTAATCCCTAAAATTTTAAAAGTTCTCGTTAATTCATATATTTAAAAATAATATTCATTTAAATCTTTTTTATGACGAAATAACAGCAACAATGTAAAATAAATGCAAATAAGTAATCTTTAACAAAATTAAAGATTAACCAAAGATGTTTTAAGATTTTGCGGACCAAAATTCTGAACTCGAACAATTTTGAAGACTGACTCAGAATTGACTGAAAAAACAAAACTCCAGTCGATGTCTCAGCTAAATGAAGTCTACAATTTGCTCGTCCGTGGTTCAATATATCAACAATAATAATAATTTGTATATTAAAAGCAGCTGCTTCCTTTCGTTTAGGTTTTTATCTATTCAGTATTTGGTCATGAACAGATGTTTTGGTATAGACAAATAACAAAGAACTATAATGTATAATCATAGTACTTCCTAAAATATCAAGTGAGCTCCACTGGTTGAAGTCAGTAATCTGTAGTTATACTTCCATTTTCGCTGCTGACATCTAAAAGAATGAACAGATCACCAGATCTAGAAGGGAAATACTCCAAATTGACAGTATCTGCAATGCTCTCGAGGCAGTATGCAACCATAGAGTGAACATAATCTTCAACTGACACTGATCTTCAGACAAATTGTATAAATTCCCAGGCAAGAGTAGCGAGCCATGAGATCATGATGACCAATCAAGCCAAGGAGCATACCTTGTCTGAAAATGAGCACAGGTAGTAGTAAGACAAAATGTATTAGAATATTATAGTTTGATGAAAGGTACTTTAATTCTTTTTCTCTCGATTCATTTAGTCCAAATGCATTTTCATTTTCCGCCAATTCAATAAACATAAAATAGCTAAGAAAGCTGGAAAGAAACACCCCTAATCGCCCCCACCCACTTTCCCCAGTTCAATACAAGAAAATAACTGATGCAAACAATAAGAAATGAGATTTCACCTTTACTGATACTACTGCAGCAAAGGCGACTGTCATCTATATAAGTTGCTTGGATTCCCATCATCCATGATCCCAACGATGTATCATCGAAGGCATAGGTCTTCAAAGATACACTGCATTTTTAATAAATAGAACAAAAAATAATTTCAGATATTAAATATAAGAGAGAAAAATAATGCATTGGGTTTGTTTTGTTTTCATTTTCAAAAGATATGTTTCACTAATAATAACAATAATGCCATTTTACTTTTGCAAGGTGACATTTTTGTAGTTATTACTGAAAACATAATTCTTGAAATGAAAACAAAAAACAAACCAAATGCATGCTACTAGGTATCCTCCAAAAGAAACCGTTAATCTTTGAACCACTAAACCACAATCTTACGGCCTCCCCACCAAACCACAGAACCACACCCCACCTTTAGGATGTGCTTGAGTAGATTAACAATAGAAAAAGGAACGGGATAGAAAGTTACAATTTTGCTCTCTTTTGTTTGGTAAAGGATAAAATTATAAAAATCACTTTCCATCCACTTTATTTATGCCAACATTTAAGGTGCAAGCGTCTTGCACTCCAAGTTTCCACTCACTCAATAGATGATTGCTAACAATATTCTAGGAACACATTATTAAGAAAAAATCAAGTAGCTTTAACCTAAATGTCAGCCATGAACATGGTTAAGTAGAAATGTAAAATTAATATCCAAACCCTCCTCTTTATCAAGTTCCTCTAGCAAAAGGACATTTAGAGGCCATGCCTTTTCAGCCTAAATGTAGAATAAAAGCATCCATACCACAGAACTAAAGCTGCCTACTTCAGTTTCTAAGATTCCTCCAAACCAGATCCTCCTTGGGCAGATAAGATATTGAGAACTAACCTGTTTATATTAATGTATTGTGCTAAATTCTTTGAAATTATAACAAGTGAACCAGCGGCATGTCGGAAATACCTGAAGACAATAATTAAATAGTGATTAAAACCAAAACTAAAACAATTCAATATGGATCCAAACAACTAAAGATTTTCCATATGCAATATCTATACAAAAGAAACATCTGTCAAAAATAATGCAACGTATGTTTTCCATCTGGAGGAGTTTATAACACATACCACTGAACTGAAAAATAAAAGAAAGATGGTAACACAAAATTATCATAATGCTAAATGTTCAGAAATTTAGTTCAGGGGGATATGACAGATCAAAGATCAGTACCTTCAAAATTCTACAGTATTCTTTGTATTAAGTGATAGAGATTAAAAAATTAACAAGTCATCTCTCACTAAAGTATAAAGGACATATTATTTATCATTGTTTTGAATGATTAACTAGTTTTACTGAGCAGTGTTGCATACAAAGATAAAAAAAGAAAAGAAAAGAAATGCAAAATGGATAAAGCATTAAAAAAAAAAAAACCTATTTCATGTCCTATTCATTTGAATTGGAGTAAATGTCCAAAAGATTAGTTAGAGTTTATAAGAACAAACCATTAGACTCTAGATGGTTTTTAGGATTACATCCAGATTTTCACATCACTACCAACTAGTGACATATTTGTAAGAGACAACTAAATCAAAGAGCATGTGATTCCTCTAATCTTCACAGGTATATACACAGGCAAAAATTATATTTGATTTTCAATCATCAACTGCATAATCAGATTACAATTTTCATTATTTAGCAATATGGGACTGAAACAGTGTGCGTAATCATTACAATACAAGTCATCAATTTAAACAATCCAACATTTGGTAGAGTTAAAAACATATTGATGTATGTTAAGTATGCCTAAGTCCTAAATTAAGAGTTCCCTCTAATGTTTGTTAGGATTAATGTCATATTGTGCCAGATCATTCAGTTATCCACTCAATAATACAATTAGAAAAAAAAATAATGACTTGGTTTCAATTTAAGACGATAGAATTGATGATTGTTCTTGCATTAATAAAGTAAAATAAATCACCAAGCTTCTTGTGCAAAAGATATATTACTTACGCTTTCTCATCTCCAAATTTCCACCATTCAGGTTCATACCATGGTTTTCCCCTGCAAAACACCCAAAATGAGATGCATAAGCTGAATCCAAAACCTCAATTGCAAGTTTCAACATTAGAAAGTTCAAACACAAATATAACATTCTAACATTGATGAACAAGAAAATAACAAGCAACAAATAAATATTTGTAGGTAGGCAGAAAGATTTGGCAGACAACAATTTGAAGTCAAATTTATTAGAAATTAACATAAATGCAAAAGGCGTTCACATCTGATGGCAAGGGACATGCCTAAGGACTTACAAAAGGATGAAAATTAAGAAAATATACGGGACCTTCGGGCAAAAAATTCAGCAATAATACTGAACATAAAATAAACAGCAGATAAATTTAAACACAAATTCCACTCATAAACAAACAATTTCAGACAACTTGAAGCATAATCAGAACCATCTATACCACATAAAATTGTAAAATATATCCACAGATCTACTAGCATAGATGTACAATCACAAATAACTCATAGAACATACTCTTCTGATATCACATCTCCTGACTTCATGCATCCGATATATGCCCCATCCTGGTCACGCCGACGTTCAAGAAGTTCAATTAAACCCTCTGTCAGGCCAGTGAACAGAATAAAGAATGTCTCAATAATTTTGCTTAGAAAAGGAATAGTTCAACAAAATCTCCTAAGAACATATATAAACAATGTCTTTACCTAGATCAATGTCAATATTGTCATCAACTTTCACATAAAAGTTAGCATCCCAGTTCTGAACTGCAGTACTAAAGAAGATTTTAGCTTTTTTAGGCAACTCTTCTTGAGCTTCTTCATGACCTTCCTGATATAATTATATTAAAACAAATGGTCAAGCTCTATACTTAGCTGGTTTAACAAGGTTCCATGACAAGGAAGCATGATCAAATGAGCATCAATATATTTTATATAAAATGCATCAATAAACCCACAACGACCACAAGAACAAAAGCCTTATCCCAGTAGGTGAGCATCAATAAACACAATGGTCAAAATTTAACTAACCCCCATCCCCCACCAAAAATAAGCCCCCTTATATTTTGCACCAGAACTGCAATTTTACTCTGAACATCAATGTAGGATGCACCTAAACCCCAATTTTTAAATGCAGCAACTTTTATCAACATGCATATAAATGTAGTGTGCATTTGAACCAATAGCTTAATTAAGCACTTATTTAATAAACTTATCACATTAGAGCTTATGTCATAAGTTTAACCAAGATAATTACTAAAATAAGATAAAAAAGAGTTTTGCTCTGTTTTATTAGGCCAAATAAGCTGTATTTTGCTCTTCCAAATGCCCCCATATCCATAATCAAATATCCCTCACTACCCTAAACCATTCTATAATAAGGCAAATTTTAAAAAAATAACTACTTCTTTTCCACTCAGATTAACCAAGGTAAAAGATTTAACTAATTCAAATTACAGCATAACTGCAACTATTTTGCTTACAAGAATCAGGAAATCCTTTGTTGAGCGGTTTTCCTCATCAATATTACGATCTAAGCTATCACCTCGATTAGCACTGTCAATTACAAAGAATCAGGTCACAATATTAGTTTGAATCGTTGGCAGTTATGTAATAGACTATTAAATTTAACGTAATGCCAAGAGAAATAAAGCATAAATAATCATTGAAGCTTAAAAAGAAACCATATGTGGGTACTATAACAGCTAAAAAGGATAAGTGTGAGGAGAAACCTCCGACCAATTACAAAACGTATGACCACTCCTCTTTCTTCAAGTTTTTTCAAGGCATCACCTGCCAAGAAAGAGAAGAGAAACCGTTAGTGATATAGAAATGAATAAAAAGTTAACCATCTAGAAAATAGTCAACTGTTTACATTCTTATCATTCAAAAAATATATGCAATATAGAAAATTTTGTTACATAACTTATCAAACAAAATGATGATTAAAAGGTTCATGAATTACATGCACAATAGACCACAATCTAAATATACACCAAAAACTATTTTTATACGGTTTAAACATTGTGTAATAGAAAATACTAAAAGTAATCCTAGAAAAATAATGATAGAAAACTAGAAATTTTAAAATCATGAAAATAGAAATAAACCATCAGAGTAGAGATCAAAACCAATCTTCTAGAAACCATTAAAGAACATGAAAATTAAAAAAAAATCAGAGTAAGAGTGCAATGCCCATATCAATCACAAATTCAAATTGAGAGGAATAAAATCACTCTCAAATTCAAATTAAAGACAAAAACATGTTTCGAAAACAAAATCATAATATCACTATTTTCTCAAAAGAAAACCAAGTAAACACTCAAAAGTCCACATCTCAGTCCACAAATTTGATCTACATCTACATAAAGACAACCCAGAAAAGCATTGAACCTTATATCAAGTGGCGCACAAGACCACTCTGCCACTACATTAGCCTCCCCACCCACCCCACCCCACCACCACCAAACCAAGTCTTAGACCTCCTTTGTAACCCATAAAGCAAAAAGATGATTCAAATGCAAAGAAATTCACAGTAACCAGTGAAAATTTTAACCAATATCCAAACAGACCTCTGGGCATCCAAGACCCCCTGAAAACATTTCTCTTCAATCGACTTCCAAACCCTGTATACACCCCAATAACAGCAAGAAGCCTACGATCAGATGAAGAGCCACTTTTCTGCCCTTGGCCTTTGAGGTACCCTTGACTCTTAGCCAATGTCAATTCCATCTCAGCTTCCACGATCCTCCTCTCCAGATCCCTACAAAATTATACAACCATTAAATCCCATAGATCACACAAACAAAGCAACCCTACACAAACTTAATGCCTTAAAATTAAAACAACAGAAGAGGGGGGGGGGGGGGTGAAAGTATTTACCGGCATCCTAGAACCATTAGCTTATCTTCCACCGTAAGAACCTTAGGCCTCTAACATCAACAACAACAACAACAAGATAAAAACACACTAATATAAGTTTATGGACTGAAAATGAATTTTAAAAACAACATAGAGCGAAACTTAAAAATAAAAAAAAAGGAAATCAAAAGAAAAAAACCTGAGCTGAATTCTTCTTCAGAAGACTAGTAAGTAAATTGCGATTCTCTGCATCTTGCCATAACCTAACCACTCCCAAGACAACCGCAAGTCCATTACATATGAAACAAACGTTCAAAACAAACAGTGCCGAATTACAAATCTTCATTCAGAATCGAATAGATCAAAATGCAATAATAAAAAACAATTAAAAAAAAAAGAAAGATTAAGAATCACACCTTCCAGCAACGTAAAGCCAAGCAACGCAAGAGAAGAAGGCCATGACGAGGGAAGGTTTCGAGGTGTGCACGGTTTTGGATCTTCCTCCTCTTTTCACCGTCGACGTCGTCGGCAACGTCTCCATTTCCAACACTCACAAATTGATGCAAATCGCCAACGCAATCACTGCAATGACAACGGACAAGGATTCTTATTCCAATTAAACTCTATATTTATTAGTATCTTGTAATCGCTCCCGTAGTTTACTTTCGGTTTACTTCAGTTAAGAGCTTAATAATATTTGAAGATTTTCGCTCTTTTTTTTTTTGGCTAGACAGTTTTAATTTTATTAGAAAAATTATAATTTACGTATACATGTATATATGACCAAAAATAAATTACTTGAATGTCCGTTTTATTTTATTTTTCTTATACAAAACTTTCTCTATTTTATAAATATATTTATTTTAACCTTTTCTGAAATATTGATAAATAAAATTTTCATTATAATTTTTTTTATTGTACAATCTCTTCTTATTCGTTGAACGATATATAAATATTTCTCAATTTTATATATATATATATATATATATATATAATAAATTTTTTATCATAATAAAAATATTAAAATACGAACATCAATATCAATTAGTAAAAAAAAATATCTAATTTTTAGTCTTAAATTTAAATTTTAGTAAATACAAATATGTTAAATATTCAAATAATTTTTTTTACTGTTTATAGTATTTTTATTCAATTCAAATAAAATTATTTTTAATAAAAAATACTTATAATTTAGATAAAAATTATAATAATATTTTTAGATATTATTAAAATAACAATAAAAAATGACATCAATTATAATTATTAATTTAAAATCAATCAACGACCATGTATCAATTATTGATTTTTATAATTAATGATTTATATTATATTATTAGTCAACTATAATAATAACTTTTTGTATAATAAATTATAATTGAATGACAGTGTAAAAAAATGACCTTTAATAATCTAATATGTGTAAAAAGTTGTTATAACTTAATCTGTGATTTAGACTACAAATTAAAATGTTTAAAAATTATATCTCTCAAATATTTTAATTAATTAATAATAAATATTAATTTTTTTATAAAATTAAAAGAATTTTGTGTAAAAATATAAAGCAATATGATATTAAATATTTGTGAGTAAAATGAATAGGCTCTGCTCTAATACTGTATTTATTTCTATTTCTAGCAAATTTGAGACAGTTATTATTTTGTCATTTTTTCACAAACTTAATTATTCTTCACAAGGCAAATATCAAAATTCATTTTTCACTGTCTCCCAATGAATATTCCACGCACAATACATAATTCCATATCCCATTTCGTATAGATGAGGGAAACTTTTTAATTAAATGCAATTAATGAGCCTTTTTAATTAGTGTTTCCTTTTTCAAAGAAGACAATAGTAAAATCTTTTTCTCTTTCTAATTTTGTTTACTTTCCTTTTTTATGTAAAAAGTCATTTTCCTACTTATATGTGTGTAGGAGAGTCAAATTCAATTAATATCATTCGTTGAATTTAATGCAATGGTATATTTATTTTAATATTCAATTTTATTTATATATATATAAAGGTAAAGCAGATGTTTTCCATTACCTAAAACTTATGATATAAAAAAAAATAATAATAACTTGGGATGTATGAGTGATACAGTTGCTCATTCTGGCACTCTTGCGATTAGAAATGGCATCTAATGGGGACACGGACAGATTATGCATTGCTTGCTTCTACCTTTATTTCTATATTTATGTCGAGATCCAGCATCCATGATTATTGTAACCAAGTGTTTACAATTTTAAATGCAAAATATATACAAAAAGTAAATAATAACTTCAATCCACATACCCCGATTTTGTTTAATAATTTAAATGTTTATAATTAAATCAAATATTTCAAATAGCATACCAAGTTTAATTATAATTTGTCATGGTTATTTTATATAGCAAATATTACATGAATTATATATATATATATATATAAAACAACAAGAAAGTAAAATATATCCCATCTCCCAATGACGAAAAAACAATAATATATATTATATTAAAATATTCTGTGAATTTACAAAAACCCATAAAGTGGACATTGTGTTGGGAAAAAAATTGCGAGACATTTGACCTATTCTTTTTATTATATCTTATTAATAAGAAAGTGGCATATAAAGTTATACTATTAAAAGTAACTAATGTGGACAAAAATTATATAAACAACAGTTACATGTATGAGTAACCAATAATTATCTCATAATGAGGTCCATGCTTAAGCAACTCTCTTCTGTTGCACAAATAATGATAACTTGCCCAACTCGTGTGCATTTTAGGTTGGGGCTGCAGTTCATGTATCATTTTTTTATTGTATTCTGATTTAAATTAAGTTTCAATTTATTAAAAATTTAAATTTAAATTTTTCATTTGAATGTTCCTTTATAATTTTTTTCAATCTATTTTCTTTAACATTATTTTCTATTTTTATACAATTCTTCTGTTAGTGATTTATTATTTATTTTATTATTTGCTTACATAATATTTTATTAACTCTTTATAATTTAATTAGCATATGACAACCAAATCGTGTCATTAACATTGTATCATTCATATTTTTAAATAAAAATTTATATTATTACGTTAAAATTTTTAAAATTAAAATTTTAGAATATAAAAAAGACAAAGTAAGATATGTCATATCATCATCAACATCAACTTTATATTATATACGAGCCAAATTAAATAACACATGAATAGATAATAAAAACATTATCAAATTACTAATAAAAGAATCATATGAAAAGAAAATAAAAAACCCATTTTAAGAAATTTGTTTAAAAAAAAAGGGAGGCCTAATAAAAAAAAAATTACAAATTTTTAAAGGATCAAAACTTTATTTAAGGCTTTGTATTTGTACAGCTTCTTTTGTGTATAATGAATGCCTTGATTTTTGTTCATGTACTACTTGCTTTCAATGAAATCCTCAACTTCTTCAATTTGAGAACGCATGTTTTGTAGCTCATTCAGGACACTTAAAATTTACAACACAGGCCTCACCCCAGAACCATATACACAAAAACAAATACAACATGGAAAGCACATACTTTTGTTGCCTTCCTAAAGCCAGGATTAAGGCATTGATTCTCAACATGTTACTTCGTGGCATAGCACTCAGTGATTGTAGAGGACAGTTAACCAACCAAAAAAGGGAATCAGCATTGAAAAGAGTGCGCTACAATCCTTGCTTATTTGTCCCCCAATCTGAAATATTAGCTATCACAAAGCCTGCAAATACCTGCAACTCAATGCAAAAACAATTCCATTAATATGTGATTGTAAACAAAAATGATTTGATGAATGTGACCTCCATATATGAGTTATTAGCATGTTACATTATGGTCTAGAGTCTAGACTAGATAAAATTACTGGGCAAGTTTGTAGGAATTCTTGATGTCAAAGAAAGAGATATTTCTTATTGATGGTAAATTTCTTTGAATCAACAGCTGAATCATACATCTCATTAGTACAACTTATATGCAACTTAAACAACAAATGACAATGTGCTACGTGGAAGCTATAACATCTATCTTTCTAACCGATTTACAGTAGACCTAACAAATTACAATAACATACAGAATCAGAATCATTATGGCGCAATTTAGATAAATTTTTAGATAAGCACTCAAATAAAAAAGAAAATAAAGAGGTAAAGATGAATAAAACTTCTCTCACAACTTCAAATTAATTTATGCACTTCAAGTTTCGGACAAGTTAAATTATGATACTTTTAAAAAAGTTGAAGAGCAGCAGATGATTTTAACTTATGAGAGGAATTTGATTCATTTTACTTCCTTACTTTTGTCTTCTATTATAAGTACTTATTGAGAAGCTTGTCTGAACTGGGCCATAATATTAAGTAATAATAATGAACTGAAGCATGCAAACAAAACTGGAATAAATACAACTATAAATTATCTAAAGAGCAACGGAATCAACAGCATAATGCCAAAAGAATTTTTTATATATTTTAATTTTAAATTTTTGTTGAGAAACGATAAAATAGTGATCCTCTCACTGACCACAGGTACTGGCTGAGAGCTAAGAGAACATCAAAATTTGAAATATCTTAGGCATAAGAATACCTGAACTGAGCCAAGAATGTACAATGCTGAGTAATGCCGACCATGGATCACCATGTCAGCCAACATAGCAAGAGGAATGGTGAGTGACATGCCCAAAGTGGCCACCAGAGGAGTTGTCCATACAACACAGAGTGCCCTGGTAGATAAATAAACTCTAATGTAAAGATTTGGGATAACTCTGTGTGAGTATGTAAATTAGTCAGATTAATTTCATGTACCAGAAGTAGTCTGAGAGAACACTTCCAATTAATCCATTGGCAAGAACCACTTCATCCATTTTAGCAGAATGGGGAATTGTAAACTTAGGTTCAATTCCTAAGGCTGACAATGGCCAGACTGAGACAAGTATAGAAGAGAATTAGAACTCAGTTAAGAAACACGAAACAAGTTCAATGAGCACATGAAAAGGAGTGGGCTCAGAGAATCTTTTTTAAGTTGACATTTATAAGCAACTATAGTCCATGGAATCATTGCTGTTTAAAAAAAAAACTTACTAAGCCACCATAGTGCTACAAGCGTAAACAATCCAATATATCCGAACAGCTTTTGCACATCCACCCGTTCTCCTTCTTCACCAGAAAACTTTTTAAGAAGAACTGTGTGGCATTAACATTATAGAAGCTGTCATTATTCGTCTAAATTATCTGACAAATACAAAAAATTTAAATGTTAAGACATTGCCTAACCTGTAAATAGACCATATGACATGGCTGAGAGAAGGCCAAAAAGATCCCCAACAAGAGAGCGCTGCCCATTGCTGAACACAAATATCAACTGTCAATGCCCAAAAAATAGTATTACAAAGAGCAAGCCGGTGATAATACATGAAAGACAACAATATGACTCTTTAGTAATCTGCAGCATGACTAAAGTAATGAGCTAAATTTTGCACAGTTTTTCTGATCCCTCCTATCTATATTAATATATGAATGAAAACTTACATTGGTACACATATTAGGAGAGATAGATTTCTCAAAAATGTGATGCAGGACAAAGAGGATTATTCATGCTAGAGACATAATCATATAAAAAGATACATAAGCCTACACCAAACTGATAGAACTGCAAATGATTCACAGTACTTTTGAGAGGCCTGGACTCTCCCATAACAATCTGTATTTCCTCTCAAATCACCAAATAAAATCTTCCTCTCAACCCCTTTTCTTATTTATAGGCAACATGCCATATTCAAATTAACTCACCTAACTCACAACTAACCCACAAATATAACTAATTAATGGATACTAAATAATCTATTTAAACAAACTACTAACGGAGATTACCTAACACTAACATCTTATGCTTTTTTGGGTGATTCAACCCTACATTAAAGAAGGAGTTAAAGCAATTGTGGACTATGGCCATCCTTTGGACAAGGACCATAAGGGTATGGCCCTTCCCCACAGGGTTTACCCAGGGATCAAATGAATTTACTCTCCTTGAGAGACACGATTCATTTCCACTGCACCAGGTTAGCATCTTAAGCTTTTAGCGAGTTACTCCTTGACATGATACCAAAGCATCTATATATATATATATATATATATATATATATATATAGCATAAATTGAATTTCAATGCATGGTTCAGGTCCGATAGAAGTCTGAGGGTGTATCAGATTAGAATTTTCTTTCTTATGTTTTAAACTTTAGTAGTGAGCTTAGCAATATATAATTAAGCTAGTACATAACCCTTGGGATTTTGTATTCAGCCAGCATAAAATATATTTTCCGTTTTGAAATGTTTCTAACCTGAAAACAAAACTTCTTTTGCATCTACTTTTTTCCTTGTGTTTGCGTCAAATTGGGATTAGAGCTCAATTTAGCAAATCCCAGAGAGTGTGGATAGACTGCAGTTCACACTCAACATGGGTGACAAAAGGGTGTAAAGTGATATATTGGCTAGGTTTGAGACATCGCCCAGCTTTGATAAATTTCTCAATAAATACTTATAAGAGTACAAAATTAAGTTGTAAAGTAAATCAAACTTCTCTGTTAAAATTAACTTATTTTTCTTTATTTTTAGAAGTTTTCTCATTTAACTTCTCTAAAACTTGAGAAAATAAGTTGTTTTTAACTTATAAGAGAAGTTTTATTCATTTTTCAAGTTAATTTTCTTATCTTATAAGGACTTATCTATAAGCTTATCCAAACTAGGTCATGGAACACCAATATATAGTGGGGTCTCTCCCCTCTTAACAGCCCAGCTTCAAACTCCCAGCACATAACTATGAAAAGTTAATCAATATTACATTTTTTTTATAAAATTTTATCTTCTAAAGTATAAACTTCATCAGTGATACCAATATAGCTAAGAAAAGGTAAATATGGTCAACATAATCAAGATAAAGATGACAATTTTACACAATAGGGACCAAATGAGACACTATCCAGTGACGTTTTTCTTTCCAATTAAACAGCAAAAAAAAGCATTTTGGACTTTTGATTGTGGAACAATTCTTTATAAACATTTATATTTTGTTAACGAGCTTAGAGAGTATAGGATGAGAAAGAACTGTCTCCTTCCACCTTATGCATTAATTTGATTGACCTCTGTTTAATTGGTTAAAACTGGAAATAAATAAATAAATAAATAATGAAGGTGACTTTGTAAAGAGATAATAAAGACTTACGAAGCACTTGATTGCGTCTCATCTGCAGCCCAAGTTTTTCCTATAGTTGTCATAGCAACCCCAGCCATGCTGACCAAAACAGCAACTACTTTTGCCACATTTAAAGTGTCTTGGCCCATAAACACACCAATGAAAAGAGTGAAAAGTCCTGAAGTAGATGACAATACTGTTGTACTTGCGACACTTGTTCTTGCAAGGGCAGCATTTGATAGATACTGAAAGCAACAGAATATGAATTAGTAAAATAAAACTACTATACAACAGAATAAACATCAAAGCTATGCATGAACTATTGAAAAACAAGTAGATGTCAACTATATGTGATGTCGAATTTATCTATGCAAAGATCTAACGACTCTAGACAGAAATGGAATGCAATTACTTCACCTTTATATAGTTTCACATTCTCTCAATTCAAAGCTTCTTTTTAGTGTAGAGTTAATGAAATAACTGGAATTAAAAAATTTCAATTGGTATTGATGCTTTATCAGAACATGAAAGCATTAATTTATCTTATAGATATATGTGTGGAACATCAGAAATCAACTGTCTTATAAAAACAGAACAGAGAAAACTTTTTTTCTCTTCTTGGTTAAAAGTCACAGCAAAAGGGTGAGTAATGGCAAAACAGTGCTTTGTGAACAAGCAAGCCAACATGGGTTGTAATTATGGAAAAAGGCTCTCAGCTAGCCGAGGTAAGGTTTTCTACATCTCACCCTCCCTAGATCCCACAATAGTAGGGGGCTCATGGAAGTTATAATAACAAAATTCAGTTGTAAGCATGCTAAGGTCGCCTAACTACACAATCAGATATCAATCTTAAGTTACTTACCTCTGTTACAAACCAAATAGGTGCAATGTAAAATCCATAAGTAGCAATTTCCTTCGTAGTAAGTTCTTTCTCTGCCTTTGACAAGTTGGGATCATTATATTTAGCCACCAATGGCTTTACTTCTTCAAGAGAAGATAAATCTAAATCACTATCTTTCCGAGTCACATTCCCCAGTTCTACTTCCGAGTTTTTTTGCACTACATTGCCTTTGAGAGGAGAGGTAATCCTGATAGTGAACTCGTCCTCATGTTTTGCATTTTTTCCACTTTTAGAAGAGCGGCCTTTAAGTAAGTTATAAAGACAGTCCTTAATGAATGCTATTGGGAGGTAAACTACCATAAGAGAAGCTCCAAGATATGTCACTGCAAATGGCTGCTTGTAATCTGAAAAAATACCCTGCACGGAAAAGTTTAATTCAGAGAAGCATTCATACATATATAGTTCGGATGAGGGCACAGTGCATGCTACTGTCTCCAATAAAAGGAAATCCCTTGAGCAGCATTTCAAACTACAACAGACTTTCAACAACATCCCTTGACCATGCGAAGATAAGGATTCAGATATAGAATTCTATCAAATTTAAGTTAATACAATGGCTTACAAATATAAATCTTTAAGCACACTCAGCATGGTGCCTTCTGGTGGATATATGTAACACATAACAATATAACAAATAACTGGAATAAAGGATCCCCTAAGTGACACCTTATTTTACAGGTCTGCAATTCTCGTTCAACCAAGGCCAAGAGGATTGCATGGTTTAAGATTAGCTATACGTAAACAAATCATTTTAGCCAACAAAACTTTAATCTCAACTAGAGAACTTTATGATGGAAATACGAAGTTCCAACTAGTGTAATAATGCAAAGGTTGACTCTTAAGGATTTGGTAAGCTTCAAAAACAAAGTCACATTAAGCAAACGTCAACCTGCATCCATCTCTCAGATACAATACCATCGTAATTGATGTTGTGTGATTAACAGAAGGTACTATATGCCAGGACAAAAGCCCCATAATCATTTAATATGTTGAACTGGCACCAAAAATACTTCGGAAGAAAACTGAAAAAACAATAATCTTCACATTTGAACAAAACAACAATAAAGACAACAAAAAAGGGTCTCTTTTTTTTCCACAAGTTGAGGAACATACACACATGCACATTTAACAAAAAAGCATTCACCCCAGACTCAAAAGAAAACCCAATTCACATATCCAACGAAACCTTAAAAAGGGTAAATTTAGAAGTTTAGCATTGGTCCTTACCTGGGTGACTTCGGCAGAGGTGACCCATATGATAACCACAGTAGCTATGAGGAACAACCCAGCCTTATATCTCCAACCCATTACAAAACTAACTATACCCAGATGAAGAAAACCACGAGAATTGCAAAGATCCAGGCGTTTCTGCTTCTGTCAGATCCCCGAATCACCCTTAAACAAACCAATTTGTCAACTACATTAGAAGAACAAGACCATGGGGGAGCAAAAGCTTCAACCTCGCTCACAAATTGGACAAGAGAGAAACAGAAGCAGCAGCTATGCGTGAGAAGATTTTGCAGGGAAACTAGGAGGTTGGAGAATTCTTACAACTACAGAAAAGGCAAAGAAAATGGGTTGAAAGAGAAAACAACGACGTAGGCAAGTGTCAATATTAAGTTATGGTTCCTGAAATTAGTCAATTGTTGTCTCAAACATGTTAACGATACTTGGGTACAAAATTGTTTATCTGCATTTTTGTAGGATTTCCTTTTCTTTCCCTACTTCTCATTATTGTGTACTAAATTTTCATTCTATGAATTGGATTCTCATGCTTTCAATCTCTTACAATTTTTGGACATTTTGTCTTGCTTTTCTAACCATGAAATTTGGAGTAAGCCATCTATAAACAGAAAAACCGGTCTATATAAATAGAAACTAAACAAACCAAATTTGTTTTAGTATTTTTTTATTTTCTTTTTTTTTTTTTTTTGGTGTAGAAGCAATTGGCTTTCAGTAGGAGTCATCTTCATGGATCAAGTTTAATTTAAATAAAATTTTAATTAATTAAGTTGACCCGACCCAACGTATCAAATTTGGGTTTAGTAATTGAATTTGTACATATTTATATAGTTCGAATTTGTACAAATTTTTAGGCCTTAAATTTCTATAGTTCGAATCATATTAATTTGGTTGAAATCACCACCAGAGTTGGCTTTAGATTACTCTAAGCTTTCAGTGATATATTAAATAATTAAATGATTTCATTAGCTTATAAACCTTTTAAGAATTTATGATGTTTCTCCCTAAATTCGATCCATTTAAATTATCCATGAAATCATCACAAGTACTCTTTTATTATTATTGGAATATGTTGCCATGCTTTCGAAATGTGAAAAGAGTGAGCAACCAAAGATAGAGTGAAACTTTCCATAATAATTGTGTTAGTTATTGGGTCATTGAGGCATTGACAAATCAACTATCCACAAATTGGTAATTAACAAATAGGAACAACAAAAATATTGGCAATGGGAGGTGAGAAGGCATTGTATCCTTTTGTTGTGCGAAAGCTAATGGAGTGATGAGTCATGACAGAGATAGCCATTCATTTACTTTGTTTGAAGAATATTAAGATGCACATAATCAAGTGATATTTTTCTTAGAAAAGTAAAAAGCTTATGCTAAATCAAAAATTAACTAAAGTTTTATACTATTCTTTTAATATTGTATCATCATATATGTTAGTCTTTAATTTTTTTTTTTAAATTGTTAATTTTTAATTTCATAAAGTATATATTATTCATTTAATTCTTTTCAATTTTTGCTTGTTAAATAAATCATCTTTAATTTATCTCTTAACATTTTTTGTGTTAAAGATATTAAAATAAATATTATTTATAGAGTTAAAGACTAATTAGAAATTTTTATATTTTTAAAACTAAAATATTTAATCCATATAACAAAAACCATTAATAATTAGTGCATACTTATTGAAGAATTTCGTTTTGTACAGTGAGGGTGACATTTCTTCTATTTAAGACTTTACAAAAATAAATATCAATTAAATGAAATAAAAAAGCACAAAATTTAAGTGTATTTTTTTTTAACTAAAATTAAAATTTTACGCCATTAATTTAAAACATCGTTAAATGTATAAGTAAAACTCTAATTTTTTTTTACTTAAAAAAGAGCAGCAAAAATATTTAAAGAAGTGCACCTAATTTTTTTTTTTAACACAATATCATAACCCTCCAGAAAGATATTAAATTTAAAAATTAATTAACAATTAGATTTTGGGAGAAGCTGATTAACCTATTGATAATTGAATTTAACATTCATGTCTTTCTTTTGCATGAGATCAATAGAATAGACAATATACAAACATAAACGTACGTGAATCAGTACATACTTAATGAAAGATAAAAAAAAAGCTAATATTATCATACATAATCAAATTTATTTTTCAAAAATCTACTCTTGACCATTCATTTAAGAAAATGGATTGCATGGACAAAAGTATTTTCTAAGACACTTTCGCATGATATATAGCATGAGCAACTATGAGATTGTAAAACAACAAACAATATATGATAACTTATTATAAGCATATCCTAGCTATGTCGTATTAGTATGGTTAAGTGTTTGGCGAGGATTATTTTTTATCATAGTTGTTACGCGACAATAACAAGAGTGACATAGATAATAATGCAATACAAGTGGTGGATGATTATAGTAATAATAACAATTATAATAGTATTAGATAATTATAGTGATTAAAGAAAAAATCATCAAAGAGTTAAGAATGATTATAAAAATAATAATAATAATGATAACTATAACAAAAATAATAATTGATACAGGAATGGCAGTGCAACTGCATTAACGGTATATGTTCAAATAGGATAATGATTAGGCCTATTCATAATTCAAGTTTAGAATAAAATTGAACTAAGTTAGAAAACAACTTCAGTCAAACTAAAATAAATCAAAACTTATAATAACTTCAAACCAGAACTCAAATAAATTCTCTTAATGAATTTTCTGACAATATTTTTTAGTAACCATGAATTTTTAAAGTTTTGAATAATGATTAAGAAGGTTAATAAATATTTAAAATTTAAGTTGAATATAAGTTTTTACTTCAATTAGTTTCACAAAATATCTCCAACCATATAATAAGAAAAAGACTAATCTCTTCCAATGCGATTCCAAAAACATGGTTTTCTTCTTAATTATTTTCTCTGTACAATTATTATCACATTCGAACTCACGATTACATGTCAAAGGATTTGACTCCATTCACTTGAACCACTAAGCGTTTAGTTGTTAATTCATTTGATTATATTACCCTTTTACTTTATTAATGTTTTCTCATTTTACTTAATAAAGACATCAAAATATAAAGATTATAAAATAAAATAAAATAAAATAAAAAATAAAATAATCTGCCTTATTAATTTTATAAAATGATAAACAATTTAAAATCAATTAAAACCTTTAAATGATAATTATTTTAAAAATAAGAGAGTAGTCGTTTTAGTTCTCTTTATAATTTTCTTCTAATTAAACCACACATATTAAAAAATTGTTAAAATTAATTGATAAATTAATGTTTTACAAGTTAATTATAATATTATAAATTTATTCCTATTTAAAATCGAATTCTATCATTTTAATAATAAAAAGTTTAATTTTCTTAAAAGTTATATATGAGCCAAAATAATAAATATTTCTAAAATTTTGTAAAATAGACTTATATTTAATACCATAAAAATTGAGTTAATATAATTTTTTTTGTCTTTTTAATTCAGTCTACATGCAATTTTGACTTCCTAACTTTTTTTTAGTTGATTAAATCTTTCTACTTTTAAAATTGAACAAATTTGATTCTTCTATTGATTTTGTTCTATCTAAAATCATTAAATTATTTTTGTTTAAATATTCAAGGAATTTACAATAAATTTATTTTATTAAATAAATTTAAATGTTTAAAACTAAAATAAATAGTAAAATTATGATAATATTTGAAAAAAAAAATCAAAGGCATGTGATCATGATTTAAAGAGAGACATGTGATCAAAATTTGATGTTTAAAACTAAAATAAATAGTAAAATGTCTTGAACCTTTGGCCTAACATGGCAGCATATGTTTACTTGGACTTGGAAGTTTTTGTGAAACATTTGCGGCCTATACCTTCGTTCTCCTACATACAACAGTGTTGTCTGCAAATTGTTTCATCAATTCATGCATGCATGTACCTTCTACTTAGTTGCATAGTTCATTTTGAACCTCTGTAACCTAGAGTGTGCTAATTCAAAGTTCTTAAATTATTCCTTACTTTATCCATACCCATAACTAGGAGGTTGACTAGAAAGTGTGGTCCTCTTAACAAGAAATTAATGTGATATGACTATGAGACTATAAGTATGTTTCTGGTTCTTAATCATCACATGACATGTAATTAAGATTTTTAAAATTTTGATAATGTGTTGCATGATGATTAACAGAGACTTAAAAAATTATGGTACTTTTCGATCACGTGATAAATTCTCCTCTTTTTCACTCCTCAAAGTAAAACTTCAAAGTGTATTAGTAGCAAACAATTTTGGTGCTTGCATGAGAAGATAATTTCAAATATTTTTGGTTACCAATAAGAAAATCTATCCCTAAATAATGTGAGGTGTTATTTTTAAACAAAAATACTTTTAGAAGTTATTTTAAACAAAAAATTTTCTTTCCTCAGTAAATCACTTGGCTTCTTCAACATTATTTTATTTTATTTTTATTTTTCATAATTTAATTTTTAATTTTAAAAATTATATCTCTTTAGTTTAATATTATAAAATATTTATTATTAATAATGAAAGTATTTATTATTTTTTAAGTTAATAAAATTGAAAGTTAATTATATACTATAAGCACTATATGAAAAATTTATTGATTAGTATAAAAAACCAAAGAAATTATCGGGTACTCTGGCCTTTAAAGGCTAGGCTTAATTGTTATATGCTATTCACATAGTGGTTCTCCGAGAAAGGAAATTATGAAAGGAAAGAGAGGAGTACAAAATTTCTATTTTAAATAATTAAACATATTTTAATTTGATAATTATTCTAAAATAATATATTAGCATAAATTTAATATATTAATTAATTTATAATTATCATAAATGATATAATGCTCTTAATGTAAAAAATTACTTCTCTTTTTTTTTTTTCTCAAAACCCCCCTCCTAGGCATTCTTAAAAGAAAATTAATCTATCGTGAATTTGTGATATTAAACCAAACAAAGTACTCTTTTTTCGAAACAAGGTGAAAATGGTGTAACGTTTTAATTGTCAAATTTTAAAATTATAGTTCATTTATATTTCTATTTTTTTTTATCTTATTTCTGTCTTTTTAATTAAATATTTATGCAAAATAATATTTTCTATCTTTTAAGTTTATGTAAAATTTTGATTGATCATCTATTTTTTTATTAATTTAATCTTTTAAGATTAATTAAATTTATTTAATCTTTTAATTTTTTTTATTCAATTTAGTCCTTTAAAATAATTCTTTATAACAAAATGAACCTTTAACTTTGTTCTATAATTTAGCTTAAGTAAAAATTTTAAAATGATAACATTTTGTACAAGAATTTTTTTCTTATTTTACATCTTTTACACATTTTACAATTAAATTATCATCCAATAATTTTTAAAGCATCACTGAGAACCTTTTAAATTGTCTACAAATCCTTTTTGATTAACTACTCATCTATGCCTTTTTTTTTTTCAATCGTAAATACTAAATAATCATTCTCAATTCTTAGTTGATTAAATCTTATACATTTATAATTTTTATTGCTAATCATTTTCATTATGAACCATATCTATGTCAAATACTAAATCTTTTGAATTAGATAAATTTGAAAGAAGAAGTAAAAGTAGAGAAAAAATTAGTAAAAAACAACAATTCAAAAGACTAAATTAAATAAAAAATTAAATGAAACTTAAAAATAATAAAATTAATTAAAAGTCAAATTAAATTCACTCAATAGTTAGACAAAAGATTTAGTTATATAAATTTAATTTATAACTAATATTAAATTTATTTTAAAAAATTAGATGTATGTGAAAATAATTTTTTATTCACTATATTTTTTTATTTAGTTTAGTGTTTTAAATCAACTTTATAAAATTAAAATTTATTTATTTATCTAAATTCATATTATTTATAAAGGTACTATCTCATGTCCTTATTTATTCTACCTCCGTGTTGTATCCGTTTATAATTTTTTTTATAATTATATTTTATGATTAATATTTTTATTAATTTTAATTTTTATAATTAAGATTAAATATTTAAAATAGTATTTTAAAAAAATAATATAATATTTTATTATTATTTAATATTTTTAATATTTATTTATTGATTTTAATTTAAACTTTCATTATTAACTCTATTTATAAAAAATAATAATAAATATTTTATAAAATTTCTATAAAGTATAATATAATTAACAAAAATAACAAAAATTTCTATATAGTACAACATATTAGTTTTACTTTAAAAAGTTAAATTTACAAATATATTAAAAATTAATTTTTCTTTAAAAGTTAAAATTTAAAGTGAATTTAAAATTAATTTAACATAAAATTAAATTTAAAACTTACTTAACTAAATATTACATTTAAAGCTGATTTTAATAAAAACTAAATTTAAAATTAATTTTAAACAAAATCTAAAATTTAACTTTATAATTAGTGCATGTGATTGATAAATGAATAAAAGTAGAAAATATAAATTTAATTTTAATACAATATGAATATAAAAAATTATATTATTAACTTATTCAAATATATATATGCAAATATCAATTTAATTTTTATTATTTTTAATATAATAATTCAATAATAGTATAAAACAAATTCATAATATATTTTATTGAATTTAAACTCAATTTAAAACTAAATTTAAAATTTAAAATTAGTTTTAGAAAAAATAAAATAATTTAAAATTTAATTTACATAATTAAATTTAAAATAAATTTAGATTGATTTGTTGCATATGCAATCTATGCCTATCCCTTGAACTTAGAAGATAAAAATATAATTTAACAAAATATTTATTACTTGTTAAAACAAATAAAATCTCTTAATTTGCCTAACTTGGTGGACTTATAATACGAAAGCATCTCATGATCTTAAGAAAAAGCTAATCGCATTAACTAAACTCAATCTTAGTTAATGGATATTAGAATCCATGCAATCAGTGTTAGTCTCGTCAGTTCATGTTGAGCATTAGGGACACTCATGTTATCAATAATAACCTATACTTTCATATTTATTCAAACACAGTACTTTCTCTGTAAATATATTTAGTTTCTACAATTTTTATTAATTTTAGTCCTTCTATTTTTATTTTGTAAATTCAAAATATTTTTAATCTTTAATAATAATGTGTTGAATTAAAAATTAACATGTAACAAAATTCGCACGTAACAAAAGAATCAACATATAACATCTTAATTAGTTACGGTCATTACTGAAACTAAAAAAGTATTGAATCTTAATAAATTAAAGATTAAAAAAATAAAAACTAAAATATAGATTTTACTAAAATATAAAAATTAAAAATATATTCAAATCATTCATTTTTATCTTTATTTTTCATTTTGTCATATATATTTTTTATTATTTTTAAATATTATTTTTATCAAGGTTTCTGATATTGGCGGGAAGGGGTTATCCTCCTTCCTTCCTTCGTAACAAGCATGCATAGTATTAGCACAGCATCTATGATCCCGGGTATCTCTCGATGACTTGAGGACAATAACGTAATTTCATTGCTCAATGCATATAATCATAAAGAAAATTGCATTTTTTAGATATTAATCTCCCTTTTTTTGGATTTATTTCAATATTATTTTAAATAATTAATGATTTTCATTAGTAAATATAATTTCTAATATAACGTCTTAGTTTCATTAATTTATTTGGGATGTGATTTTTTATTTTTATTTTACGAGATGATTTAGATATTTTTATTCAAAAATTTTTGTATGATTAAAAGTTAGGATATAAATTGTTTTGGAATATTGCTGGTAAGCGATACTAAGATTACTAATTAAGAAAACAAAAGTATAAAATATATATTAAACGAAAATGATGAAAATATTTAATCAGAGGCATGTGGCTCTACGAAGCTAACGAATAGATCCATCCCCAGGGATCACACCCCTGTATCTACATAACTTCACTTTCTGCACTGAGTCACCGTTTCCTTCACTTTCTCACATTTTCTCGAGAGAAAAAAAGGACGAATCTCAGCAACCAAACGCTTCTACCTCTATTTTCTACAAAAGAAAATGGAGATTCCTCATAAACACTTCTTCTCTGCAATTTTCTCGCTGTTTCTACTTTCGTTCGTCATCGCCGTAGTACTACTTCCAGGTCCGTTCCTTGAATTCGTGCCTCCAGCTGGTTTCAGACCTGGATATTCCGTTCCACTGGATCGTCTTCGAACAAAACTTTCTGGCGAAAATCAACTCTTCGCCGTTGGATATTCCGGCGACCTTCACCGGAACAAGTTCAGAAGTACTGCTACCGTAAGTTCCACCATTGATTTTCATTTGCATTTTGGTTTCCTCTGTACTTCCAATGAGTTAATTTCGGAGCGTTTCAAAACAGCTGATTCTGTTGCATTTAGTTTGGAGGATTTTTTGTTTTTTTTTTCATTTTAAACTTTGTCTCTGAACACGTGAGAATGAATAGATGTAAATAAGTAAATATGTTTTTTTCAAGAAATATTTATTAAGAATTTATATACAATAATTAATTTATTAAAAACAAAATATTATAAAATTTAATATATTAATATTATATAATATTATTATTAATTAATTTTTTAGTTTATATTCATAGACACATAATAAAAATTTATATATAGTAAAATTTTAAAAATTACATAATATCACTGAATTTAATGTATTAATAATATTACATACTATAATTTATTAATTCTTTATTGTACACTATCGAATATGTATTAAAAATTAATTTTATATGATATATTCTTGAGCATATCTTATAAAAACTACAAGTAAATTGACGATGAGTTGATTTGAACGAACAGGGAAAGGTAGGGAAACTTGAAGAAAGGCTAGCAGGAGCAAGAGCTTCAATGCGTATGGCTGCATCGGAATCCGAAGAACAGAGAAGCAATCTCACTATGGCCACCACCGCCCATGACGGCACGGACCGCTACATTCCCACGGGAGCTATCTATCGTAACGCGCGTTTATTTCACCGGTAACGTCTCTTATTTCATGACCTAAATTAACCTCAACATACTACTACTACAATAATAATAATATAAAAATGATTTTAATGAAAAATATTGTTAATTTTTCATAAAATGAAAAATCACATTAATTTCTATCTTCCACTAAAAATTATGTATACACTTTATTTCTGAAGTATAATATGTATAATAGTATTTTACATGTGTATAAATATAATTATTATTTAGTAAAAAAAATAATTATTAAAAAAATATATCCACGTTCATTAGTGTCTCAACAGAAAATATTTAATTATGAAACTAAGATCATTATAATATATACTTAGTTGATGTATACTCTTATGAAATGTGATGTTGAGAATCTTTATTTCAACAGGCAGCTGAGGTTGAGTGCAAGTAATTTTTGTTTTTCCTTCTTTGAGAAACCTTTCAAATATAATTAATAATTCAATTAACTTCATTAGACACAGACTCTTATATATATATATTACTTCTTTTGTTTATTCCTTTTTTTTACCGGCTTTACCTTTCAAAAAATGAAATGGAGAAGATCTGAAAGTACAATAATGTAATTATATGAATATTATTATTGTAATAATAATAATAATAATAATATATTATTATTATTATTAATGCAGATTTGTCTCCTATAAAATATAGGAGTACATTATTATAAAAAATCCAATAATAATAAAAAATTCAAATTAAATAATTAAGATTTTAATATTATACTTTATTTTTAAATCTATATATTTTCACAGAGTTTCAACAATTAATTAAAAAAGTTACCTTTTATTGCACTTTATCCCCAAAAATAAACTCTAGCGCTATTATTATAGCATCAAAAGATTACCCACTGCTTTGCTTATAAGTCACCGGCACCGTAACCTTTTTATGCCACGTAATGAGATGTTACTCTTTGTTTTATAAATCCGTAATAATTTGAACTTTTCTTCCGATATACGATAAGGAATTGCCGAGTGCGGCAGTATTGATTCATTGGCTTCGTAGTTTCACATACTCATCCTAGTGAATTATGAAAAAGTACTTATCTAAAATCAATTATGATACGCTTCTGCAAAAAGCTACTTTGCTATATGAATGAACTTTTTGATTATTGCACCAGTGCAGTAGCGCTAGTGGTAACTGGTAGTGATTTCCCCCTATTTCCATGATTCATATGTTCCGTTAAGAGAAAGGGAAATGGGTCATAAAGTACTTGATACTTTACTGGTCCAGACACATTGGCATTGCAATTAAGTTGGATGCTTATTAGCCATCCCTGTCTGATCGCTCCCCCATATTTGCTACTCATTAGTTTCCACAAACAAGCAATCAACGCCTTTAACGGATAATGTGTATAATTGGGTAAGGTACGTTAAATTAAATAAAGTTTTTTCCCTTGTATGTTTCTGTTATCATCATCATTATTATTTCCAAATTATTTACTCGGACTGCATTAGGAGACACGTGATTCTAGAATTTAAGGTTAAAGAGTGCATAATAAAGACTGAAAACTTTTCTAGGAGGATTATTTAGTAATTGTACAACAGTTGAAAACGAAAACTGAATATTGGGTGGGTATTGTGGTTAAGTTCATTTGCCCTAATAACTTTTTGGCTACAATAGAAAGACTCGAATGATCTCAATTAAAACAAGTCCCAGTATGTAGAATTCCGATCTGTTCTACAGTTTAAATTTCATTCTTCGACTGTAGAGGATCCAACCTAAATTTTTGTCGTGTTATGTGAAAAAAAATATAACATTCTGATCACAACTGCACTGGGAGTAATTCAAATATCAACTCTGGAGGATTTTGTTTCCCCGATTAGGACTATGCATGTTTCATCATTTCATTAATAAAGTTCATCAGGGTTTAGTTTTGATATGATTGTTTCTTGGTCTACAATATACTGATATCCAAATTCAACGTTAAGTATTTTCACATAGGATTTGTTAACCGAAATTTATTACCCTAACTATTTCAAATATATTGGTAAATGATAAATACTTTTTTCTATTTAACAATTATTTTAAAAAATTATTAGCATAAACAAAAGTTATGTATTGTGTTTGATTTATTCTTCCCAACCATACCATACGTTTCCTCACATTTCTTTCCATATGTTTGAGCTTCCCAATTAATAAATATTCCAAATATAGGAGTGATCCAAAAGCGCTCCACTTCTGTACCTTCAAAATTCTAATATGTGCCAATTAATGCTCATGGTTGACTAGTGCATACAATTAATGGGAGGACAACGCTGTTTTGCAATCCTCCTCTTTATATTTCTTGCGAATTTTGAGCAGTTCCTATTCTTAAAGCCTACAAAGTCTTTTCAAGTCGACCTCAGCCATCCTTGAGATATCTTTCTTACACTTTAGAAGGTCTTCAACATGGAATTTTCTCTACTCAAATTATCTAATTATATTCTGATTGCAAATTATTTTAAGTCTCATTTCTGGAATGACAAAATATAGTTGTAGCATTGTTGGTGTTAATATTTATTAATTAAATTTAGAGTTTTACCTTAATAATCTATGATAACATTAAATATAAATATTTTACTAAAATAAATAAACAGTAATAAAATATCACTTAAGTTTTTTTCTTTCCAAAATTCAAGTTACAATAAAATTCTAACACGATTAACGATAAATTTGCAAATAATATTGGAGTACACTTCTTCCCATCACAAAACCGAGTCCAAGCATAAGGTCATTAAAGTTTATATTTGAGAACTTCAATTTTTGTAGATAAAAAAAGTTCATAAAACTAATATTATTAATATTTTTACTTAAAAAATAAATATTATTAATTAAAAGATAAATAATATTAAGAATACACATTTTTTTTTAACTAAAGAAGTAAGTTCAGATACCTTTTTCTCTCAATCAGCAACTACTTTATCTATCTTATTATTTGAGTTTTTTTTTTATCATTCTTAATTCAAATACATATATTCTATTATTGAATATTTTAAATATTAAAATAAATGAAATCCATCAGCATATTAATTATCATGAATTTTAATTACCTACTATACATATAATACTTTGAATGAATTTCAATAATTCATATTATTTTAGCGTGAATAATTTTTTTAAATCTAAAATTAACAAAACGTTGCTTAACATTAACAGTGTTTCAATAAATATTAAATAGTTTGACTTTAATATTAATTAAAAATTCAATAAATGTGTTTATAAAAATTTAATAAAATACTTTGTATCTTAAAGTTGTTTAAAAAATAAATTTTAATAAAATAATTATTATTTAAATTATTTTTCAAAAAACTTATTCTAAATTTTACTTTAATATACGATTCATATGAATAGGATAGCAGCGGGTTACTGAATAGGACTCATTATGATGGATCCCATTATTATGGATAGAATTGTAGTATTCTTTATCAAGCTGAATCAAATGCAAGTTTAAATTTCTCGTAGGCTGGGGGGCAGCAATCCACAGTTGCGTTATATTTCATGACTCAGCCTGAAAACTGATACGTAGGTTAAAAAATGAAGAAGTGTTGAATTTATCTTGCTTAATAATTTTTTTATTTCTAGAAATTAATTAAGTATACGTTAACCAACAAAATTCTTTCTTAATAATTCATTTGTATTTTGTAATTAATATATACATTGTTTCCGATCATTCATGCATATTTTATCTTCTAACAATATATACAACGAATTGATAATATATTTTTTCTTTTTCACATTAAACATATATTTCAAATTTCCTGGTGAGAGAAAACACTATTTAATTTCTTCTAGTTAATTACTGTTATTTTAGTTTACTATTCCCACAAAACCCTAATTAATTATTAATCAAATTTTGAGAGTTAAATAATTTAAAATATTATTACAGGAGCTACATGGAGATGGAGAAAATATTCAAGGTGTACGTATACCCAGATGGTGACCTACCAATTGCTCATGATGGCCCTTGCAAGGACATATACTCAATTGAAGGGAGGTTCCTCCATGAGATGGAACACAATGCAAGGAATTTTAGGACCAACAATCCAGATGTTGCTCATGTTTACTTCTTGCCATTCAGTGTCACTTGGATGGTCAAGTACCTCTATACTCCACTCTCTCACGACCTCACTCCTTTAAAGCAGTTTGTCTCTGACTATGTGAGAGTGATATCTACTAAGCACCCCTTCTGGAATAGAACTCAAGGTGCCAACCACTTCATGCTTGCTTGTCATGATTGGGTTAGTTCCAAGTCCCTTTTTTTAACATGGGTTGTTGCTTTTACTTGGGTTCCTACACGGTTTCTTTCCACTCATGTTACAGTGCTCATGTCAAAGCTATAATTGAACCATGTGATCACATTGCACTAGCATCCATTAGCTCTAGGCATGCCAAGTGTTTTCAATTGTAGTTTCAATAGGATTATGGAAACTTGTTTGGATAAACTTAATAATAATATTTTAAAAAAAAAGTTAAATTAATTATTTCATAAATTATAATTAATTTATAAACTTTACTCTTCTTTTTTTTTTGGCTGGAAGCTCTTGTTTATTTTTTTAAAAGTTGAAATGCACAATATAATTTTAACATTTAAAGAAACATGATTTTTTTTTTAAAACTATTTATTAAAAATTATTTAAATTGTGCCTAAATTAACCTCAATTTTATATACAATTGGAGAAAAATGAAATTGATGTGACTACAAATTATAGTTGTAAAAACTTCTACTTACACATTTGTTTGAGAGTTAAATTTAAGAAGAGAAATTTTTTTTAAAAATTATTTGATAATAATTATTATTTAAGAATTATTACGTAAATAGGTATTTTTATAAATCTTTTAAAACTTTTTGTAAACTCATATATATATATATATATATATTTTAATCTTACTTTTCTTTTCCTTTCCTTCCCTTATTTCTGGAATCCTTCTCCTTTCTCTCTCGCAGGCTGTCTAACAAAGCCTTTAATTTTATAGAAAACCTCATTTCTAATCATAATCTAAAACCTCAGATATGTGTTAAATTCTGCATTCTAGCTTCATGTAAAAATAAACATATTCAAATAACTAGATTTTTATCCTTGATTTTCTGCAGGGTCCGCACGCATCACAGGGCAACCCCTTCCTCTACAACACCTCCATCCGTGTCTTATGCAATGCCAACACTTCAGAGGGGTTTGAACCTCGAAAGGACGTGTCCTTGCCAGAAATCCACCTCTATGGAGGTGAAGTATCCCCAAAACTCCTTTCACCTCCACCAGACAACACCACACGACAGTTTCTTGCATTCTTCGCTGGTGGTATGCATGGCCCCATTCGCCCCAACCTCCTTCACCATTGGAAAAACCATGACAACGATATTCGTGTATACGAGTACCTCCCCAAAGACTTGGACTACTATTCCTTCATGCTTAACTCCAAGTTCTGCCTTTGTCCAAGTGGACACGAAGTGGCTAGTCCTAGAATCGTGGAGGCAATTTATGCTGAATGTGTTCCAGTGATCCTGTCGAAGTATTACGTGTTGCCCTTTAGTGATGTGTTGCAATGGGAAGCGTTTTCTGTGCAAATAGATGTTTCAGATATTCCAAGGTTGAAAGAGATTCTCGGTGCAATTTCAGATGACAAGTATAGAAAGCTTAAGGAAGGAGTAAAGGCTGTGAGGAAACACTTTACACTGAATCAGCCAGCTAAGAGATATGATGTATTTCATATGATCTTGCATTCTATATGGTTAAGGAGACTAAACATAGAACTCAGAGAGACTAGTTCTAACCCCATATAGTATTCATATTATAGAGATTATATTTCTGGCCTTGATATAGGAATCTCACGAATTTGATTTGAAGAAAATTTGTACTTATCACTTTTTCCCATTATATGAATTTGCATATAAAGCTAATTTATTTGTTATGGACCATTTTTTTCCTCAAATTTTTTGGATGTATACAAAGGGGTAGGCATCAAATGAGACAATTTAATATGTTTTCTTCCTAGCTTAATCAGAATTTATCATATTCTCAAAATATACTATTAAAAAATTGGTAATTTTAAACTGAAAAATGAAACAATTTAATCCGACCGTGCTTGCTTAATTGTGAAAACACAGTTTACACTTTCTCCGATGCATAAACACACAACTCGAGACACACTCTCACAAGAAGAAATTATCAATCGCTATATATGGAGAAATGGAGGTGTGCATGGAATGCAAACAAATCCTATGTTATGTAAACAACTGAACATTTTAATTATGCACAAGTATAAGAATATAATAAATTATTTTATTTACAGCCCTAGTGATAAGCTAGAGGAATTCAGATCCTCTTGAATACAACGTAGATTACTATCATACATACATTCTTATACATGCATATAACTACATAAAATTGAGTAGAACTACAACTACATATGCATGTGACTACGAAAAATTAGATTAATCTACACTTTGACTTCTATTGAATGAAGGCATGAGAAAGACGTTCAATCCGAGATCTTAGCTTGCCTCCAAATGAGAGGGGGGAGTGTTCAGGTGTTGTTGCTTTTCTTCTGCTGGTATCATTGTTGACATGGACGGTGACAATTGCACCCATTTCTTTCTTCACTGACTTGCTGAAGTATTCAATATCAACCTCATTCCCTGATATGTCCCTCACATAGAAAGCATTCACAGATTTTTCTCCATGTGTTTCAACATCTGCTCGCACAACAGCAAGGCCATTCTCACGGAGTACTCTAGTTATATCTGAGAGCAACCCAACTCTATTTTCTGCACGCAATTCTAGCCTAACACCCTTCATGTCAAGTTAGACAAAAGCATATATGTTAATTACTTTTACCAAAGACCAATTAATAGTGAATGGAGAGTAATAGTGAAATTTAACGCCAATTGCTTAATTATTTTACCTCACAAACTCGACGTTCTATAGCTGCCTCTAAGCATTTCATTACTCGTTCCTTTTCGCTTGCAGTATTTAAAGCATATCCATCTACATGCCTGATGAAATACTCCTACAAACCCATTAACAAATTCAACTAATTACTTCATCGTGAAAAATGAGGAATACTATATTGACTAACATCAACATAGAAAAATTAGACTAATAAAACATGGATACATCTCAAATGAAACCTATCAAATGAGTAGTGAGAAATATGTTCTAATTTTATATATTTAAGGAGTAGTATTAAAGATATAAGATAAAATTATCAATTTATATGTTTTTATGTAATAACTTCAGCCTTAGCGTAGTTGATTCATGACATAGTATCAAACCTTTTGTGACCAAATGTTCTATATTTTTTCTTTTGTTTTGCATAATCAATTGGGTGGACAAATTCCCAAGATTTTAATTAAAAAACATTGTGAAAACACCCATTTTATCCAAATAATCAAAAGAATTCATATATTTAAACTAAAACTAAAGTAGAGGCAAAAGTTTGACCATATATTTATACATTGAAAAAATGATGATTTCACGAAGGAGATTGTATGTCTATACACGTCCCTTGGTCTTTATCCAACAATTTCATCTAAAGTGAAGAGAGAAAAAGACACAAGATCTGAGACTCATATAATAGGTGGGTCTTACATAGCTAGGTCCTACGTCCTCTCTAATCGCTACACAATATAGTCCTAAGAGAAGATCGATCTTGGTTGGAATATATAATTGAGAGAAGAAAGAAAAAGTGATTGATATCATAAAAAAAAATGTAAGGCGAGTGTCAAATCAAGGTGGGGAAAAAAATCAGAGAATTTGTATATACCTGGAATGCATAACCTGTATGGGAACTAATGGAAGCATGGAAAATCACGTATTGCATATCTGTTAGCGTGCAAACAGTATCAAACATGAGCCTGGGACGGTCCTTACACTCAATACTCACAATTGAATACTTTTTTTGCTCACAACTTTCAATTGTCACCATCCTTTTCCTTCCCATCATCTCTTTGGAAGAGGGAGCCTCAAAGTCCCTAACTGAAAGCATAAGTTGGTGCAACCTACGTTCCACAGTGGTCATAGTGCCTTCTCCTCCAAGAAGCTCTGAAGTCTTAACATCAGGGTGGTTTGTGCCACTACCAATTGGGTTGGTAGTGGCACGTAGCACAGTGGTTAAGTGGCCCTCAATGGAAGCTAAACGAGAAGGGTCATCAATGGCTAAGTCTGTGGATTGATCAGAAATATAAGCAACACATGCCAACCTTGCATTGTGGCTCCATGCATGAGCTTCAACAATATTGCAATGAAGGTCAGCTAAGGCAGCAGAGATCTCAGAAAACAAGCCTGGACGATCGGTTCCAGTCATTTCTATGGCTGTATGTTGCTCATTTGAGTGGTGAACCAGTGGAAAGAGTGTTTTGGAGTAGGTCTTGTTGGTCATTGTTATCACTGAATTGTTATTGTGTGATGGTGGACAGCCTTTTGATCTTCCTATGGCCTGCATGCATGCATTTCAAATTTACCCTCTACCTCACTTCATATGTTAGATGAACAACCAAGAGTAAGCAAACAATCAATAGAAAAACATCAATGTTACTTTTTATAATTGTTTTCATGGAAAAAAGTATTGTGGGAAACATTTTGACCATGATAAGAATATGAGTGGAGAAGGAAAAAATTGTTTGTTTTAAGAAGAAAAAAATTGTATATACTTTCGTGTGTATATATCCTGAAAATTAGTTCCTACGTTTATTTTTTCTGTAGGAAATGTGCTTTTCACTCTCTCCTTAGATATGAAAAACTAATTTAACCTTTTAATTCGCATTCTCTTTTACTTTTTAAGTGGGGCACATCTAGAATAAATAAAAACATTTTTTTTGGGGGGGGGGGGGAGGAATTAGATAACTAGCACCCAGATATTGGAAATTCAATGTTGTTTTCATGGTTGAGAAATTGCAGTACCTGTTGGATGTAGTTGATGACTTTCTGGTCGGTTAGTTTGTTGCCATGTTCATCTCTCACATGAAATACTGCAATTAAATTTTTACGTTAGTGGTATAGAAATTTTTAGACCAATGTATATACATACACGCATGCTATACATAATTATCATTTATGTGATGCGCACCGTCCATAAACCAGCCAGCATCAGATGAAATATAGCTTTTGCAGATTTGAAGGTTCATGTCTGTTAAAATTTGCACTACTTCTAGAAGGAGACCCTGCTGGTTAAGGCTATCTACCTGAAATCAAATGGTAACATATGTCATCAATCAATTAAATTAGAACGTTTTTGTTAATCTTATTATACATATATATTATTGTCACGTACCTTCACCACTGTGCATCCTTCTATGCTTTCATTGTCAATGCAAACTCTACAACTGTGGGACACAACAAATTAACATGTGCGTGTTGCACAGAAAATTCAATTCATTTATTGATTATCAAACAAATTGAAATGTTAATATGAAGAGTTTGAAGAATTACTTACGGTGGGCCATATATTCTTTCAGGGAGAGTATCAAACTCAGGATCAAAGTAAGGCCAACAAACTTTATTCATGCTGTAAATGAAATAATGGCACAGAGAAGAAAGCTTCTTATTAGAAAATGCTAATAATATGAAAATTTGTGAGGGGAAGAGATGAAGAATGATGAGTTTTAATTCATAGTTTGAATTGCTGATAAATATGACAACCATTCATAGCTCATGGCAACAACCAACAACGTGACAACTCAGCACGTGCATGAAGAAAGAGGTAGTCAAAGTTTACCATGTGCAAGAAGAGAGTTTTTTTAGATCAACATGTAAACGTTGAGCCTAAATTGTAGGACAATTTTCTAGGACTGTTTCACTTTCTAAAAGATTAACTTATTAGCCGCATGTTTTTATTTAATTAATTATGGATGTTTTAATTTCTAATTTTGATAGAAAATAAATAATATTTATATTGAAAACATGCTTCATAAAAAGTATATATATAATTCTGATCATGGGTTATATAGAGAGAGAGAAAGTAAAATGTATAATTTTATATAATCACTAATTAGAAAATTAATAAATATTATGAGAAAATATTGATATGTACACAATAAATTATAAAATTATAAAAGACTCAATAATGAAAATTTCAATTAGTAGTATAATTCTGTATTTTATTATTTAAAGTGCACTTTGCACTTTAAAGAGGCACATTATATAAGGTAACACGAATAATTCAATAATTTGGTAAAGAACTTGCGCGTGTTTTACTTTTGCTGTCGCAACGATGCATAGGCTTTGATTATTTGTCATTTGTTTCAACTGTTCAATGCTCCTGCAACTTCAATTTTAACGTAGAAATGGTAATTGCATTTGCATATTCTAAAACTTTCATGTGGTTAAAACAAACTACCACGCAAAGCTCGTTTGCATTAATAATAATAATAATAATCACCAAATAAGATCCATGAAAGTTTAAAATAAAGTTGTAGATATATCAATGTGATGTATATATTATTCAATATGATATTCAATGTCATACTTTAAATTAGAAAACATGGTCACTTAGTTCAATTGATTGGGAGTTTATGACAGCCAGTATGTGTTTGACCACTGATTAATTATAAGAAAATATGTTTTTTCAAAAGGCTTTTGAATAAATTAAAAAAAATGTCTATAACCAAAACTGATTTTCAATTGTGTAAAACTATGTAGAAATAATAAGCTAACTTGTAGTGATTATAAACGTTAAAAAAATGATCTTACTACTAATTGATTACAATTAATTAAGAACTAATTAAAGTTGGGTTTCATAAGACGTGTGAAGATTAGGAAGAGGATAATGATGTGTAAAACAAAAGTGCAATAGGCTTACATGGAAAACGCAGAGGGGGGCTTGAAGAGCCCAAATTACTACACTATAGCCAACCCACCAATGCCCAAAAAAAGCCCAGAAGAGAGAGAAGAATCAGAAGTGAGTTCCCTCTCTCAAAACCAAATGAATATCATGAAAAGAACATGACCAGCATGCTCTAAATATGTAGTGTAGGAAGAAATAGTGAGAGAATATTGTTGACTTGGTGGTACCTCTAATTTGCCATTGCCCGTGACTTCATCATGAACTTGAATTAAGTAAAATAAGTGGAAGACAATAGATCATAGACACAACGATCCGAAGAAAAGGAAACCCTAAAAAGTCAAACCAAGTTATCTAAAGCCACGTTTTATATTTGATCTCTTCTTCTCTATCATACCATACGTTTCCACAAATTTCTCATCATACATTTGAGTTTCCTAATAAATTAACAAATGTCACAAATATTTGAGTGATCCGAAAGCAAGCTCTCTCTTTGTCCCTTTTGATTTGTGGCAATTAACACACATGCTTGACTAGTCCATATGTAATATGAGGACATGCAACAATGTTTTCCTCTTTGATATGGATGACGTATTTTCCTTATGATTCAGAATTTCAGAAGGTCTTATTCAACTTGGCATTTTCCTTACCCAAAATAGATATCATGTTTTGATTTAAAACTACTTTTAATGTCCTGTTACAGTAAGACATGTTTATCAATTGTAACAACAATTACCCAATATTAATGTGTTCATAATACTATTTAGTTATGCTTCCCATCATGATACGCTAGCTAGCATCGGCTCAATGAATGAATTCATTATCACATAGATCAGATTATTAACGTATGATTAATGGTTATCACTTATCAAGCTATTTCATAATGCAACTTTAAATTTCTAATAGCCAGCACACACCCACCTGTAGTGGTAGTATATAACATTTGAAATCATGCTCTCTTTTAAGTCGTGTTAGCATAGTTTAACATATCAACCAAGGCCAATTATGAAGTTGGCTCAATATCAACTCTAACACCCTTTGAGATTAAATTTATCATATCTAATAAAAAATAATTTTTTCAAATATTTCGTGAATACATAAAATATATTTCAATCATATATAATTCAATAATACAGTATATTTTTACAATTAAAATTATAATTTATAGGACATACATATTTTATAACTATTGAATTTAACAGGTTTAATTAGATATAATTATCATAGAAGTAAGAGTTAATTTAATTAAATACGTAAATATATTTTAAAAGGGAACAGTATTATTCACCTTCAGATAAATTAAAATTCACATCGAAACTATTTTAGTTAAGTTTGTAAATTTTAATTCAGGGTAAAACTAAACCCTAGTCATTTGTTAGGATTTGAATTTATCCCTTTTTAAATTAACTACGTTTTAAATTTCTTTGTCCTTTTTTACTTTCTTTATTTCACAGTATTAATCGACTGCATTTGGATAAAATTATAATTATCCAGTATTTAATAGCAAAGTCTCTTTAGAGATCCTCAGATTCTAAACAAGGAAGATACAATAATTACAATTGTGTTAAAAGACAAGTACTTCCTTTGGAGAGATTTCTTCATCAAGGCTTTGAACCATTGTACCGATGCAGGAGCATTTGGTCAACAAAGGAGATGCTACAGAAAGGTATAAAATGGAGAGTTGGAAATGGAAAAAGCATGAATATTTGGGGAGATAGATTGGTCCCCGTAACATGCATGTATCGAGTAAGACACTTCAGTAAAACCATTACTTCTCGAGAGCCATTAGAAACATTCTACCAACAAGAATAAACCTTTAAAAGAAAGGAATCTGACTTGATCCCATGCAAAACCTCTTGAGGAAGAAATATGAAGATTTAGGCTATTAAGAGTATAATAAGATGGACCCACTGCATGGCTGAAAAAGCAAAAGATGATAGCTCATATGCATAATAATTTTTTTATAAATTTAAAAAATTATTTGCACAAAAATAGTGTGTTTGAATAAAAGAAATTTTAAATTTCTAAGAATTTAGACCTGTCATTTTAAAGCCCAAAATCACGTCAACAAAGAAGGAAGTTATACAATTCCTCGCTTTGTCTCGTTTTGATGTTTTGCTTTATTTTTTGTTCAGTTCCGAAATTTGACACCACAGAATCCACCTGTTTATCTGTCCTCAGCCAGAGAGGCAATTGCAATAAGACATGGCTCAGAGGTCATGCTCATTCTTCAGCTACTCCATAAGAACTGAACAAAAGAAGAGATACGGGATAACATCTCTATTTCACCGAGAGGTTCCTTTGCTTTCCGAACCCAGACAAGGTCTCTTCTATTTTCTTTCATCACCTTCCAGCATTGCAAATGCTTATATTCTTTCCATCTCTATTTTTTTTCCTTCATATGATTTCCTGTGTTGCATTTTATGATTTAATCGTTAGTGTTGTTTTAATCTGGAGAGATTTGTGTTAAAAGTAGAGTGGTCGATTATTGTTGAAAAGATGGGCGTGATTGTGCTCCTTGTCCAACTTTGTGATTTAAGTCACTGTTAGCCAAACAAGTTGTCTAAATACTTGTAATTTAAGTCAGTCAATTAATTTCTTGAGACTTTAAATTTGCTTACATTTTAGGATACAACGTCCAAACACACTCTTGAGAGAACTTCACGTAACTATAGTAGTAAGTTGTAAACGGTGTTCACTAATTACAATTATTCCCTGGCTATGTGCTCTTAAATCCCATTGCATTGCAATTTGCTATAAAAATAGAAGCTCACTAAATGCTTGTATTTGAATTTATTGCCCACTCAAGTTGTGCGTTTGCACGCTAGATCAGTCGGGAAACGAAATCAGAGGGAGAAAAAATAGACATATGACAAGCTTTTCCTTTACAAAATATACAAATTGCTGCCAAATTAAAACTAAGTTATAATGTCAATAATTTTACATACTCATACAAAAATGAGAAATTACGGAAGTACAAGAAAAAGGTATTCACCTTTGCTTAAGGGATTCACATCCATAAACGCAACTTTTAAGCGGGAAATGCAAGTCAGCTGCCCCAAACGAACAGGTAAATGTTCCTACTGGCAGCTGCATTGATCATATCGTTACTCTGTCTTCGAAGCATCTCCTCCTGGGTATGAGAATCCCCATCCTAATCAAATCAAACAATGGGAGGGAGTAAAATTAGAAGCCGCAGAAAGCAGAAAATAGTGACCAACCAAGCATCCACAAAAAATCTGAATGAACCACGTGAGGACTCACAAGTAGGGAATAAGCACGGGCAAGAGAGAGTAGTGTAGGGTACAAATCCAACACAGTCATTGCAATCTCCTCTGTAACCTGTGGGACCTGCATTTGTTAGTTAAAAATTGTTTAAATATAACACATTGTCATTTATAGGATGAACAAGTTAGGTATGATAATTACTCATTTATGCAAAAGATGGGCTCAAGAACAAAAACCATGCTGTTCAATGAAATTAGACGACCAAAAACAAGGCTGTTATCCATCAGTTCTGATCATATTTCACTTAAGTATCACCGTAAATTTGAGGATCCAGCAAAAAAGGAATTCATCCTAATATAAGAATGCAATTTAATCTGAGCTTGTGATTTCTGAAAATAACCTACTTGTATATTTTGAAAGCTAAATTACAGCCAAAGGCAAAATATGTGTTGTAACTTGCAAAATAAACGGATACTCAAGGTCATTGGGATTCAACTTAGACAAACTAAACAATCAATAGAGATTAGAGAAACAGCTCAAATTTAATTTTAAAATTGTTAGTACCTGCATAAGCTGGACAGCAAACACATCGCTAACTGTCATTTTTTCAAGGTCTTGACACCTTCTAATAAATTCATCAAAAGGAGGACATATCCCCAAGCATTTAACTTTGTCTTCAAATATTTCTGATTTGTAGTATTGAGAAATTGCTAGGGTAAGATAACCATACTTCCTTAGCGTATCACCTAAGCCACTTGTTCTCTGTACATCAAATCCCTCCAGAATCTCTGTCGTAAAACAGCTGCACAAGGTGGTGCAATTAGAAAGTCTGAAAATGGGAATAATATTGACATGAACAGAAATTGTAGGTGTTTTAAAATTTTTAAACATATAAGCAAACAATGAGTAAGCTTTGCTCAAGAAATATCTAGCAACCCAAATTCATCTCCCTGCTACATAAATCTCAAACAAAATGACGCCTAAAAAACATTAGAACTCTATCCTCCACATCACTAAATACCAAATAAACACAAAATTATTACAAGCCATACCAGACATGTCTGAGGGAATAATTATATGTGGGAGAGCTTTTGAAGACATATCTAAGTACTTCCCTATAGGAATAGGTGTACATAAGGCTCCACCTTGAACTCTTGTTTACAAGTGACATATAAAAAATTATTGCTAAATATATGCTCTTTACAAATGACATAATGCTGGTTGAAGAATTAAAAGAAGAGGATAATGTTAAACTTAAGTTATTAAGATAAGAGAGACTTTTAAGTCTTAAGGAATTTTGCTTGAGTAGATGCAAAACTAATTATATATTTCAATTTGAACAAAAACAAGATGAGTATAATATGTTAGAAGTTAAAATTAGAAATTATATTATACCACAAGTCTCCAAGTTTAAGTACTTGGTATCGATTTTATAGAAAATTAATGAAAATGTTGCTCATAGAATATAGTTAGATGGTTAAAGTGAAGAAAAACATTAAATGTTATTTGTTATAGTAAAATACTTATTAAGTTAAAAAGAAAGTTTTATTGTATTGTAATTCGACCAACTATCTTATATGGTGATAAATGTTGGGCCTTAAAAAAACATGAGAATGTAAGATAAGTAATCACAAGAAATGACACAAAATAAAAATGATTATATACATGAAAATATTGAAGTATTACCTATAGTGAAAGAGATGACAGAAAACTGTCTAAGGTGATTTGGTCACATGCAGATAAGGCCACTAGAAGCACAGTGAAGAAAATGGATTGACATGATTTTTAGTTCAGTAAAAAGGGATAGAGGGAGATCCAGAAAAATCTTAAAAGAAGTTATTAAAAGAGATTTAATGATTAATAATATTAATAAGAATTCAGATTTTGACCAACTTATTGGCATTATGTGATCCATGTAGCTGACCAAATTCAATAGCATTATAAGAATTTAGATTTTGACCAAACTTGAAAGTGAAACGATAGTTTGAACGTATAATTATTAATGATAAAAACTATAATGAAATAAATGCACAATGCAATACCCAGAAGTAGCCAATTAAGAGTTAAAAGAGACAGGAGCAGTATACAACTATTAGTATGTTTATTAAAAGTTAGAAAGCAACAAAGTTTCGTAGAATGAATCCACTCAATCCAAATGTAGTATTACTTTCAGATACATATGGTTTGTGAAAATGTTTTCTTTTTCTGTTTCGAATTTTGACTACTAATTATAACATGTCATTTTGTTTTCACTTTGTTTTCTGTTTTTTTAAAAATAAAATATAAATGGTCAAGAAAATGAAAAACAACTTAAACCAAACATTGGTATTTGCTACAAATGTCATCACAGTGATAATATGGATGCAAATTGGACTGAATCTGGTTTCTTCTCCAATCCCACATCCCTTCTCATCCCAAATGGCTACCACAAACATTATAATAAAAGAAAATATACTTACGCAGTTTTTATGCTTTCAGCAGCTTCAGAAGAATTTGGGTCACCTTCCACAAGATATATCAGCTTCTTCAGCCCACACCTCTAACAAAATGCAATTGGATTGAGAAGTGGGGGTTGAGGAGGTTACGTCAATATGGTATGCTTTTAAATTATATTGCTGAATATGAGGAATAACATGAACATATTTCAGGCAGCATAGAGCAAATAGTGAGTAATATCTTCACAGCAGTAATGTGCCAGTGTTTGCCAGTGAAATCAATTAACAAAATATGAGTGAACAATACAATAAAGCTTCAATTAAAAGTGAAGAGATTCCTCCATATCAAGCCAATAAACAGATAGGGTACCCTACAATGTTACCAGCCATTGGATGATATCTTCACCGAAAATCCGTAACAAAATGATAGGAATAGAATGATATAAAAGAAGATAGTATATTAGTATTATTGATGAAACCAAAGATGGTGAGCCTGAGCTCTTACAAAGGAAAAACCAGAGCCAACCCTCCTCAGAGAATTAGTATTGTCTGTCCAACCACCACCAAAAAACAATTCTTATCCCTCTCCTCACTCTCCATCATCCTATAAGCATACTGTATGGCATAACAAATTGACCAGCCAGGAACATCTACCTAACTCACTCCCAACATCCTTCTTTTCCCTCACGTGTATACCCTTTGCATATGTTGGGCTTCCCAAGAATAGAACCCACCAGGTGATCCATGTCTTGTACTACTTCATCATCTACATTACTCATATTTTGTACTCTATCACAAAATATCACTATTTTCTATAAAATAGGATAAGAAAGCAACAGAACCATTAATCAATGACCATATATGCATATGCCTGCCATCACATGTTCAAACTTTGTCAAATGTCAAAAAACAATTCTAAGTTCTAAGTATTTAAGAAGGAATAATTACCAAAAGTCTTAATTTCTGATCCTTGTAGCGGTTATCCCTGATTGAACTGCGTAGATCATCAATTTTTTTCCTCTCAACAATAAAATCCAACACATATTCACTGTCAAGTGTTTTATGGCGTGCTATCCAAATCCCATCTCCAACTGGCAATCGCCTAACCTATATATATGAACTAATTTTTAGATGATTTTTACCATCATTTAAATAGACATAAATAATAATGACTAAATATGAAACATAGTGAAGGGTTTTATTTATAATGACTAAATAATAATTACAAAATATTTTGTTACATACCATAAATAATGCTACCTAAGTAATAAATAAATATTCTCTATTAATTTATAATTATTCTCAACACTCTCTCAAGTTAAGCATATAGATCATATTCACTAAGCTTGTTACATATATAACTAATTTGTGGTCCTCTTAGACTTAGTAAAATTGTCTACAAGTTGATAGTTGGAGTTGACTAATCTTGTGACAATATCTCCAAAATAAATCTTTTCTTTGATGAAATGACAATCTACCTCATTATCTATGGCTCTCTTATGAAACACAAGATTTGAAGCAATGTGTAAGACAATGTAATTATCACAAATAAGTGTCATGTCTAAGGTCTCTTCAAATTTTAACCCTTGAAGCATTTGTTTGAGCCATATAAGCTCACAAAGTAACTAAGGCCATGACTCTATATTCAACTTTTGCACTTGATCTTGCAACCACATTTTGCTTCTTACTTTTTCAAAAAACTAACCTCTATAAAAATAATATACACCAAAATAGATCTTTTGTCAATGGGAAAACATGTCCAATCTACATCATAATGTACTTTAATTTGAGTGTGACCTTTGTCTTCATACATAAAACCCTTTCTTGAGGCTCATTTAACGTATTTCACAACACAAATAGAGATAGACCACACAAAGCTCTGTGTAGGCCATAGATTAGTGAAGTGTTCCTCATAATCTTGTTGTACAAGCCAAAGACAAATGTTAGAAGCCCAATAGATATAATTATTACCATCCAACATCTCTACAGAAAGTGAAGCAACAATGTGATTAGTGAAAATAGCAAGCTCAGCTTTCAAAGAGTCAAAAGACACTATGGGCAACAAGGATGAAAAAATGCACAAAAACAGTGCAAAATAGTGGCAAACACTCCAAACAGAGAGGAAGCACCAAAATAAAGAGAGGTAGGCAGATCGGAAGGAGGAGAGAGAGGAGTGCAATGACCCAAATGCCAGCAAAAAAGACTGTCAAATGTGCTATACCATGTGCTGCCAAAAGCAATGGCCCATGAAAGATTCATGTCTAAAAAAAGAGGTATAGAAGGGCACACGGCAGCTCAGATGACAGCAGAGTTGTCATGGTTTTGCCAATGAAAGGAAGACATAATTGGTGGTGTGGTCACTAGTGAAACCAAAGGTCAATGTCAGTGGTCGTGCTGAAATAGTGGCAAAACCACAACAACCAAATCTTATTCCATTTGCTGAAGTCAACTACATGGATCATAAAGTGCCATTGAGTTTGAACAAATATTATTCATCAATAGATCTTTTATAATAATTTTCTTTAAGATTCTTTTGGATCTCCCTATAACTCTTTTTATCAAACTAAAAATTATGTCACCTACTCTCTCACTCATGCTTTTAGTGGACCTTCTCTACATATAACCAAATCATTTTAGAAGATTTTTTGTCATCCTTTTTCCTACAAGTGTTATTTAAATATTTTTGCATATATAATCATTTTTTTCTTCTCCTTTCTTATGTAAGGACTCATCCACTTAAACAATTTCATTTTTGTCACTTTCATTTTTTTCTTGTGTTGTTCCTTTAAAGCTCAACATGCACTACCATAGGATAGATGGACATATTGCAGTATAACAAAAAATTTTGTAAGCTTAATAGGTACTTTACAATCACAAATAATTATTGATATCTTTCTCCACTATAACTACTCAACTTGTATTGTATGATTAAATATCTTCAGTAATTATTTTTATCATTTTGTAGAATCAATCCAAAGTCCTGAAACTTAGAGACTTGTGATATAGTATTATCTTTAATTTTGACTTTCCACGCATGGTATTCATCTTGTTTTTCGCTAAAATTGTAGTGCATATACTCTCGTCTTTAACAAGAACTATGTCATCCATAAAGAAGATATACTTAAGGATAATCTTTTATATGTTACTCATGAGTACATATAAGACTAAACTAAACAAGGAGGGCTTCAAAGTGAAGCTTTAATGTAAGTCTATCCTTATAGGAAATTCCTTAGAAGCTCCTCCAAGAGTTTTTACAGATTTAGTTACCTCTTCATACATGTCTTGAACTGTAGCACCAACTGGGTTATCCCACTAAATAATACAGCAACTAAGTCTTATCTCACTAAATGAGATCGGCTACAATGAACACACAAAACCATTTAGCTCGATCAAAAACTAAAATTTCAAAATTACTAATCAAAATATCTTTTTTATTAACCTATAAGATTCTTTTGAATTTCCCTCTACTCCCTTTTACTGGACAGAAAGACATGATATCCACTCTCTTTACTGGTGCCTCCAAAGGTCTTCTTTGCACGTGACTAAACTACCGTATATAGCTTTTAGTTATCTTTTTTATTATAAGTATTATTTCAATATTTTCATGTATACTATAATTTCTTATCTTATTATTTCTTATGCGACCACTCAACCACTTTAACATTCTAATTTCTGTCACTTCTATTTTTTCTTGTGTTTTTCTTTTAAGACTCGACATTAACTATCATATAGAATATCTGGTTGTATTGCAGTACAATAATACTTTTCTTTCAGCTTGGTAAGTACTTTAAAATTTAGAAAAAGAAAAGGAGGGAGTTTGGAAACCGAAGATAAAAATGGTTTCTAGAAAAAAAACTCACCAATGGGCAATGGGTCCATTGGATAAAATACAATATAGGATTTGTCTCATTAGGCTCTAGATAGCATGATTGAGAATAAATTGAGAGACATTTGAGTAAAATTTGTGTTTAATACACAACAAATGGCTTTATTTATAATGACTATGTACTAATTACCAAATATTGTTACATATTTACCATAAATAATGCTATCTAACTACTAAATAAATCTTCCCTGTTTATTTACAATTATTCTAAACAACATTCATTAAAGTTATCCAAAAAATTTTAACTAAAAGTTCCCAATTTCCATTAATATAATCAAAACAGAGCTAATGGGTTCAAATAAACCAACAGTTTTGTTACAAGTTACAACTTCCTGCCTATTTCTTTTAAAGCATGCCATAATATGCCAAAGTTCACAGAAAAAAAAAATCACATAATGATGAATAATATTGGCTGTCAATATAAGGAGTCGTGTAACTAGGAAAGGCCAGCATCAAACCACAATTGTCCAGTTCCATATCACCTTATAGTCCATACCAAGAGGTCCTTGCTTTCAAGATTTATTTTGTCCCCAAAGAAAAGTTCATGTTCATCTTAAAGCAATAATACTCACACATATATAGATAAAACCTATGCATGTTATTGATATCTCCCCTAGTTATCATACTGTTCATTGTCAGTTTCCAATTTTCCATGATAAATATTAGTATCAGCATGCAGTAAATAATACATGCCCTTAACTTTTCGGAAGCAAAGGGAGTTAGCACAACCTGTAGATTTATAAGACCCTCAACTCACCTCTATTTGGATTTTGAATTGGCTACAGATACTCTCAATAAATTTCCTGGATCGTGATCTGAAACAATTTAATACAAAATTCATTTAAGTCATTAGCAGCAAGCCAGACATACACTAAACTCTAGAGCATTGTAAATACAAATATACATCAAGTCATAAATACTTAAATGAATACCAAGCAAAGTACAGGATACAAACCACACAGTAATCCTAACTGAAAATAGTGACTTTGCATTTATGTTACTAACCCCTGCATGGCAAATTGCTCCCGATCATCCAATATTAAAATTATGTCATAAGCATCCTCAAACTTCTCCCCCAAGCTCAATGGTGGCACATTTAAAATGTTCATCTTTGATTCAAGCTCATCCTTGTTAGGCTTTTGCATGGGATGGTCCTATGTTTTCCATCAAGTACCAATTTCAAAAATTGCTTCAAAAAGTATAAACAACTTCCTAGCAATGCATAAGCTAAAATTTTTTAGATAAATAGAAGGAAATAAAGAAAAAAATGGGTCAAATGCTTTATTATTTAATTTTACCTTCCACCCTAATTATCAAATCAAATACTTTACATCCCAAAATTTAATACAACTCATTGACATCTCTCTTCCAACTAATTTAACTGTGTACATTCACATAATAAAATGCACATGCTGTGGACATAAACTGATGGTATTAAAAGACAAAATCATCCTCTTATGCAAACCTTATTTTCATTAAAATATCACAAACATCTAGAGGTGGATCAATATTTGTCTAGAAAGAAAATTTTGGAAGATAAGGGAATTTTGGTTTTGAGGGAGATGTGTGAAGGTAGCTAACACTGAAGCATGGAAAAAAGTGTAGGTTTCAAACAATGTGTGAAAAAGGTAATTTGTAGCATGTGCAACAGTAGACCTCCGTACATGCTATTTCCAGATGATATAATGTTGGTCAATGATTTAAAATAGTGGTTAATGATAAATTTGAGCTATGGAAGGAGACTTTAGAATTTAAAAGTTTTTGTTTGAGTAGAAATAAGACAGAGTCCATTCATTGTACGTTTGGCAAAAAAACAAGATGAAGATTATGTGTTGAAGGTTAAACTTAAAAATGATATTATACCACAAGTTCCCAGTTTTAAGTACTTGAGATTGATTATACAAGGAAAATTCACAAAAATATTAGTCACAGAATACAAGTTAGGTGGTTAAAATAGATAAAGTTATCAAGAATTATTTGTGACCATAAAGTACCTATTAAACTGAAAAGAAAGTTTTACTATACTGTAATATAACTATCTATCTAATATGATAGTGAATGTTTGGCCATATAAGAATAACGTAAGAATAAAGTGGGAGTGACAGAAATAAGAATGCTAAGATGGATGAGTAAATACACGAGAAAAGACAGGATACAAAATGATAGTATATGAGAGAATATTAGAATAACACCTATAGTTAAAAAAAATTAATGAAAATCATTTAAGGTGATTTAGTCATGTGCAAAGAAGATTTTTAGAGGCACCAATAAGGAGAGTGGACTGCATGACTCTTAGTTCAATAAAGAGGAGTCAAGAGAGACCCAAAACAACCTTAAACAAAGTTATTAAAAGAGACATTTTGATTAACCAGATTTTTGAAATTCTAATTTAGTGAGATAAGACTTGGTTATTGTTATTGTTGTTGCAACTATAGACCATGATGTTCCAGAAAAATTTTATTTTGAGAAGCAAAAGTTATAAGAAAGCAAAATTGGATGACCAAAATATATCTTCAAAAGGCTTACTGTCTTATAATATCGAAATTGATGTGCATTTTATTCTGTCAATTTTAACATCTAATTGAATGTAATGAGTCATGAAAATTGAATTGACTTGTGTACTAATATTCTACTAGGGTCTATTGTTCTTAATTTGATAAATCACGGACAAGTAGTACAACTGAAATAACAACCAGGTGAAAAGCTCTATCATCTGACTCTCCCTCCATGCACACATAATTGCAAAATTAATAATTCACTGTACAGAAAACAAAATGAAAAAGTTGATGTTAACTTCTATAGTATTTTGTAACACAATTGTAATCTGAACAAGAACATTACTTGTTAGTGGTTAACCCTTCCCAAAAGTCCTATGAAAAGTCTTCAAAATAAAAAAAAAATAAAAATAAAAATAAAATAAAATATATATATATATATATATAAAATCATTATAAGACAGTATTACTCATAATATTTCCATCACATTAAAGATTTATTTTACATTGGAATATAGTGCACAAAATAAAAAGTAGATTAATTTTAGCAAATGGATCAAACCATACAGCTGACGAGCAGGCTCTCAATGGAAAAGGAGGAATATCGGAAGAACAGAAGTTTGGAACATGTCCACCAGAAGATGAACTCACAGTTCTGCTCTCTTTTCCAATAAGTTTGCTAGGCCCTGGTTATTAATAAAATGATTAATAAAAATGAAGTTTCCTCTGTATTTAAGAAACACTGAAACAGGGGGAAAATGTACCATTTATGACAGTATTTGCATTAATCATGTGACAATTATTTAAAACACTTCGAGATTCTGGCTGTGAACCATAGACTTGATCCTCTCGAAGATGACATAAAACAGCTGGCCACAAAGATGAGACATCTTTATTTGGTTGGCTTCTGGAAACTTCTGTAAAAGCACTAACAATGTGTTCCTTGGAGTAACCCATTTGTGTAAACTACAAAAGAAAAAAATTGTAATAGAAAAGCAAAATTATATTTCAATTATCAGGCAAGCTATCCCCACCCCCACCCAAAGAAAAGAAACATCTTCAAGTAAATTGACAAGAGATCAACAAGTGAATTAAATCAGGTAATCTAAGTACATAAATACCATGGACCACCTTCGGAAGAAAAGGGTATCACCTGTCAAGCACAAACACTAACATGGACACATGATGATTGAAACCTCAAATCTTATTAGAATGTTATAGGGATAAATCCCAATTACAAAGCTAGAATGTTGTAGAACTGAAAGGGTCTACACCTCCTAATGTCCAAAGGCCCCAATTTCCTCTCAAATGACAAGATCCCCTATCTCTCAACCTCTCCTCTTAATCTGCTATAATTTGTCTGTCTCAGCCAACCAACTAACTAATTATACCTATAATTAACTATGGGGTTACCTATCAATACAGGATTCCCCCCAGTAGATACTCCTTATAAAACTTAGATAATCCTCCTGTCTTCTCTTGAGCTAGATTTTGAGAGTAAGTTAATGTTGTGCCACCTGCAAATGCCTAATCCCACAAACTTGACGCACCAAATGTCCATTCTTAGGCATGAGGTAGATGTGTTAAGATGTCTCATGTTGGCTAAGAATATGGCAAAGTTACTCCTTACAAGGTTTGGGCAATCCTTCTCTTGAACTAACATTTGGGAATGAGTTAGACCGGACCCTGTTTTCTAATAAAATTCCAAGAGACTAGTTTGGTAGAAAATTAATTTTACAGGATCAATTCAGTGACAAGATCTTCAAAAGACTTAAATAGTTTGCTAAAAAAAAATTTAAAGGACTAAATTTGCGACCAAAATTTTTGGAAGAGTTATGTAGTGAGACATGGAACTTCGGAGGAACTAAATTGAGGGTTTACTCAAAATATAATTTGTCTTTCTGGTAAAAGTCTTAGACAATGTCATAGAAATGAAAATGAATGGGCCAAGTTAACCATGAAAAAGTGTTGACGCCAACCAATTTTACTCACTCCACACAACTACTTCAAGAAACAAAGATTCATAAAGATAATTGAAATGGGCAGTACTTAAGATCAATGATAAAACTGAAATTAAATGAAAACGCATCCAAGAATAAGAAAATAACAACCAACCAGATTTTATTTCATATACATCAACATCAAGTGTCATTTTAGTGCTTTCCATAGAAGAGGAATAAGAATCAAAGCCTTTAAAAGGGATGAGAAGAAACAAAAGAAGTAACAAGGACTGTAAATATGAGGAAGAATCTGAATACCCTCTGAAGGCAATCAAGAGGAACATCCATTGGCTTCTTTTGTTGGGTCAATGGAGAGATCACCTCCGATTCCAATTCCACATCCAATGAGTTTGGCTTATCTATATAAGAAGGAACTTCAACAGAAGCCGACTTCTCTAAAGATTCTGCCATCCCAGATCTTGCAAGACAGTCATATGCTGCTTCCTTACCTTCTTGAGTTAGCATGTACCTGAAAACAAGACAGAATTCATCTGTATAAATATGGAGACTTTTCATTTAAGCATATCAAAATTCCAGGTTTCATTTAAAAACCATATGTCATTATTTAAAGTTGTTCTACAAGAACCACCCATACATTTACCAATTTTACAGCTTTGTATCTAGTAAGTTAAACTTTAGTTGTACATTTGCTCTGGTAGGTAGATCCGTCCTTAGAAGGCACACTTAAACAAAACACAGCTGCAATGCTCAAGCCTAACTATTAATAAACAATTAAAGAAATTAGTTACAGATTCACAATAAGGTTCCCTTAACTAGTGGAATTTAGTATGTGGAATACAATGGGCCTGTTTGGAAGATTTTATACACAGCTCACGAAAATAACATATGACTTCCACAACAACTTTTAGCTTATTTCAATGAGTTTCTTGGTATAGCTTATCAAAATAAGTTGTTTTTAGCATATCCTGATAAGTTTTATGACTAATTTATGGCATCAGCCATCATTTAAAAAAATCCCATTGAATAAGCATTTAATTATAGGAATCCAAACGCACCCAATATAAAAGATTATAAGAAAAGGTTTTTATACAAAACTAGTAGTACATTGTGAAAAAAGATATGACAAAGGAAATCCGTACTTTGCTGGGCAACTTGATTTTACAACTAATCCCTTTGCTATCAAGGTCTTCATGCAACTCCATCCACTATACCAATCCCGTGGAGAACTTCCAAAATGTGCAGGTTTTCCTTGCCCTTTTTCCGGCCTGAATGTGTAAAATGAACCTGATCAAAAGTTGTACACATTTTCATACACTTCTTTACTTAAAAGTAAACACAAAATAAAAAGAAACTGATTGAACATACGCAATTGGCACTCGAGATAGCCCACTAGCTTCAGCAGCATCTATAAGTTCCTGTTTACGCATAAATTCATTCCCGTTTGAAGTTCCCCTATTGACAAATGTGTTAAACCTCATAATCTAACATGTTTCATCACTGATAACTTTGATAACATATTTAACCATAAACATATACATCAGTACTGCAACGGACCATGTGTATATATACCTGTAGAGGGTTAACAACAATGCATAGGCCACAGAGTTCCTCTGAGGAACATAGCGCTTGGTTCCTTTAGTTTTCTTACCTTTAAGATTGAATAAGAAAGGAAGAATTAGACAGAACTATGCACAAAAATAAATTTAAAGCCAAATGAAATTGAAGATGACAGAAAATAAAAACTACACAGCATCGTACATACCCTTTTTAGTCAAGTCTTCTGCTTCAGAACCTCCAGAACCAGTCCCAAAAAACCCCTGCATGAGCCTCAATATCATTTTCCCCACACCCCTACCACATAATTCCCAGGAACACAAAAGTGAAGCATTAGATGAGTGCACTAAAAAACTCAATTTAAACACTCTTACTTCATCCTTCACCCTCATCACTTTATAAACACATCAATAACAGACACACACACACAGAACCCATCACTAAACACCCAGCAAACCCTTTTACACTAAAAATTGAAGCTCCCATGGTCCACAAAAACCAACATATCAAATTTTGGATAATTTGCAAACTAAAAACATAATCGGAATTTTATTACTATAAATTGAAGTCACAACACATGACAATATAATATCCATACAGTTATAATTATGAATGTAATATATAATATCCAAGTCTTAAACAAAAAAGTGTGCCAAAATTTCACATATCAAAAACGCTATATGTGACTGATTTTCATAAAAAATTATACTTTCAAACATTATGACATATCGATAGTCACATAATGTGGGAGAAATAGGCACATACTTGACTTGAGAGAAATCTTTGATGGTTTGAATGGGGTTTTTGGAGTTACAGACATTGAAGTGGGCCTTAGAGAGGGTCATGTCGAAGTTTTCCGAAATCCCTTTGGGTTGCTCTGCCATTTCCTTCCACTTGTTCCACATGTACGTCGCCAGCTCTTGATTCTCCGGGCACCGAACCTGGGCTCGGTTCTCCATTGGGTTAGGGTTGAAATGGAAATGTTCCCTGCGGTGGGTTTGTTAGGGTTTGGGTGTAGATGATCGGTGACGTGGATACCGTTGCAGAACCATGCCGCGCGCCTGGTTCCTCTGGCTTTCACTTTTCAAATAAAAAAAGGATCGTTTTGCTTATTGCTTCTTTGACGTCTTCAAATGGGCTTGGGCCTGAAACATGGGCCTCGTCAAACAAAATGTGCCTAAAGCCACATAAAAACATCTTTTAGGTCTTAGGTAAATTTTAGGGTTTAGGGTCACTTTTCCTGTGCAAACAAAAAAATAATCGGGCCTTTTAGGCCATAGGTAAATTCTCGAAGTTGGGTCTATCACCACGATTAGTTTTTGCACTTTCTAAAATTTATAATTTTTTCTTCAAAATATCATTTATTATAGGCTTAATTGTATTTTTTGTTTCTATAAATATTAGGCATTTTACAATAATTTCTTATAATTTTTTTTTCGTTGAAGGATTTAGTCTTTAAAATGTTAAGAAGTTAAAATTTAGTCTCTATTATTAACTCTCTTCTGTTAAATATTGAGCTAGCAAACAAAAAATCAACTCAATACTGCTACTTGACTTATTACGTCATTTTATTTTTAATTTTTTATTAATTAAAATTAATATTTATAAATAAGTTTTTGAATATATTTTATATAAATTATAAATAAATCTATCTTCTTCCTCTTTCCTTTTCCATTGCCCTACACCTCCATTCCCATGCCCACCTTCTCCCATTTCCCTTCCCTTTTCCCACATTTCCATTCCTACAACCTTTTCCCTTAAACTGCAATCCCTCCTCTTCCCTACACTTCCATCCCCAGCCCCCTCTTCTAAACCACAACCCCTCCCTCTCCCCACACCCCTTACCTCACTCTATTATCCCACCCAACCTCAACTTCAATTCTCACACTTATACAATATTTATTATCAATATATTGTACTTTTATGTTTAATGAGATTATATTAGGTTTAATAGAGTCTTAAGATCTTACGCACATTTGAGATTATCTACTCAAGAGAAAAATAGAAAAGTTAAAGTTTTAGAATTTTGCATACGAAAAAGATGCACTTTTTCCCTTCTAAAGTTGGGATTGAGATATGGGAAAAGGTTAGGTAATGGGAGAAGTGTGAAACTTGAAGTTTAGATTAGAATGTGGAAAGATGTTGGGTTGGGTAACAGAATGGGTATGAATAGCGAAATGGTGTGAAGGTTTAAGTTGCGGTGAGTAGTGGAGAGGGAGATGAGAGGGGTCCAGAACTTAGAGTTGGGATTAGGTAATGGGAGGGGTGTGGAGGTTGGAGTTGGAGTGGGTAGTAGAGAGAGATGGGAGGGGTGCGAAAGTTGGAGTTTGAATTAGAATGTGGGGAGGAGTTAGGTGTGAGAGTTAAAGTTGAGGTTGAAATTAGGATGTGGAGAGAGGTTGAAGTTGGGTAACAGAGGGGTTAGAAGGTTGGAGTTGAGGTGGATAGTAGAAAAGGAGATGAAAGGAGGTGGAGTGAAGTAGGAGAAAGAGATGAGAGTGAAGGTTGGGGTTGAAGTGGGAGTTAAGGTGACGAAGGTGGAAGTTGGGGGTGAAGTTTGGACTTAGAGGTTAGAAGTGGGTGGTAGGGCTGCTACTGCTACGGAATGAAAGGAGTTGGAAAGAAGAATAAGGTTATTTTTACAAATATATAAAATATGTTTAAAGATATTTTTTGTAAATATTTATTTTAAATTATAAAATATTATAAAATAAATAACATAACAAGTCACGTGTTGACATGTGACAGTGCTAAGCTAGTTTCCTATGGACCAGCTTAGCATTTAACATTGAAGAGTTAACGACAGGGACTAAATTCTAACTTTTTAACATTTGAGAAATTAAATCCTAACAAATTTTTTTATAAAAACTTATCATAAAATGTCTAATATATCTATAAGGACTTAAAAACATAATTAAGTCTTTATGATAATAAAAAGACAATTTAAAATAAGATTTTGATATTAGATTTTCATGATTTTAAGAAATAATTTTTAAAATTATTTTTTTTGGAAATAGAATTTTAGAATTACAATTTTATATTTCTAGATTTATATTTATGAAATTAAAATTTACACTTTTAAAAATTAATTTTCAGAAGTGTTACTACAAAAAAAAATATTTTTGGTGATTAAAATAATTTATCTTTAGAACTAAAAGGCATAAATATATTTATTTTTTACACTTAAAAAAAGCATCGATGTTTCCCCCATATTTTGTTTAATCGTTGAAAGTAGTACAAAAAATGATTATACCATTATCATAGAATTAGAGCATATTTAATTTTTATTTTTTTAAATAAAATATAATTAAATTTTGTATTATATTTTTTTAAAAAAATAAGAAAATTATTTTTTAACAAGAATCAAGCATACTGTTAAATTTTCATTTGCCCTCATTAATTTTGTATATTTCTTTAAATGTTTTTAAGAATAATTTAAACCACTAAACATTTATAATTGAAGCTAAGTCATCAACATCATTTAATAATCATACAACCAATATTATAGTTTCCTAAATTACTATCATTTTGTTGAACAATTAAATAGGGCAAACACTACAAAAACATTTAGATACTTAGGCTAATGATATGTATAAAAATATCATGTCATAATTCTTAATGTCAAAATACAATATATATTTGCCTCGAAAAAAGAAAACCATATTTGTTACAAAATATATTTTATGGGGCAGTTACAAGAATCTCACCCTATTTCACAAGAAAGGGGGGCAAAGCGGTGCAATTAGGGCTCCTCATCCTAGTTGCTCAAAGACATTTTGCCAAAGTTTTGGGTGTTGCAGGGGGACGGAAGCACTTGGAACAAGGATTGACGAGACTTTACCCATTTTCTTGGTAGGCTTAAGGGACATGGAGAGGCACGAAACTGAAAAGAGATCCACCAAAGAGATAAATCTCATAGACCGCAATTGATAACTTTTTGGCAAGTGCACCAAATCGTTGAAGTAACAAATTAGATTATCGTCCTCAGGGATTAATGCTAAGTATCAACTCATAAGAATGACACTAGTTGAGTCACTAAAATAGAGTATGAACAGAGCAAAAATTAACTAAGTGCAGAATTGTAAAAACATAATTAAAAGTGCTAGAATTGAAGTTAATATATGAGCATAAACTAAGAGACTAAACGTGAAGTAAGAATCAAAATAATTGCAGAATGTAAATGTCTTAATTACTGGAAGTGGGTCTAAAAATAATTAAAAAGCAGGTTGAGTTCAAAATTCTTCATCCCTTCCTTTTTGCTAATATGAATGATCTATCAAAATATGAATGATCTATCAATTTTTCAGTATTTACAACATTCAATTGAATTTTTTAATTAATTACATTAACTTATAATTTAAACTCAATGAAATATGCCAAAAAGACTTTAATTTTCTAGATGAGTTAGTGACTCATTACAACCCCAAACTTAAATGTTTGCTTGTCCTCAAGCAAATTCTTTTCTTTTTTTCACATGAATAGAATTTTTGAATTCTAGCAAATTGCCCCTTTTTTTCTATTGCAATAGCAAAATAAATTTTTGAAAATCACAAACAAACATCAATTTTCTTGACATCAAGGATTGAATCAAACCCCCTCTTATGATTACTGTTTCACTCCTTGCTCTCAAATGTATCAGTTTGTGTTTAACTCTATTCAATGCATTTGCTGCTATTTTTTGACCTAGATTTGGCAAATTTCTAGCTCACATCTATTCATGCAATTAGTTATAATCAAGAGGACTTTATAAGGGTTAAAACATGATTAGGGTTCAAGTGAAAAAATATTTTTGGTTGTTGGCTATTCCTTATATCAAAGAAAGTATGAGGGATAACTTAGAAAATTTAAGAATTGAAATACTTGTGTGCACTTCCTCATTCAGTATTTCAATTTTTTTTTCTTTCAATAATGCAGACCCAAGTTTCTCTTTATGATTTTCTTCTTTTTAGCTTTGTTTTTTTTTTTTGAACTGCAAGAACTTGAGTTTGCTTCCTTTCAATAATAACAGGTGATTACTTAATTTTTCAGATATATATATCACTTCAAACTTTAAAATAATGCTTGTCCTCAAGTAACTAATAGTGCAACCCCAAACTTAAAATTTTTAAGTTATCCAAAGAGGAGCTCATATTTTGTAAGTCATAAAGAAGAATAACTGGTTTTTCAATATGGCTGAGGGTGAAAATATGCAGGAAGGAAAGTAATCAGATTCAAAGGGTTCAGCAAAGGATAAAGAAAGGTAGGCAATATAGTTAAATGAATGTTCAACAAAAAATAGCCTCAATCACTTTATAACATGAAAACATATTAAGAAAAAGCAAAAAATTGACAAATCTTGCAAAGAAAATAACAATCACAGCAAGCATGCTCACATAAATGATAGTAGACTCAATTGCTAACACAGGAAATTTGTGAAATTTAATTCAACCTGATGTTCAGCAATGTGTAGAATTTTTGCTTGTGATATTTTTAAATGTATGAACTGTGCAGGAGTGACAAAGGCATCTACTGAATTCAGTGGAGTTCATAAATATAGCATTATGTACATGGAAAGAATTTGATTTGTAAAATAAGCACAAAAGTGGCAGTAAATAAAAAGAAAAATGCAAAATGGGACTCCCTTGAGTGGTGGAGCAATTAGAGGCTTGGAACTTGCCTCTGCTCCTTTGCTATAGCACCTAGACAGATCCAAAAATAAAGAAAAATAGAGCACAATATATAGATGACTGAAAATTAATAAATTATCCATAGATAGCAAGGTGCCTCAAAAGTAAAAACATAAATTCTGAAATTTAAAACATGAAAAATCAGGATAACAATCTTCTTCTTTTGTAGCATCTTCATCTTCCACTGGGTTTTCAGCACTCAACAGACGCAGCAGATTAGCACAAGAGTGGCCCTCTGGTTCATCATCATTAACTTGTAGGTCTTGGGCAATGCAGTCCACCTTTGTCTCTAGCTGCATCATGCCTTCCATAAGAAGTTGTGCTTGTTTAGTTGTGGACTTCTGCAGCTAGTCTTATGATTTCTGAAGTTTAGAAATACTACTAAGGAAAAAGTTCAGTTTCTG